ACTGAACCAACGAACATCAGAGCGTATAGAATAGAGTTAGAAAGAGTCCACAATATTACCTATTTGGGCGCAAACGGTAACGATAACTGGGATATAAATTAAAAAATAAGAATACGCATTGAAAAAGCAAGAGCCGCCTTCTATAAATTAAAGAAAATTCTAATTAATAGAGATAATCTACTCTTTATCAAAGAAGAAGAACTTTATCAAAGTAATTTGATAACTACAAGTTTGAAAATAATTGCACACCCACACAATTTTTACATCTACACTTATTCATTGTCATAAAATGTCACCTTCATAAAACAATTACTCAATAAATAACACACATTTCAAAAATATATCTCTGGAATAAGTATAAATAACTTTTAATAACACAATAGTATATTGCACCACTTACATTTAACAAACAATCTCACACATATCTCAAATTCATTGGATCAAATCTATCTCCTCAAAAACTTCCCGTTTACTGTCAAACAACTGCAATAATAGTATTGAGTTCTCCATTCAACAATATAAAGTAGTTTCAAACATGTTCTACCATCCATCTATTAATAGAGTACCGGCATGTAAGTAATTTTTATTTTATTTATTTGCTCATTTATTAATTTATTACAATAGAAGAGATTTTATAACACATTGTGGGCCTTACCTTGTCTTTTTAACCTATTAAAAAAATTTTTATACCTTTTATTCATCTCAATCATTTAAATAAAACCACAGACATGTAATATTGGCATAATTATTGTAATTTATAACATCTAATTTGTTTATCTTTATTAGACAACACCCTAATATGGGTTTTTATCATTTCAGCATTTGTTTAACTTTGTATCGAGACCTGAAGATGCTTTGCATATTGTAGAAAGCGAAACCGGTTGTCTGATAGTTAAATTAAATTGATTGTGAGTAAGTATTATTTATTATTTCTTTACCTATTTGAAATGGACTCACACAAGCAACACATTCATGATTTACAATAGAACTAGTTAATAAAATACAACATTTTCAATTACCTAACAACTCCAGATTAATTTCATTTGACGTAAAAAATCTTTTTCCTGGTATCCCTCCTACAGAAACTTTTATTCTAGTAAAAAACCTTTTAGACCAAAATAGTACAAATCCAATAATTACATCTGAAATTTTACATCTTCTTGAAGTTTGCATAAACCAGGACTACTTTGAATTTAATGATCAAATATATACAAATAACAGTGCAAGACTTATAATGGGCAATCCTCTAAGCCCATTACTATCAGATATTTTTATGGACCATCTAGAGACAAAGATTTCAAAACATCCCATATTCAAACAATTTCTATATTGGTGGAGATACGTAGACGACGTACTGGCATGTTTCACAGGAACTAACAGGCAACTCAACCAATTTTTATCGTATATTAATTCACTTCATAGTCATATTGAATTTACAATAGAAACAGAACAAAATCAATCCATAAATCTTTTAGATATAAAAATTATCAGACTTAAAAGCAAACATGACTTATCCATATTTCATAAACCTACACATACTGACACAACTATACATAATTCATCATCCCATCCAACACAACATAAACTGGCAGGTTATCATAGTATGTTACATAGATTAACAGAAATTCCGATGTCAAAATACAACTTTGAGACAGAATTAAATATAATTACAAACAGTAATTTTATTTATATATAATATATAAAGTTTATAAAAACAAACAATTAATAAAATGTTAAATCAAAAACTACACAAGAAAGCCCTGAAATTAGTATTTCCATCACCAGAGAAAAAACCCAGTACCTTCTGTTCGATTACATATACAGGCAAAACAACAACAAAAATAGCCAAACACATAAAAAAGAAAGGAATAACACCAGCTTTCCGAGCAAATAACAACCTAGGCAAATATATTAAAAATAACAAGAGCCAAAATAAAAAACACTTAAATAGTGGTGTGTACAAACTTCAATGTGGTGACTGCCCAAAAACTTACATCGGTCAAACTGATAGAAACTTTAATAAACGAACAGCAGAACATAAAAGGGCTTTCAATAATAGAAAAACAGATTCGACATACGCACTTCACCTTCTAGATCATAATCATTCTTTTAATGACAAATATAAAATTCTTCACATTCAAAATAAAAGCCTTAAGCTATCTTTGTTAGAATCTATGGAAATCAACAAATTAAAAAACACAAATATAATTCTGAATGACCAACTTGAGACAAACAGTTCTCCCCTCCTTAACCTATTTCATTAGATACTATAAATTGTAAACGCATGCCAAAAATCACTTGAGAAAGGCAATCAGCCGAAATGCTGTAGTGATAATAGTTAAAATAAATTTTGTGGAAGTTTGAAAACAAAGTTTTCAGTGTTTTATTGTTACATAAAATGAATTTCCATCAAGTAACGGTCGAATCGATCAATTATTTAAAAGTTATTATTGCCAATATTATCGCCAATGGTCGATAATCTGACAGGGACAATTACTGAAAAAAGAAGAATATGTATATATATATATATATATATATATACATACATACATATTATAAGGTCGTACCAAGTCCAATGTTTAAATAAAACTTTAACGTACAAGTGCGTGATAAATAACATCTTGGCTATGTAAATATAGAAACATTTCAAAGAAAAAATCTTTGCGTAATCTTATAACTCAAACAATATATCAGATAATACAGAATTTTGTTAAACCATTATTATGAATAAGAAGCAGTATTAAAAATCGTGATATCATTCTATAAAATGATTTTTTTATTGATAAGACGCTATCATTGTTTAAGTACTTATTAAAATCAGTGATTAATCTTGGAGGGTCTTAATATAAAATTCGTGTTGCTACAAATTAAACAAAAGAAACACAAATCAAATGATTAATAGAAATAGATTAATAAAAGACAGGAATAGCATATTCTTCTGGTGCCTAAGTGTTTTTTTAAAAACTAGAGGTCGTAGGTTAAATGCAAATTAGAATAATAATGGACGAAAAAATGCAATATTTGTATTGTAAAAAAACTAGCAAATAGTAACAAATAGTAAATATTAGTTGAAAATAAATTACGAAAATTACTCTTGAAATATTATTACTTATGTTAATCGTAGCAGGCAGTAGGATTTTACCACGTCGAAGCTCGGCGCCGAATCTCGATAGGACGTAACCGATAATTTGAATATTTTCAGTACGATGTCTCAATAGGAAGTGACTTGAGATGGTCAGAAAAGACTTCTGACTATTCTTAGGTAGTCTATGGGACAAATACTTTCATAAATCAGCGTCATTGTATGGCGCTTTTGCAGGGCGATAATCTAACTTAATGGTTACTGAAATATGATACTTTTATAGCGGTTTGTGTGCTGGGGACAATTTCCAAAATAACAAAAGCAGTGAAATTCTTTAAACTTAAAAACAGCACCTTTTACCATTATATCGACTGATGAACTGCGCGTTGATTTGGCTTTCATATTACTCTAATGCGTGTTCATGCTATACTGGCGAATACTCGATTTCATTGTTTGTTTACAGTCGAGGTAAGGCAGTTACCATAAGTATTTGATTACTATCGGAAATTCTCTAATTATACCGTGGCTACCTCCCTGTTGACTGTGTTGATACGGATAAACCCTTGATACTTAAGCTGCATGCCGCAATAAAAAGAGTATAAATATGAAAAAGCTAAAAACGGTAATTAAGGGGCAAATGTGTGGGATGATCAAAATTAATATTTAGGTGCTCTGTATTAAGTTATAACGTCAATGAGTATCCGACAATTAAATTGAATTTCTACTAGAATAATCTCCTTTTGAAAACAATTATATTAAAAAAAGTCGACATAACCGCGTGAAATATATTCTACCATTCTTCTTCTTCTTGTGCCACTCGTATCGGAGATTGGAAATCATCAAGGCTAACTTGATCTTAATATTGTTCTGAAGCTATTTTCTTGTGTCATTTTAAATTAATTACTATTTAATTGGGAATAAGACACAATTAAAGATAAAAATCCGTTTATTGATGTTTCAATTTCCACTTCGGAAATCGTTCTCAAAATACAAACAGTAAATTAAACAAATTTTGTTTTTTTTTACTTAGTGAAAAATTCTTCTAGTAATTTAATTTTATCTGACTCATTTATATTGACAATTCAGACATACATTAGGCATTTTAAAGTAGACGACTTTAAAATGATATTGCCAATATAGTTGAGTTGCGCTCCTGGGACGACTTTACTTATAAGATAGTTCATTCAATTACATGAAATCAACTTTAACTTGAGAATATCCGTCAGAAAAAATCATAGCATGTAATTCTTCTTTAAAAAGACAAACACATGCCATGATAACAGTAAAATTCTCCTGTTAGTGATTCCATAGTAAATTATGAGGGAAAAACCAGGAAAAAATCTCATAATACTATCCCGACATGGTAAGTATTCGGTCGTACATTTAGTTTACCTTCAATAAACACCAAACTCTGACTTTATATGTTTAATCGAATGAACTATCTTATAAGTAAAGTCGTCCCAGGAGCGCAGCCCAACTGTGTTGGATGGGAAGTATTTCAGAATGAGTCTTTTACCAAATAAGCTAATTAAGAGAAGTGTGATGCAGTTTACGAATCAGTTTTAATATTATAATTAAATCATAACAGCCTAGTAAATTATAACTAAAATAATTCTTGACAACAATTTAACTTGAAACGTTAACAAATAATTTTAGTTTTAAATTTTTGTGGTATTTAATTAATCCTACTGCATTAAAACTGAAAATTTCACTTGCGTCAATAAAAATTTGATAAAATATAATCGGTTTCAATAAATATTTCATTCGAAGCCGATAAAATGTTCGTTATCAATGTATATTTTCCAAAAAGGTAACTTTCAAATAAACCTCTTCAAAATAATTAGTTTTTATTAAAAACTGTGAATCACTTAAAATAAAAAAAACATTCTATATCCTTGTACAAATATGTATATATAATTTAACCTACAGGTTTAATTCCCTGACCTAAAGACTCGTTTTTTCCAGTCTCTTCTATATGCTTATTTTTTATAGGTACCCGAGGTGAAAGGTTCAGCATACTTGCCCACTGTCCATCGCAAAGGTTTTCAAACGTCATATCTTCTAGTAGAGATCCTCCTAAATCTCCAGGTCCTCGACAAGCAGGCTGGGTGTCCCATAGTTTATCTTTGTTACTATTTATCCATCTGAAAAATATAAAATGTGTCAAATTTTACTGGTCATTGTGAATCTCTTAGAGCAGAGATGCACGAATGGTCGTCGATATTCTTTTTATATCAAATACAAAAGCAGCTTAATGTAAAATATATATATATATATATATATATATATATATATATATATATATATATATATATATATATATATATATATATATATATATATATATATATTGTAGATGTAAGTTTTCGAATCCAGCATAAACGTAATAATAAAATTTCAAAAAACAACAAATTAAAGAATCAATTTCAAAAAATCAATTCATAAAAATCCTTAGAAAAAAGAGGTCAAGATTATGTCCCATTAGTCAATTAGTAACAAACGATGCATGAAAAAAACACCCTTTCAGTCATGAGGCTAACCTGGAGAAATATCTTAGAGCATAAATCTCAGAATGAGATCATTTACAGAATTTAGAGATAAAAATCAGAATGATGCATCTGCCGGAAAACTTGAACGTGGCACAGAAAAGTAGACCCGTTAGGAAAATACTAAATCATCTTAGCCTAGACCCAACTGAAAACAGTTGTGTAAAGGTATAGGCAAACGAAGTGGTCTCCCAAATTCTTAAAAATATCAAAGCAAAAATATAAAAGATAATAAAAAAAAACAGAATCAGAGTAACAAACTAGTCAGTTTGGTAATTATGTCAGTGACTCTTGAATCCACCATCCGAATTATAACAAAACTTCTAATATTAATGACTTGCATACAGAGCTAGTCGAGATCTTTGCACTGCAAAGGTAGGAATGGCTTCTCCAGAGGATGAACAATTGTGCCCAAAATATGCATATTTCCAAAGCTTTAAAAACAAGATATTGCGTTGATTAAACCTGAAAAAGATTTTAACAATCCTATGCAACAATCTTTGCTCAATCACCCATTCAACCTGTTTAAGATCATGATCATCAATGGTCAAGGATTTAAATATAAATAATTCAGTACCCAACAAAGCAGTTTAAAACCAGGGAAATCTTTTACCTAACAAATTCTTAATCTTACCCAACACATTGAAGACAAATATGAAAGATACCAGGTATCTATCAGGTGGAGTATTTGGAGATCTCACGAACTTATGATGCTGTAAATGACAGGAAACTCATTCTAAAACATTTATTTTATTTTATGTATTTTATCCGTATCTTGCTGCAAAAGAGAAGATTTTTCGTTTCCCTTAAAGGAAACCTTATGAAGAACACAAAAGGCTACTCTTGCCTAAGGCAGGTTTATAGTACCTACACTTATAGAATAGACACCAAAGACCATTTAGTACCAGTAAATACAGTAAATATTGCTATTTTTACGTAGATTTTTGTTTAGCAAATAGAAGTTTACACTAACTGAAGCCTTGAAAACAATAACACTTCACTACCAACCAAGTACATCAATACAAATACCAGAATCATTCATCTATACTCATGCGACCTTCATATCCAGAAAATTTAACATTCAGTGGTGAGGGAAAGTCCTTGAACGCTGAGTTTTGCATTGATATTTAATCATTTAAAAAATACTGATTGACTAAATTTACAAAACAGTCATAAGACCAATAATGACATACGCAGCAGAAATAGCAGATATGAAAACACGACACTTCCACCAAAGATTTAAGGTGGAGAACATCAAGGACTGGGTAATAAATAGAAGAGTAGAATGGAACGATCATATAAGCTGAATAACAACTAACAGAGCAGTAAAAACGGCAAGAAACGGTTCCCCAATAGGACAATAGGAAGACGGTCAGTAGGAAGACCTCGAAAACAATGGAACCGCAACTTACGGGAGGCATATTGAAAAACAGACAAAGTCATTTCTACATAAAAAGAAGAAAAAATATTGTTTAAAATTAAAAGACAAACTAACATGTGGACACGCATCCTTCCTGTACACTTCCAACTTGTACTCTGCGTTTCATTGCATTTCGTTGCATTTCGTTGCGTTTCGATTGCACTAGTATGAGACACATCAGTACATACTATATACTGGGCATGTAAATTAACGAGCCAGCAAAAAACATTACTGGATATTTGATTCTAAGGTAACAGATTTTATATACTAACCCTATTAATCATATTAGTTGTACTGTCAAGCTCATCACTCTCTCGCTCTCTTCTATATTATTTTACAGTGGTGACAGCCGGTCCCGGTTTGGGGGAATTGCGGTAAATAGGGATAATTAAGTCACTTCTTCAGTATCCTTGTAAACTTTTGCAAGTTTTGTAGCTATAAGAAGCCTTCATCGTTTCATTTCGCCAGTGACATTCCAATTTTTTCTTCTCTTTCCTAAGACGACAACAGATTAAAGAAACAGTGAGGTATCCAGTAAATATTGTGTGGAGTGCAGGACTCCCTTTTCTGGAAGAAAATCCTTTTTCTCTCTTTGTTATATAAACTTGTTAGTGGTTTTACACAAATTATTCGTATATAGTAGATTTTTTGTCTTGTATCACTAGAAAATGACCTCATATCAATTTTAGGATATATGTGAAGAGATGACAAGTACAAATTTTTTCAAAAATACATACTAACACATTATATGATGTTCTCTATATAACTGTTTTTTTTAATTACCATAATATTGCACAAAAAAACACATAAACTATACAGATTTTACGATATATAAGTATAACAGAAATTATTAATTATTAGTTGAATATAAGAATGAAATATAATTGATTCAAGAAATAACCATTATTGTTCTATTTAGTAGTTAAAAATACAGAATTTAAGTTAGTAGGTCAAGATCAAGTTCATTTGAGTGTACGAGTTTATTGCTTTCAAAAAGCGCAAAATATAAATTCTTTGAGTATTATTTTACTAACTGTTTACATATTATCAAATTCTTTTGTTTAATGTAACAAGTGCAAGTGAAATATGATTTGTGTTTGAAAAACATTTATGTTGACCCTAAAAGCGTCGCAAAGTATAGAATTACGACGTAAATCGTGGGGCTAGCGAATTCTTGTGATATACACTAAGAAATTAGATATGACTTTGTTTAACTAATTAATTATGGGATATTTGGAATTGAAAAAAATAGCGTTTCATTTGTAAAAAGGAAAAGAATTTAATAGAGTTTAATTTTTCAAAAAAATAAGTACTAACATCTTAATTGATATCTGAGTATTGATTGATTGATCGATCATTATTTGATTTGATTATTTGATATTTCCTACAGATTTTTTTTAAGTTCGGCAGCGTATATTTCTAAGTTCTTTAATTTAACAAAAATTTAATTCTTTATACAATTGTTGGTTAACTTCATAAATTGGCACATCATACTAAGATGGACATATAAAAGAGGGAAAAGAATTTAATGGAGCTTTGGAAGATAATTGACCGTGGCGTCAGAAAATCTTTTTCACTATTTTGGAATGATTTTCACGAACATATGAGTTCGGGAATGGATCCATTATGGAACAGACAAGATTTAGTAGGCGTAGAGCTTGCATCGCATGGAAAATGCATAGAAGCACGTAAAGTGGTTCTTTGGGCTGTGGCCCATATTTAAAGAAAATTTGAGTCGACTCTTTGGCAACGTCCTATAGTGATTTTGACAAACGTAACTTGCGAGATACTAGGAGGCTTGCTACAGTTTATGTACCAGGGAAAAGTGCAAATTGGACAGGAAGACCTAAGGGCCTTCACTGAAGCGGCCGAATCGTTGCAAAGGCAAGGACTCGCTGGAGACGACAAAAAGTATAATAGTTACTATCGTTTAAAGTAACTTTGCTACAGTTTATGTACCAGGAAAAAGTGCAAATTGGACAGGAAGACCCAAGAGCCTTCACTGAAGCACTGAATCGTTGCAAAGGCAAGGACTCGCTGTAACTTGCTACAGTTTATGTACCAGGGAATTTGATTTCTAGTTTTTATCGAATGGTGTCCTCATTGACCGGTTATAGTCCAAGGTTGTGTTTTCATTGAATTGTGGGTCCTATATTGCATCACAATAACAGTTTTTTGTTTGACGTGCTTTTCTATGTTTAAACAATTAACAAACAATGCAATAACTAGGTCAATTTATTTGTGGGATTTAAAAATGAAAATTTTACTGTAATAATTATCCCTTATTTGATTTGGAATATATAATAATTATCTCGAATAATTATTATCTTTTCTATGCTACTTAACCATTTAATTCAACTTCTCACTCACTTGCTACGCTTACATTACACTCATACGTATTACCAAGTTCTACTCTATCGTTGGTATCTCTACCAGCTCGCATCAGAAAAAAAGTTGCTAGAGACGTCCAACCAAACAAAAAGAAACAAATTACAAAGACAAGCAACATTTACGAAATCAACGAAATGCTTCCTAGCCATCTACAAGATCCAGCAGATCGTCTTAGCAAATGGAAAAAAGTACTCAAGATATAGATCCTCTGGAAGAAATCTTACCTAAGAACATTATTTTCTATATTATGTGAAGAACTTTCAATCGCTTGTGAGTCCTTAAGTGCTTAAGCGCAAAACCAACATGAAGAAATGAGAACTATTGCATAGGAAAAAAATTAATTTTATTAATCTTTATTTCGTCTTTCAATACTAAACTCAACCCCCACCAGGAACAAGTCACATTAAATAAAATGGAGCTTGAATGTACAAAAAAGAACAGTCACTAAACCAGGAAACACATCTTTTAAATAAAAAAGCCAATTCCGTTAGCAGTCGACGGTGAAGTACTGATATTGGATCTAGCTACAGGTATTTTACTGCGTGTTGAGATTAATTCAGTAAGTATACTTCTGATCCCACGACCTGCATTAGACGACTAAGGCACAGTATAGTGCTTTAAAAAGAATTAAAGCACTATACTGTGACTAAGGTGTTAAATGGCAGTTATTCGTTCCTGTCCATAAGCCACATAGCATGTAGTGCTGAATGTTTCTCAGCAATCTAATATGATTCAGAACATAAAAGTTTACTGTTTCTGATTTTATTACTTCTTCTTAAATAGAATATAATGCCTTTTACACTAATCGAAACATAAAAACATTTGTTTATTGATTAATAAAATAAATGACCAAGAAAAGAAAAAAATTAAAAATAAATTAATGATAATAACGTATTTATGTACTTGGTTACTTACTTGGATAAATACAAGATGTTACAGTCACAATGCCATGGATTCTTTGCCAATTTTATAGATACTAATTGAGTGAGAAAATCAAGACTTTTTGATGGCAAAAAATGAAACTTATTGCTGTCCAAATGCCTAAAATTTTAATACATATTTAAAATAAAGGTGCTGCTGCTATATTTACAAAATACCATAAAAAGAGGAACTTCCCATAATAATTTATGAAATATTCTATCGTTTTATTTATGGTATGGCATGAAAGGCCATATTTTATATGGCATTATAGAGGAAAGTCTAACTATCCCAGAGAAAGCTCTCGAATATAACCTCCAGAAGCTAATCTAAAAGAAGATCGTCTGCCGAATTCAGGAATATTTGCTATTTTGCCATTTCAGCATTTGTAAAACATTTCAAGAAGCCTAAAACAAGGATATTTTTTATAAAACAGTTTTCTTCCCATTTATTAAATAGAACATTAGGCAGGGCTGCCAATCAAGTCAAAAGTTCACTTCTGGAACTCCTAGAGTCCAGCTTAATATCTGTTTATCCTCTAAGACTATAGATTTAGATATAGCAGGAAGCAGTATTATTATTTTTCAAGCTTAACCTTCACTTATTCGCAGTTTTTTTCTATTTGTCATCCTATCTGGGCTCTACTTTTGGTCCATTAATATTACTGGGATAGAGATCATTGCAATGAATTCTATCCTCCTCAGTTGTGAACGCAAATTTCTTCACACTTCGTAGACATACTTCACATACATCACGGCTTGTTGGTAAGTGTCCGTCAGATAGTTGTAACAGTGAATCTCTTTATCATACCTATCTATAGGTTGTGGTATTTTAGTATGCACAATACTTGCAGCAGCAACTCTAGTTATCCACTAGTACATGACAATCCGAAGCAGTCAATTCCACGTCGCCCACAAGAACTCAGCCTTGACGAGCCTTGAAATACAGACCACAACTTGACGACAAGTTCTTGGTTCGAGATGACCACGATACGTTATGTTTAAAAGAAATATAAATATCTATTTTATTATATTTTCATATTTTTCTAATATTATTTTATCTTGATGAAACATGGATTCATACATAAATAGGATGAAAACAAGTCAAAGATAAAATAACTTATGTTTAAACCCACCATAAAATTAATAGTACCATTGGCAAGACGAAAACAAAACTCGTAACTAATTATTAAAGAATTTCGAACAAATTCTTCTTCCTAAGAACTGTGTAATAGTAATGGATAATGCAAGTTAGACTTATAAAGGAGTGTTAAAAAAAGACTTGCAGAATTGGCTGACAAAAAATATTACGTACCAATCTATATTTATTCCCTTCATAATTTAAAAATACTTGATGAAATTTGGAATGACAGTACTTAGATAATGTGAATTAAAATTGAACTGGTATGTAAAAGTGACAAGAAAAATCATGACAGCTGTTTTTGTAATGTGAAAACTTACAGTTCATTTTGAAGCTGGACAGATAAAATGATCGAGCAGTTATTGGTACAAAATTTGATTGTAGTAGCTGTAAGTATATCACATCTACATGAAAAGTAAAGTGAAATGAAGTTAGTGTGTGTGAGAAACATACACATAACACTTTATAACACTGACACAAGAATTTTTCACTTAAGAAGGCATCGGAACAGTTAAAATTATGCTAGATGCTAGTACAAAAGATGTACAACCATGACGTACATGATAAACAAAGTGATTGGACAGATGTTTAAAATATACAATGAAGACCAGAAGAATGCATCGAAACAAAAATGTTAGTGATATAAAGTGATCAACAAACAGTCACAGTCAATAAATACAGGTTAAAAATACCAAGATGGTTTTACTTACAGTTTTTGTAGGCTTGGAGTATAAGCAAACACCCTTCCATCAATATCTTTTAAAATGTTGTTATTAATTAACATCGATGTTAGGCTAACTAAACCGTTAAATGTTCGCTCCTTGAGCTCTTCCAAATTGTTGGAAAAGAGAAATAATTTTTCCATGTTTCTATTTTCAACAAAAGCATTTTCTGGCAAGTCGTTGATGTAGTTCTGGCCTACGTGAAGTTCTAATATGTTTGTTAGTCTTTTGAAATCATTTTCGCCTATCTAAAAATAAAATGAAAGAATTAATTACAACCGTTTGCTGTGATCCCCAACACAAAAATATCATTGAGGATAATTCAGAAATATCGACATTTTATTTGATGTTATTTTACAAAGATATCTTTAGCATGCAAAGGATTAACAAATGCAGAAGATCCCTGAATATAAAACTGAGTTACAGATTGTTGTAAAGGTATTAAAGTAAATATCATATTAAATTTATTAATAATATTAGGTATGCGAACGACACAGCGATATTGGCAGATACCGTCGATGCTTCTCAAGGACTTTTAAATGATCTAATTCTCTCAAAGTAAATCAGTTTAAATATTTAAGGTATATGCTAAATGATTGAGACTCTGGGATTGAAACGAAAAAATAGTAGAATAAGACAGAAATGGTTTCTCGAAATTTCGTAAGGTTCTGGTTGATCACAGATTAGATTTGAGATGAAAGTTGCTTAAGTGTTACATTTGGTTGTACAGTGTGGTAAAGTAACCTCGACAGGTACTGTGTAAGGAACGGGGTCAAAAATGAAGAAATTTGATGTAGAACTTTGCTTTGAAGAGTATTTATTCGAAAGATCGAATAATGAGATCCTATTTTTTGGAGAAGAAAAACCTATTTGTCATTATTGGTCTGATAACTGTTTTGTAAATTCTGCCTTTCGTTTCTTTCACGATAATTTTATCTTTCCATATTGTTTTATTTAGGCACCCTGCTGCTCTGTTTGCTCTATTCACTTGATCTTCCACTTCAGTTTCGAGCTTTCCGTAGCTACATAATGTGATGCCTAGATATTTAAACACCATCACTTGTTCTATTATCTGACCTTCCAGATCCAATTTACATCTTATTAAATTTGCTGTTTTAACCATGCATTTTGTTTTTCTTTTTGGGAAATTTACATGTTAAATTTTCTGGCGGTTACACTAAATTGGTGCAGCATACTTTGTAAATCATCTTCACTTTGGAAGAGTATTATTGCGTCGTCTGCATAGCAGATTATTTTAAGTTGTTTTTCTTCCATTTGTTATCCTTTTTTTAGTTCTTACTTCTTTTATTATTTCATAATCTTTCTTGATCCATAATCAAGATGAACAATAGAGGACTCTGGGAATCTCCCTCTCTTATCCCATTTAAAGCTTCAATAGGGTCGGTTAGTTCTTCTTCCACTTTTACTTTTATTGTGTTGTTTTGGTAGATATTTTCGATCGTTTTGATTATTCCTAGAGGTATCTCTCTTGCGTACAGTAAGTGGATAACGTCTTTTAATTTGACCCGGTCAAATGCTTTCGTAAGTTCCACGAAACATAGATATGCCCGTTTGTTGTACTCTAATGATTTCTCTTGCACTTACATCATTATAAATATAGCGTCTGTGCACGATCTTCCAGATTAAAACCTTGTTGTTCTTCTGCTGTTATAATTTCATTCAGTTTATTTGTTTTCACTTTGGTTGTTAATTTTAGTGTTATGTTTGATAAATTAATTCCTCTGTTATTTTCCGAGTCTGATTTATCTCCCTTTTTGAATAGAAATATGCTTTGTCTCCATTCTTGAGGAATTTTGTTTTGTTTTATTATTTTTTGGATTAGTTTTAATAGTTGTTTGGTCAAATCTGCTCCTCCGTACTTTAGGAGCTCATTTGGTATTCTGTCCCCTCCTGGTAATTTTCTAATTTTTAATTTCCATATTGCTTCCTTTACCTCTTCCTCCTCAATATTTATTACTTCGTTTGTCGTCACCTCTGGTATTAGTGGTTCATTATCGCCACCTTAAGCAAAAAGGGATCGAAAGTAGTCTACCCATGTTTCCTTCTGAATCTGTCTCGTTTTTATTAGTTTGTTCATCTCTTTTCTTTGTCCTCTAATCATTCGCCACTTTTTTTTTGTATTCCGTAGAAGTCGTGTTCCATCTGTTTTGAGAAACTCTGCCAGTGTTCCTTTTTGATTTGTCTAACTAAAGTATTCGTTTCAGTTCTGATTTGTTTCTAGTGGTTGTATGCCTTTTGTGTTTGTTGTGTTCTGTATTGTAAAAAGGCTTTCTTCTTATCTTCACATTATGTCTTCACTTCCTCTCTAAACCACGGTGTTTTCTTTTTTGACATATTAGTGTTTGTTACTTTCCTTCCTTTAATTGATTCTGTTGCTGCGTTAAAAGAATAGTTAAATAGCTAAAAGCAAAAAAAATAACCATGACCAGATGGGACCATAAAAAAGCACTAAAAAATCTGCCAGGAAAGCGATCCTATACATCACCCAAACTTAAGAAGTTACGAAGGTTGACGAAAGAATAATATTAGCTAACCAGAAGAAAGAATAATAAGTCAGAAGCATAATTAGGTTTCAGATCTGAAATACTTCAGTGAGATACAAGTGCTACGATTGACGAATACATTACAGAGGGATTCAAACATCAGAAATACATTACTACTGCGTTTCAAGACGATAATCATTCAATATGAAAAGTTCCAGGAAGTAATCGGAGAAACAGATCTGGTGGGATATGCTTAGTCAGGACATGTTTGTGAGAAGATTATGTCAGAAGATTGATTTGGATATAACCCACGATAGAAATTTATAGAAAAACATATTTAGGAAATCCGATCCCGTAGAGGGATTAGGAATTACTGCACTGCAAGGTAAAAAACAATGTCAAATCAAAATTGCAATGATGGAAAACTTCATGTAGAATAAAAATTGTTCTACAATAAAAAAGTCAATCGGGAACTGTACATACTCATTAAAACAGAAATCTATCTTAACTGAAAAAGACTTTGACCACGATCAAAAGAAGAAATCTGATCGTCATAAGAAATAATCAAGACTAAACCCAATAATTTGTAATTCGAAGACTTCGATTTGTGTAAAACATAAAGGTTGCAAAATATTAAAACAATTTTACGCGGTGGTAAATTTACAAATTAACAATTTCATAGATATTAACTTTTGTCATAGATTTTTAGATTTTATACATGATGAAGAGAATACAATAGTTAAAATCACTTACAATTATTAACTTACTTGACTTATTTTGTTGTTAGTTAATTGTAGAATTCGCAGATTCTGCAATTTATCAAAAATATGAGGTGGCAAATAAGATATTTGGTTTTTTCGCAAATTCAGTTCCTGCAGATTAACAAGTGTATCAAAAATGCCTAAAAATATAATATATCTAACAAAAGTATATATATATATATAATATATATATATATATATATATATATATATATCTACATCTATGTAATTTAAGAGTTAATAAAATTTATACTTAATACGGGATTTCCTGCTAATCTTTTCTACGAATCAATTCAACATCAACGCTTTCTTGTTCCACTCTTTTAACCAGCGTTGCCTATACGGCTTTTGCGTGTTAAATATTAAATATATAGCTAATATAGCAAAAGTATAAAATATAATAATCAGGAACATTATTTCTCTACTCACTACGAAGAGTTGTCTGGTTCTGGTTCCTTAGACTTTCCTTCTTCTTCTGTGGATCCAACCCACTTCCTTACGGGTGAGCTGGTTAAACCTGAAGAAGAATGGTCCTCTATCTGAACCTACACATGCAGGAAAGGTTCCTCTATTTCACTGTTGATAGTTGCTACTGGCTTTTCTTACAGTGTTTTCACAATTTTGACAATTTTCAACCAAAAATTTTTACCTAAGATAGTAGAGTTTTTAACCATCTACCCTTACATGCATACAGAAAGGAAGCCAGTTACCGGTCTTTTAAAGTATTTTTTAAAGTAAGTACAGTAGTTGTTAGTATGAAAACTATTACTGTAATAATTAATGTTCATTTACCTGTAGGCAATAAAGTTATATTATTTTCTGCTAAAAACAACCTTCTCAAAAACTTTAAATCTGTAAAAGCAAACTTTGGCACCGTTTCCAGTAAATTATTACTTAAATCCAAATCTTCCAGAACCTCCAAGTTATTAAAAACAGCTTCGGGAATATTTTTCAATCTATTCCGGGATAAATGAAGTAGCATAAGATTGGGGCATCCTTTAAAAATCTTCGTCGGGAGGTATTTTAAAAAATTATCCGAAACATCAAATGTTTGAAGGTTTCTTTGGAATGCTAAGAGGTTTGGAGAGAGTTCTTCGAGTTTGTTTTTGTGCAAACGCCTGAAAAATTACGCAGAAACAATGATTTTGTTATTAATATTAGTTGTAAAAAGCAAGAAATGTTAGAAAAAAAGCAACGACTACATCAAATTAAGACTAAATTAGGTGCAAGATATGAAAATTGGTTTTGACCGGTTTACTCAAAAAAAAAGTTTCGTACTTTTAAGGGAAAGTTTAAGTCTTCTTATAATTCTAGGATATTTAACACCTTGACTGCGGCGCTTAAATTCTTAATATACTAGTTCTTGCGTCACATGGCCCCGGAGAAACGTTATGGTCTCTTCTGTCTGTGTGTAGCACAGACACAATAGACCACAGACCACAGATAGCTAAACAAATTTTCTCTTGGAAGTAATTGGATAAAATTAAAGGTGTTTATAAGAACAAAATACTTTATAGTAAAATAAACTGCAGAATAATAAAATTTGACCAGAAAATTTGTTCAGAATATCAAATTTTAAATTGACAACAATATTTTTGTTACCTTTTGCATCAAAAATATATAAAGCGATGTAATTATAAATTTGTTTTTATACTTACAAATATTTTAAGCTGTCCAATACAGCAAAAATGTTCCCTGGTAAGTGGTCAATTTTATTATCAAAGAGATCCAATTCTCTAAGGTATGTCATTCCTCTGAACACATTCTTGTTTAAAGTTGTTAATAAATTTATTCCTAAATCCCTAAAATGCAATGCAATTGCAATGTAAAAATCTAGTCAAAAACACATAGAATCTTTAACCAATATATAACGAGGCAATTATTAAATTCACTTGCTCTTCAAAATCATTTGCAAGAAGTGAATGGACAGTAATGGAGGCGGAGCACTTATTATTTATCGTTTGGCAATTACAGACTTAGAACTAAATTACAAACACTAGTAATATAGGTATATGACAAACTTTAAATATTAACAAATAAACATCAAGTGTATTGATATAACCAACTGACTCACAAATAATGTATACCTCAGCACAGAGGTTATTGCTTCTATCATACTAACAAACTTTAAACTATAAGCTTACAATACAAATTAATCTATGCCGTATCAACTTAGAAGATACTACAAAAATTTCAAAATAGCCCTATAGTGACATGAAACATCTGATTAAAGATCATTGCAATAACATTTGGTAAAATTACTGGGAATATTCAGTAACCAAATTAAACTCAATCTGCCCAAAGGTGAACAACTCTTTGAATAACCCCACAAGTAGACGAGATCAAGTAATTATTAACCGTTTGAGAATTGGTCATACTGCTGTGACATACAAATTTTTAATCAGTAAAGATCCACCGCCAATTTACAATAACGGTAACTTCATTGACAGTGAAACACTTCTTGCTTGACTGCCCGTGTTTCCAAAATCAAAAAAGAATGCATGGAATTTCAGCATAATACAAGTGCAATTCTGAACGTGAGCTTTCAAGACCACATAACAAACCAACAAATCAGGAGTTCAAGACGTCATCGAAAGAACCACGACGCTTAGGTGGAACTGGGCAGGGCACTTAGCCAGAACACAAGATGGACGGTGGACATCGGTGGTCGGACGACCACCGACTAGATGGACCGATGAGATAAAATGTGTAGCGGGAAACTGGCTACAAGCGGCCCAGTGTAGAGAACACTGGAAAGAACTGAGGGAGGCCTATGTCCAGCAGTGGACGCGATTGGCTTATTTATGATGATTATAATATTTAATGTACATAATCGTATTAAAACTGTTGTGTTTGATATCCCACTAATAATACTGCGTGGGTAATGTGAAATAAGTGTTTTAAATAAAAAAAAATTTAATTTTAATGGAAATGTATCTAAAACTCTCATACTTACATGGTTATAACGTCTTGAGGCAAGACTTGTTCATCGGGTATAGCAGATAAATTGCTTTGCCAACAACTTACTCCCTTGAGTTCTGGTGTGCATTTACATGGGCCTTTTCCACATTCTATCCATCTTTCATTTACGTTAGAAATTTCCCACACTGCAACAAATTCATCTACAGCTTATAATTACTATGATATGTTAAGGTGTGATAAACCCTCACTATCTTGAACATGTTTTTATGAGATAAAAAACATGGAACATCACCATTGTGTAAGAAGAAAATTAGGAGAAAAATAAAAATATTTCTTACCTGGTTGTTCCAAAGACCTGACTCTCCTCTCCAGTTTCACCATATACTCATCCTCTCCATCTTTCTCCAGACTATCAGAAAATTCCTTCAAATTCATCTCGCTTTTGCTCAGAGCCTCGCAGGCGTTTATTTCACAGAATTCGTCTTCACATCGTACGCACGAAAAGGCAAAAACAAAAATTAAGTATAGTTTCATATTTATTTCGTTTGTAGTAGAACTGATCCAAACGACAAGTAAGTATTTGTAATGAGCTCGAACAAATTGTTTTATTAAATAATCTTTCTATTTGCGATAGCTTAAAATTCTCTTCCTAATGTCGTATATCAAGTAGTTAAGATGTTGGTCAGTTTCTTGATTTAATATTTTGGATATGTATAATATTGGTCAAATTCAAAGTATTTCAGTTTTTTTATTTTTAGCCCTATTATGATGATTTTTTTAGCACACTGTGTAAAAATTTATAAATTTTAATTCAGTATAGGGAGTTTTTAATAAAATTTTGTATTTGCCTTATTATACGGGGTTAATCGAAAGGTGGTTTTTATTCTAACTTTGAAACATAGGGTCGAATAATTCCGTTATCGGATTTTCTTAAAACCTTGTTTTTCGGTTGCAACCATGTCTTTTAAGTATTATGCTTTTTGTTTCATGTAAAAATATGAATTGGTTAACTTTTAGGAGCGAAATGACTTTGCCACCCACAATTTACGACTTTTCCTTTTATTACCAAAATCTTTTGTATTAATTTGTAATACGACGATGGGGGCTTTGGTGATTGACAGTGACAGAAGTACTGTATTTAAATAATGACTAAAAGCAACGATATTATCTTGGTTTTAATGAACAATGGTAACAATAACAAAATATAAATTAAAACAATTTTAAAAAAACCCCACTCAAAAAAAATCCGACGATTAGGTAGGATTTTTTCCACTCAAAACTTTCGTAAATTCTATAATTCATGCTTGACTTCTGACTGAAGTTTTTCTTCTGGAGACATTGACTGTAATGTTAGTGATTTTCTAAATAGACTTGTGTCTATTTTTAATAAAGCATTTCCTCTATTAAACATCAGGCCAAAACATTACAAACCTTGGATTACCAAAGGCATTCACATATCTGCGAAGAATATGCGTTCTCTGCTATATAATAAAAAAATTTAATGACAGTATCCCCATCTTTGATTATATCAATAAGTATAGAAAATGCTATCTAAAACAACTCAAAAAATCCTACTTTCATAATCGCCTAACAAGCTCCAAAAATATTTCAAAAGAAACTTGGTCAATAATAAACGATTTTAGAAATAAAACCAGTACAGCGAATCAAAACTTCTCTTTTCCTAATCCCGAAAATCTAAATGATTACTTTGTTAATGTGAGTAAAAATATAACCTTAACTATTTCGCCACAACAAGATCCAGTTTTCTATCTCCTTAATTCAAAAAACATTGCTGATACCTTCTTTTTAAGACCAGTTTATAAGACTGAACTCATTCGAACAATTCTTAGTATAAAAAGCACATCGTCCTGTAGTACAGATGGATTATCTATTAAAATTTTCTCAAATCTTCCGCATAATGTTTTGGAGGTCATGGTCTCACTAGTAAATGATTCCCTTGAAAAAGGTACATTCCCTAACTGCCTAAAGACTGCCAACGTAATTCCTCTTCATAAAGGTGGAGAAAAATCTGATGCCTGCAACTATAGACCTATTGCCTTGTTACCAGCACTATCAAAAATTATTAAAAGGCTTATAAAAAGTTCGACTTATGCCCTTTCTGCTTAAACATAATATTTTATCGCAAAATAAGTCAACTATAAAAAATAAACTAAGCTATATTTTGACATGAAACAAACAACACGTACGAATTCTTTTCATATTTTTTCATTTATTATTTTTCTATTACTGTACTTTAAATGTTTCGTATTACCGTGACAATTAACTTAAATTATCTCCACTCAAAGTCGCAATACAAACAGTATGTTTCAAAGTTTAGAATAATAATACCACGTTTTAATTAACCCCGTACAATAAGTCAAATATAAAATTTTATCAAAAAACTGATTATGCCACATTAAAATTTATAAATCTAAACACAGTGTACTAAAAAAAATCATCAAAATAGGGCTTGTTGTGGTAAATGTTCAATGGAAAACGGAATCTTGAATCCTCCAGTTACTTGTTGCTAAATATTATTAGGACTTCCCGTGGTTTTAGTAAAGAACTCTTTAAGGGGCTTTAAGGGGCCCGCGTAGCGCAAGCGGTAGTGTGCTTGCCTCGCATGCCGGTGGTCGTGAGTTCGAATCCTACCGCCGGCAAGAACAACTAGGCATTTTTAAAAAAATGTCTATAGGCCCCAGGTCGACTCAGCCTGAATAAAATGAGTACCTTGGGTAAAACCAGGGGTAATAATAGGCGGTTGAAGCGTAGCACTGGCCATGTTACCTTCCTTGTATACCGTAGGCCCTAGATATAGCAGACTACCCTGCTATACTCCCAAAGCCGCGTGCGGTATAAAACGGGAGACTATTATTATTATACTCTTTAATATACCTATGTAAACGTAAAAATATATAACATTAATAAAGTGATGATCACTTCATTAATGTCAGTGTCCCGTTTTACGTTTTGAATCTTGACAAAGGCATGGGTTTCCTGCCGAAACATTGATTTCTATAGAAAAAAAATCTAGTTCAACATGTAATATACGAGGGTGGATTGATATAAAACTAGCCTTTGATAGAAAAAACAAGTTTTTTGGAATTTCTGGAAACTAATCGTTTTTAAAACTTAAAATTTTGACAGACGTCATGTCAACTATTAGAAGTTTGTCCTAAGTTTCTTAAAAATAAACTCAATGCTCTTTTTTTCGATATTTTCTTTCGTTTTCGTGCTTTTTGTTTTTCCGTGCTATCGGAATATAACTATATCTTAAAAACTGTGCTATCGATAGTTTTCACGCGATGTATAATAAAGATATTTCAGAACAATTTATCCTTTTTAGGTCTGTGAGATCCTGAACATTCTTTTGAATTTATTGCATTTGAAATAATTAGTCAGAAGGACTTGTATCTAAAAGAATTTGTTTTTGTCTAATCAAAATTATCAAAACTCATCGATATAATCGTTATCAAAAGGTAATGTCATCCGATAAAACAAAGCAACATATGAAATTGATCCAAATAGAGTAGTATCTGCGATAAACAGTATCGAGTGACTACCTCTCAACAATATTTGGATAAATAGAATAGATAAATCGTTTGATAGTAGATACCGTCGTAAAATAATAGTCGTTATTGTTTTTCGACCTGTGTGAAATGAAGGCTTAGTGATGCGGTGGAAGACATTAATCTTTGTGTTTTGTGTTTTGGGATTATCCAAGGCGGACAATAGTAAGTGTAGTGAATACTAATGTGAATAATAGTAAAATAAAATTTGGAAACTGCAAATATCCTAATTAATTATAAGACATTACAAACACTTTTATTTCTATATTTATATGCAAATTAGCTCTTCAGGTGTAGGCTTTAGCGCTAGGCTTTTAGTGATCCGTTGCCACTCTTTTCTATTTTTCTATTTCAAGTTATAATTGAATCGGTTATTTCGAAAATTTGTGCAAGGGACGACGTTTTTTCAGTAGCATTCAGTGGCATTTCGATGTTCTTCTTCTCTAACATTTATTCCTCAATTGGTCTGTCCAATGTCCCAAGGAGTGAACGTACTTGCTGGAATTAACGTACTTGCTCAAAGATGTCGAGATATATCTGTAGACATATACTGTTGTTTTATTGACTTCCAAAAGGCATTTGATCGTGTTAAGCACTCTATAGCTCCAAAAGACATTGTCTTGGACGGCGAAGATGTTCGAATAGTTGCAAATTTATATAGGAATCAAACATCAGTTTTAGTAGATGGTGTGAAATCAATAGGCTCTCACTATAAAAAGAGGAGTACAGCAGGGATGCCTATTGTCACCCCTGATTTTCAACGTTTACTCCGAAAGAATTTTTAGAAAAGCAGTTTCTGAAAAACAAGAAGGAATACTTGTGAACGGCGCAGTCATCAATAATTTGCGATATGCGGACTATACAGTACTCCTAGCTTCTAGTCAAGAAAATCTGCAAACACTACTTGATAGTGTCGTTGAGAGTTGTAGGGAGGCAGGTCTGGATCTGGACATACGGAAAACCAAAATACTCGTAATAAGTAAACAACAGAATATAAAACAACAACAGAATAATACCAAAACTTGAGCAAGTTAATAAAATCGTTTACCTTGGACAGCAATTAAATTGTAACACAGAAAGTCACGGAGACATTAGATCTAGGATAGGCCAGGCTAGAGCTGCTTTTAGAAGGATGTCCAAGGTGTTATGTAACAGAGACCTAAAACTGGCATTAAGGATCAGCCTGTTTCACTGCTACTGTGAATAAAATCGATCTAAATCGTCTTGAGGCTTTCGAAAGTTGGTGCTATAGAAGAATTTTAAAAGTTTCCTGGCTGAAGAAGATTCGAAACTCTACAATACTAGAACGTCTCAACAAGAGTAATGAGATCATAAAAAGCATCAAACAGAGACAGCTGGAGTATTTCGGTCATGTAATGAGAGGTCCTAAATATAGGTTGCTACAAAATATCATGCAAGGAAAAATAGCAGGCAAACACAGTCCAGGACGAAGAAGAACCTCATGGTTGAAGAACTTGGTATGGTGCTGATAAAAGTATGCTATTTAGGGTGGCAGTGAATAAAATTAAGATAGCTATGATGGTAACCAACGTTCTGAAAGCACATGGTACATGAAGAAGAAGAATGACCCAAGAATTAAGGACCCAACAGAAGACGCAAAATCGATTGCAAAAGCCATCTTGTTGCTTACTTTCAGCACTATGCCGTTTGTAATATTTTATGTTATATTTTTAAAAAGATTATTTTTTGAAACATTTTGATACTTACTTAAGTTTTTGATGCTTTGATGATCAAAGAATCATGTTTTGAAAATACCATTTCTGATTTGTTGCCATGTTTAACAATGTTTTATATTATTTGTAATTTTCTTATATTTTTTTGTATTCTTCTTTATTTCTTTTTAGAATTCTTCTTTCTTTCGTCTTGTCTACAATTTCGTCTGTATTCAACTTTTCGTTGTCTGTCCCTTTTTGTGTTTGATTATTTTCTAAAGCAGCGATACTGTACCTAATATATTTAGGCAGTTTACAAATTTAGCAGTTTATATTTACCAACAAAACAGTATTGCACAACTAGAAAATAGTGCAAGTGACCACATTTATAAATCAACTTATTTTTATTGCACAAACTATTCTAATTTTAAAATTATTTATTCTAGTTAATGTTTTTTTAGATAACTCTAGAGTTCATCATCATCATCATCAATTAGCCTATATTTGTCCACTGCTGAACGTAGGCCTCCCGTAAAATTTTCCACCTATTTCTATCTTGAGCTTCTTGCATCCAGTTTGTGGTGATGCGCTAGATATCATCCATCCATCTAGTCGGTGGTCATCCTCTGCTTCGATATGCCTCTTGCCTTGGTCGTCATTCCAGAATCTTTCTGGTCCATCTATTATTCGTTAATCTAGCAACATGTCCAGCCCAAGTCCATTTAGCCATGGATATTTTTTCAACTACATCTGTGACTCCTGTTCTTCTTCTTATTTCTAGGTTTGGTACTTTATCTCTGATGGTATTCCCTAATATTGACCTTTCCATAGCGCGTTGTGTAACTCTTATTTTATCTATTGTTCTTTTTGTCAGAGTCAGTGTTTCTTCACCATATGTAAGAACCGGTAAAACGCACTGGTTAAAAACCTTTCTTTTTAAACAAACTGGGACCACAGACTTGAAAATGTTATTCAATCTACCCAAGACAGCCCATGTGAGACCTATACTTTTTTGTATTTCAGTTGTCTGATTATCTCGGCCTAAGTGAATCTCATGCCCTAGATATTTGTAAGCTATTAGTTGGTCGATGCTATGGCTCTCAATCAGAATTTTACCGCTGACTACAAGGTTGGTCATAAATTTTGTCTTTGAGGCGTTAATTTTAATACCAATTGTTTTTGACACTTTATAGAGCGTGTTCAGCATTTTTGTAGCTTTATCAACTTTATCAGATATTAAAACGATGTCATTGGCAAATCTTAGGTGATTCAGATCTTTCCCATTTATATTAATTCCCATATTATCTTCTCGTTTCATTTGCTTAAACATATATTCAAGAACAACTGTAAACAGTTTAGGGGAGATAGTATCACCCTGTCTAATTCCACGTTCTATTAGAAACTGGTTGGTATCTTCATGAAGACGGACACAAGCTGTACTAATTTCGATATATCGGTAGTCAATGCGGCAGTCAGCCAATGCTCGAAGCATTTTATGATGATCTATAGTATCCAAAGCCTTTTCATAATCTACGAATATGTTGATGGTACATATCTAGCCAGTACTGGTAGATTTGTTCCGTATCTGAAGCGGAACCCAGCATGTTCACAAAGTTGGTAACTATCCAGTTTGTTCACAAGCCGTTTTGTTATTATCTTCATGAATAGTTTGTATGTATGGGAGAGTAGTAGTACTCTAGAGTTACAATGTAATAAAAACATTGATTTTGTATTTGCGTATAAATATAACTTTTAAATAGCAAACACAATTACTATTTATATTCTAACATTGCGATAACTAATATATAAATTATATCTAATCTCCAGAAATCTAAAACATTACAAAATAATCTACTTATTAAAAAATGCGATTTTGGTTATCTATCGATAAAATTATTTTACTATCTTGGTCTTTGTTAAAACTTCACATGATTTTAAAAGAAAAATGTGTCACCGTTTAAGATTTATGAGCGGATATAGGACAATAAAGAGAAACTCTTAATAAAATTGTAATATAATCCATAAAGTAGGCTGATCGAGATGGATAGGGGATGTCGTAGTTTCAAGAAACCAAGGAAAATACTATGCAATATATGGCAAAGTTATGTCAAAAAGAATACTATTACTATCAAAAAGAATGCTTCCTCCTTTTCTTCTTTGCCTACACTAGAATTTTCAATATTCAGAAAACCTACTCAAACTGACCATATGATACCAACATCATCAAATCATCCTTTTCAACACAAGATGGCAGCTATTCAATGTTATGTCCACAGACTTCTTAATATCCCTATGTCTCAAGAAAATTACAATAAAGAAATCTCCATCATTAAACAGATAGCAAACAACAATGGTTTTCCTTCTACTACTGTTGATAAAGTCATTAGAAAATCTATACTCAAAAAGAGACTAAACCAAGCTTTTAATGTTGATAACAAATCCAACACTACTTCCATATATAGATCCTTAACTTACTTAGGACCAATTTCAGAAAAAATTTCAAGAGTACTTGTTAATAAAATTAATGACTTAAACATCTCCTTTAAAACCAAATATAACATCAAGTCCATCTTCAGCAAGACCAAAGACAAAGTTGACAAACTAAACAGAAGTGGTATTTACAAGCTGTCCTGTGGTGACTGTAATATGACTTATGTAGGTAGAACAATGAGAACTCTGAACCAAAGAATCAAAGAACACCTCAATAACCCAGAAAAATCAAACTTTGGATATCACATTAAATTTAATAATCATTCTTTTTCTCCTTCTGAAAACAGTAAAATTTTACACAACATTCCTAATAAAAACTTTAGACTCATGAATCTCTTGGAAGATCTAGAGATATCCAAAGAAATGAAAATAAACCCTGATTGTTGCTTAAACACACAAATCAACCTCAATTGCAACTATAAACCTCTTTTTAAATTATTATGGGAGACTTTAGAGGAAGAAGGGTGACCTCATGCAATCTTGTTATATATTTTTCATACTTTTATTTTTTAAACAAATTTTAAACTTTATTAAAATTTACAACATTTTGTAATTCATTTGACAGTTGTTCTTAATTGAAACATGAAAATACATTCTTAAAAAAATTTTTTATGCAAAGTTCTTACAATTTTCCATCAAGACATACAATTCTTAATACACTTAAGTATCAGATAACATAACATTAATACCAGGTTTCTTCTTTATAGTGTTGTTGAACAATTTGAGCCCTTGTTCCTTAAGGATAGCTGTCAGATTGAACATACATTGACCTTGAGCAATGACTTGAGTGAATTTACAAATTAATGTCATTCTGTATGATGTGATGAACACATAAAATTTAATTTTTAAAAACTTAATTTTTAGAAAGTCTTTGATGACTAGTAGTAATTCCAAACTACTAAATAATTTTGTAAGAATTTAAAAAACAATCTCTATTTCCTATATATGACATTTGTCACCTGTCACTTTTGAAACATCGTTTAAAAGGACCGACATTTGATTTCACTAGTTCTATTCAGTCTACGTCCTCACATCAATAGATGGTCGGGTCTTAAACCCGCACCATGACAAAAAAATTTTTCAATTTTTTAACGTGTTTGTGACGTCCAGTGTCGACCTTTTATATGTTTTTTATATGTTTTAAAAATTCCAACTCCTACAAAATCATAATTGTGAAACTTAAGGAAATGAGATCTCTCCTTTGTAGTGGTATTTAAAAATTGACGTAAGTTAAAAATTACAATCTTTACCAATTAGTACTTATTAGAACATTTTATTGTAGCATAGCTCTGATGATGGCTTTGTAAAGCCGAAAGCGCTCAGCTAGGAATTGCCTAAAATATACACACTTCAAAAATACTTTTTTGCATTTTCTTTCGAAAAGTTATGTAAAACATTGGGTGGATTAAGTGTGGAACACATGAAGGATAGATTTATTGCTCTCTCGTGATTCTGATGCTGCGTTAAATATGTTATTTTTGAGAATTTCCCAGCTTTGCTCGATGTTATCGTTTTCTAATATTTCCTTTCCAGCGATCTTCTCTGATTTTCTTTTCCTGTATAGGTATTCCGTATTTAGTCCTTCGACTTTTATTTTTGTTTGTGTTGGCGCCGCTGTCTTGAGTGGGAAGTATTATATGATGATTCTTATTTGACATTATACTAGGCTTTGGGTCTGTCTACTCGTACTTTCCAAAGGCTGAACAGGAAGTTTTTAGGTCATCTTAAGCTTTGAATTATTGCCCATGGATTATATTAAGGGCAAAATTCCTAATCCTAGAGTTTTTCTCCTCCATTATCATGGAGGTATTTAAGATATAATGGATTTCTTCAGAGAGAACGTACTAATCTTTAGACTTTACCCTACGCTAGCAGTCTAGCAGTTTATGTCTTTGAGAGATATTTAAGAGGCAGTAAATGTTAGATCTATATTTTATGATAGACTGAAGTGTATATCTTTTGTCTTCTGCCAATCTTTCTCACAAGTGGATCTAGGGAACATGCTTTGTTCCTTACCTTCCTAAAGTCACCTTTAGATCAGAATATTCCAGTTGAAATGGTGAGCTGGTAAAGAAGACTAGATTGCTATGTTGCTGTTGACCTGATGAAGAGCCTTTTTCCTACCAATTCTAGGATTTTTCCACACTGTGAATGATTTTAGGCTTCTGAAAATCATAATTAGCTTTTTATTCGTTAGTGTAACTCTTTACCTATTACACCATTGATCGACGATGTTTAGTAGTCAATTGTGCTCTCTAGAATGTTTTTAAAGGATTTTACTATTTTTTTGTTATTACAAAGGCTATATCGTCTGGGTAGAGCAAATGTCAGATACATGAGATGTCTTGGATTGTAAGGTCACTGTTGTATATGATATACAGGAAAAGAGCGAATATGGAACCTTGTAAGACTCATTCTTGTAGAGTGAGAGGTTAAGATGTGATTTTAGGTTTTTACTCTAACAGTTCTGACACTAATACAGGACAGTAACTGTCACTAAGATATCATAACTATGATTAAAGTTTATAGTTTTAAAATCTATTTTTATTTCAAATGGAGTTTAAAAAAAATAAAGGACTGTCTGCAATATATTCGTTACTGTCCCACATCGATAGAAAGTACCAATGGATTAAATCAACCAACAACCAGATTGTAAGATATCGTCGATTGTAAGATAATTATAACATATCTGATGATCTGATGTGAAAACCTACCCTGTGCAGATATTAAGTCAGATCATAACCCACTTGTCGCTAAGTTTCGTCTGAAATTTAAAAAAATCCACAAACCTAATTATATAAGATACGATCTCAGACAACTAAGAGATTATGACATAAAGCAAGAAGTACGGAAATATCCGAAGAACAACATATCTAAGTCAGAAGTTGTTATTGATGTTGACACAGAAATAAACCACTTAGACAACATTGGGAAGGAAATATTAGTCCAATACCTGCGACCGAAAAAGACAGAAAAAAAACCATGGATAACCAATGATATATTACAGATGATTGACAGAAGAAGAGACTCCAAGCGGAAAGATTTCGTTGCACATTAATCTCTAGACAAAGAGATAAAAAAAGCTGCCAGAGAAGCTAAAAATAGAAATCTGGAAGAACAGTGTGAAGAAATCGAGATATTAGAACGTAAATACGATTCCTTCAATCTCCACAAACAGATCAAAGAAGCAGTAGGCATCTATACATCAAAAAGGCTGGGACACTGGACAGACGCTCAAGGAAATCTAATAGTTGATATATATATATATATATATATATATATATATATATATATATATATATTATATATATATTCCGTTTTATAACGTCTTACGACGTTGTCCGACTCCCAAACGCCACTGTATTCTGTCTTAGTTAAATCTTCGTCCAGAATTCGAGCGCTAATCGCTTTCCTAACTCCCAGGTTCCAGCTCTGTGGTGGTCTTCCTCGTTTCCGCTTTTCTGGGGGTTGCCACATCATCGTTTTTTTAGGCAATCTTTCGTCCCGCATTCGGCTCACATGCCCATACCATATGAGCTGTTTTCTCTCAATATCCTCAACTATAGCGCCCTTTATACCCATTTGTTGTTTTATCGCTTCATTCCGTATTCTGTCGACTCTTGATATTCTCATCGATCTTTTGATGGCATCCATTTCCGTAGCTTCGACCTTTTTCTTATATTTCTCGGTTATTCTCCATGTCTCAGCTCCATAAAGTAGGCTAGTTTTAACCATTGTCTCATAGATGTTCCATTTTCTTTTCTTTGATATTTCTTTACTCCATAGAACTCCGTTCAAACATGCTATAGCTCTTCGTGCTTGTACAATTCGATGTTCTATTTCTCGTTCGTCTTTTTCACTACGGTCGAAGATGACGCCCAGGTATTTATATTCGTCACATGGATTTATTTTTTGATTGTCATCAATATCGAGTTGTTCTGCTTCAGTTCCAATTGAGAGGTATTTTGTCTTTTCTAAATTGATATTTAATCCCCATTTCTGTAAATATGTAGAGACGTGAATTGTGATATATATGTGTGTTTTGTTGATTACCATAAATCGTTCGATAGAATAAAACATGGCGAACTGATGAAAATAATAAATTCAATTGGTCTAGATACCCGAGATCGTCGTATAATAAACAATATCTATTACGAACAAACTGCAGCTGTTAGAGTTTGGAATGGAAACAGTTCTACTCAAAATTCTTGAAAATTATGGATAAAGACGAAGTAAAAAGACTTACCCTAATCTTGAACAATTTATACCAAAGTGGAAAAATACCCCAACAGCGGATAAGATCAACTTTTATAACAATCCCTAAAAAACTCAATGCCAAAATATGTGAAGATTATCGAATAATAAGCCTTATGAGCCGTATCCTGAAAACTTTTTTAAAAATTATACATAAAAGAATATATAAAAAGTGTGAAGAACACATTACAAACACACAATTTGGCTTCAGGGATGCATTGGGTACTCGAGAGGCACTTTTTGCAATAGAAGATCTCTTTCAAAGATGTAAAGACGTGAATTGTGATATATATGTGTGTTTTGTTGTTTGTTTGTAAGAGGTCCAGGACGAAAAAGAATATCCTGGCTGCATAACCTGCGAAAATGGTTTAACTTAACCACTACCGGACTTTTTAGGGCAGCAGTCAACAAAGTCAGAATAGCCATGTTAGTGTCCAACATCCGTAACGGATAGGCATCATAAGAAGAAGATGATGTTGATCTGTTCACCTTACATTCATTCTTGTTTATATTTGATGTTGTATATTTTCCTCTTGTCCGTGAATGGGTTAAGAATATAATCGATAGAGCTAAATGTTTCATCATTATATAATACATAAGAAAGCTGTTGATATCGAAAACCGATTCGAGAAAATTGCTAATTTGGAGTCGTTGGAACAGTTGTAACAGTTTATTGGAGAAAACAAATAGCAAAAACTACTGAGCATAGTTTTACTATAAAATATTGTCAATATAAATAAATTAAATCATAAATCTTTTTTAGGTGGAAATTGTAAAATCGATGGCATAGAAGACGGTCAATGGACGGTAACGTTTACTCCCACCACCATCGCTAACGACAATAAAGCAGATTTTACTATCTTTAGCGGAGCTATTACTGGAAAGTTGGGTAAGTGCTAAACATAAAACTAAATAAATATTTATTGCATTATTAAATATACGTGTTTGACATGTACTTTGGGTTAACAGTCTTTATGGTACCACGGTACAGGCTAACCAAAACTCACCAGCTAACGATATAATATATAATATATATTATGTAATATCATTACTATTTGTGACTTATACCAGGTCAATACGATATCCAACCGGAGAAATGTTTTTCTTGATTTAATTTTTTCTAGCTTTCCTGATATATCTGTTTCTGTACCTCTGGATCCGTTATTTGAGGAGGGATTTCATCATACACCAGTCAATTTTGACGTAATTGTTGATATAAAAGAATCTGCCCTTAATTATGAAGAATACTATTATGACTTTAAAAATGGTGATTATGTTGCTTTAAATTATTATTTAGCAGAAGTTGACTGGAATTTATTATTTCTTAACAAAAGCATTAATGACGTAGTTAAAGATTTTTATGATATTTTATTTTATTTAATCGAATTGTTTATACCATTAAAAAAATTTAAAACATCTACATATCCCAAATGGTTAACATCAGAGTTAAAACATTTACTTTATGAGAAGAAAAAAGCACATAAAAAATTTAAAATGACTGGTGGTGATGAGAACTATTGTCTTTTTTCCGATCTCAGGGAACAATGTAAAGAGCTTAGCAAGTATTTACAAAGGCGTCATGTGAATGAAATTGAGGCTAGCATTTTTCATAATTCTAGATCTTTCTGGAAATATATTAATAATAAACGCAAATCTCATATTCTACCATCGAGTATGAGTTTTGGTAATGAAAGTAGTGAAAATGGTTCAGATATTGTGAATTTATTTGCTGGGTTCTTTTCGACTGTCTATAATAAAGAAAAAATAAATCAGATTCCTAATTTTAAGTACGAAAATTATGTTAATGCTAATAATTAAATTAAAAATTAAATTTAATTAATGTTAAAATGAAAAAAATGAAATTAATGTTAAAATGAAAGTGAGTTTTTTAAAACCCATTTTTAAATCTGGTCAAAATAATAATGTTGAAAATTACAGGGCTGTTTGTTTGCAGTCTGAACTACCAAAGTTGCTTGATTTTTTTGTTAACCATATGTTAACCTACGATTGTAAAAATTTAATTCTCGGTCAACAACATGGTTTCTATCAAAAGAAATCTACTTGTACAAATCTTATTTTGTATTCAAACTTCATTGTTGATTCTATGGAATCGGGAACCAAGTTGACTCCATATATGCTGATTTTGCCAAAGCATTTGACAGGGTAAATCACGAAATATTAATTGCTAAACTTCGTGGATACGGAATTGGAGATAATTTATTGGATTGGATCACGAGTTATTTAACAGATCGTTCACAAATAGTAAAATATGGTAATTTTGTTTCTGAAGCGATTAATGTTACTTCGTGTGTACCTCAAGGTTCTCACTTAGGCCCACTTCTATTTAATCTGTTTGTGAATGATATATCATCAGTAATTAATAATAGTGAATTTCTTTTGTTTGCTGACGACATAAAGATCTTTAAAGCAATTAAAAATACCTCTGATATGGATGCTCTTCAGTCTGACTTAAATAATTTATCTCGTTGGTGTGACATTAATGCCTTATATTTAAATATAAAAAAGTGCTATAAAATTACGTTTTCCAGAAATACTAAACATCAGTTATATAGAACATACATACTTAAGGGAGTATCGATTACAGAAGTAAATTAAATTAGAGACCTTGGAATTACATTTGACCAAAGACTAATGTTTGATAGGCATATTAATAATATTACATCGCGGGCTTATAGAATGCTCGGCTTTGTTCAAAGGAACTCCCGAGAATTTTCAATATTTACTTTCAAAATTTTGTATTGTTCTCTAGTTCGGTCCATTTTGGAATATTGTAATATTATTTGGTATCCATATTATAATATGTATATTGATCAGTTGGAACGAGTTCAAAATAAATTCCTAAGAATTTGCAGGTATAAAATGGGTTTTAATAGAACTAACTGTGATTATAACTATATTCTTTGTCAACTTAATATGAAAACTTTAGAAAATAGAGAATCTGAGTGTGAATTGCGTTTTTTGCATAAAATTCTTAATGGTTATGTTGATTGTCCGGAACTGCTGGAATTAATTGTTTTTAATGTAAATTCTAGAAGAACACGCTCTCCTGACCTGTTTAGACTAAAGTTTCATCACACTAATTATGGTAAAAGTGAGTCAATCACAAGGATGTTGAGAACTGCCAATAATTTGCAAGATAGTGTTGAATTGTTTAATTTATCCGTGTCCTCGTTCAAGAACAGTTTAAAGAAATTGAGACATTAATGTTATTAATACTTTTTAAAATTGTAATATATGACTACAGTTTATATGTTAATTATATGTGTATATTGTAATTTTTGTAAGGAAAAAGGGTTCATCCCTTTAAATAAACAAACAAACAAACAAACAAACAACGCCAGTAATAATTCTCACTGTCTTGTTTAATTGGACACTCTAGACCAGTCTTTGCAGATTATCTTCATCTTGGGCTATCAATCTTGCGTCGTCTGCGTAACAGAGTGTTTTGATTTTTTTTGTTTCCCTTTCTGTATCCTCTTTCTTTGTTAACGGTTTTGGTAATTTCATCCATGATCAAATTGAAGAGCATGGGGCTCGATGAATCCTCTTGTCTTATTCCGCTGTCTATTTCTAGAGGTTCTATAAGTTGCCCATATATTCTGACTTCATTTTGTTGTTTTAATAAATGTAGATGTAGAAAAATACCAGGAGGAATTAGCAAGGAAACTAGTAGCAAAGAATATAGATGAACTAGCTGAGAAAATAACTGAAGATATACAAACAGTCACTAAGAAACTTTGTTGCAGAATAAGAAAATAAAAAGAAGCTAAACTAAAACCCGAGATTCTAGAACAGATAGAGAAAAGAAGAAAAACGAACAGAGATAACCTGGACTATAAGGCGCTCAAAAAAAGAGTTAAGAAAAATATTCGAAAAGACCTCAGAGCTTATAGAACAAACCAGATTCATGAAACCATAGAGAACGATAAGAACATAAAAGTACTGAAAACATGTAAATCCACTGGCAGGAAAAAAATCATAAAGATAAAAGACGACCGTGGAACATTGTGCTCGCATAAGGAAGAGATCGTTAGAGAACTCCGAAAATTTTATGAGAGGCTATATACTTCTACTATTCCGAACCCCGGTATACCAACAAAACATATCATAAATGTGGGCTCAGAGGATCTCTCTGAAATAATAACATTAGAAATTAGAGCCGCCCTAAAACAAATGAAAGATGGGAAAACACCAGGAGAAGATAAAATTACTTCGGAGATGCTAAAACTGGGAGGCATTAGAAGAGGCAATGAGAACATTACTAAATAAATGCCTATTGGAAGGACAAACCACAACATAAGGACATACCAAAGGCATGGAAAAATGTGGAAGTAATTCTACTCCATAAAGAAGGGGACACCGCAAATATAGAAAACTACCGACCTTATTGTCAAGCTACCGACGAAGCTTATTGTCACACCTTTACAAACTACTAACCCGAATGATAACAAATAGATTAACAGCTAAACTAGATGCATACCAACCAGTGGAGCAAGCAGGCTTTCGTAAGGGTTTTAACACTATCACTATCACACACAGGGATTAAAAGTAGATGGAGTACATCTTAACCATTTGCGTTTCGCAGACGACATAGTACTAATAAGCACAGATATCCATGAACTAAAATCGATTTAAATCATCGAATCAAATAGGATTAAAAGTGAATCTCGACAAAACAAAGATATTAAGCAACAGCCTAGAAAACATTACGATAGATAACATCAACATAGAAAAGGTAAAACAATTTAAAAGACAGAAAAATCCAAATTCACTTAAAACAGCGAAAAACCTATGACACTTGTATACTACCAGTTGCAAGTTATGGATTGAAAACTATGGCAATAACAAGAAAAATGACAGAACAATTAAGCGTAACTCAACAGCCATGGAGAGGGCCATGTTAAATATAAGCCTTAGAGACAAAATTCCTAACACCAAAATACGTCGAAGAACTAAAGTAACCGACATCAAGGGAAAAATAGCGACATTGAGATGGCAATGGGTAGCACATGTAGCAAGACAAGACACCAACAGATGGTCTCATAAAGTGACATTCTAGTGACCTCGAGAAACAAAAAGAAGCGTGGGAAGATCCAAAAAGAGATGGATAGACTATATGACAGCTGTAGCTGAAAGGCAGTGGATGAGAATTGCAAAAGATAGGGAAGCGTGGAAGCAATTGGAGGAGGCCTATGTCCAACAATGGATAAATGAAGGCTAAAGAAAAAGAAGAAGTACATGTAGGGGAACTTATATTATACTCTAGTGATTTCTCAGTAATTTGCTTTATAACGAAGATTGCATCTGTACACGATCTTCCACTACCAAAAAAATGTTGTTCATCTGCTAAACTTATTCTCTAATTTATTAGCAGTTGTAAAATTTTAGTTGTCAGTTTTAGTCACTTTTATTTAACAAGTTTATTCCTCTATAATTTTCTGGTTGTCTTTTATTTCCTTTTTTGAATAGTAGTAGGAAAAATTAAACTGCGTTATAAAGAGAAAGGTAAATCGAAGTTTTCTTTTTTTCCCCCAAACAAGTGGGGTTTTAAAGAGAAGCTGGGGATAAGAGTGGCAAAACTTTTTTGGTTGTTTTTTTTTGGGGTCAGAAAATTGACATTTTCAGCAAACTTTAGCTTGTTTGTATAATTTTTAGAGGCCAAATCTCTGGCAAGTAAGCTAATATATTACTTAATATTTTAGATGACTTATCATGTAAGCCTAACATAGATGGCAAAAGCAATTATGTGGATTTTGAAGCAAAGGACGGAAAATTTATAATAAAGACTGCTGCAGATATTGTGAAGTTAGATGAGGAAACTGCTCAAACTACTTCACCATTGGATCTTAATTATGTTTGTAGTATGACTTGCGATTCGGGCTCGAGTGAATTGGTAAGGGTAATTTATAAAATAATTAAAATTATTGAAGAACTTTAATATTTTTCTGTATAGTTTAAATATAAAATAAATACAGATATCATTCAAGTTGATATATCTTCAAGAATTTATTTAACAAAGCTAAAGAAAATAGAGTACAAGTTCAGAAAATTTACAACTATCTTTTTGCTTTTAGCGTGTTGCAGTCAAAATCGCTGATTATAATAGCCACAAGCCAGTCTTTTCTCAATCATCTTACAAGTACACAGTTTCTTCCCCAATAATGCCGAATACAGATTTTACTTTAAATGGGGATGTCATCAAAGCCAGCGATTTAGATTTTTCCAATAATGGTATGACATTTACAGTGGATCCCCCACATTTCATTATTACGACAACATCGGACAGTACAGATAGTAATAAAAAAACTTTTGTGGCCAATATAAGGGCAAAAAGTGTAGTTCAACTGAAGGATACCACCACCACTTATACTTTGACTGCTACAGTAAGTATTTACATCTATAGGATATAATAAGAATGTTCTTTGCGTTTCAATTTTAAATTTATAATAAATTTATATATATATATATATATATATATATATATATATATATATATATATATATATATATATATACAGGGTGAGTCATGAGGAACTTTACATACTTCTACCATATGTAGAGTCCCTCAGGGAGCATATCATGTGGCCACTAAAAAATGTCAACTCCTCTTCTTTATTAATTAACAGGGTGATTTGTATAATTGACCATTTATTTCATTTTACTGTAGTGTTTATACGGCTCATTTGATTTTTTAAAATTTTGCATGATACAGTATACTACTATCAAGCATTCGACTGGTATTAGCTAAACTAAAAAATTCCAGGACTGGCTTTGGAAAAATTAATTTAAGGATTCGTATTAAATATTACACCCTGTATATATATATTTTTAAATGCAATAAGTGATTTTCAAACTACATAAATAGCCAATAAAAACGACATATGCGACAATGTTGTCGCACTTTTATTAAATTTTTTAGTGAACGATCAAATCGTACCAAAAATAGAACAACCATAATGAAGTATCAAATTATAAGGTATTAATTTAAACAAATGTTATAAATTTCAAACATTTTAATTGAAATGATAAACTGAGTCACTGCACAGCAAAAAACAGTAACTATTAACAATAACGAAGAACAATTTAAAAAAAAAACTAAAAATATGTACATAGTTATGATAAACCCATAAATTAGAACGTCGAATTGTTGACTGACGTATTGAATTACGGATACTCTGGGGATCGTTCCAATCGTCCCCAAATATGGTAATCAACGGGATTGAAGGCCACGAAATAGGACCTGCACGTCCTATCCACCTGTTGCCATAAACATTATTGAGATGTTGTCTCACTACCAGTAAAAAGTGTGGGGGTGCCCCATCATGCTTAAAAAATACATCCCTCGGATAGCAACGTTCGCGTTGGCAAGCAAATTCGGCAAAATATTTTGTAGAAAGTTCAAATAGACCTGCCCTGTTAAAGGACCATCAAAAAGGTGAGGACCTACTAATTTTTTTATTTATGACACCAATCCACACGTTAACCGAAAACCTTAACGGAGAACGACGTTCTCGAATAGCATGGGGATTTTCTTCTGCCCACACATGTGAATTTCGAGAATTATTTATCCCGTCTATGGTAAATTGGGCTTCATCTGTAAATAGTGTCCTGTATAGCGTTGGTCGATTATTGTTAATCCATCTACAAAATTCCAACCTATCGATCTCATCTCCAGCATGTAGTCGCTGAACCATTTGAATGTGATATGGGTATAGATTATTTTTTTGTAACACTACTTACTTTTGATTGAGTAACATTGAGTTCTCGACTTATTTGTCTAGTGCTTATTGTAGCGTTCATAGTAACGGCGTCCATAATGTCATCTTCCTGCGCTTCATCTACATGTCGCTCTGTTGTTCCACTAGGAAAAGCGCCATTTTCTCGAAAATAATTAAAAACTGACCCAAATGTTGGATGACTGGGAGTTCGACGATTAGGAAATCTCCTGCGATATTCTCTACTAGCAGCCCTACCATTCCCATTACAGAATCCATAAACAAATATGTCTGCATATTCTGTGGTCGAAAACTGATGTGGCATTTTGAACGAAAGTAACAAAAGCTCTACCAAAACTAACACAATATATTCTTGTACACATAAATAACAATTGATAATGACAATAATGACAATGGGTATAAAATATCAAGAAACGTCAAACGGTCAACGTCAACCTTCATTTTAAACTTTTTTAGATTTATTTTTAGTTAGTACAGTTGATGCAATGTATTATTATTTGACGTAAAATTTTAATCATTTACAATCAACAAAAACTAACACATACAAGAGGTTTGACATTTTAATCAATTTAATTTATTATTTATCGAAAATAATGCCCCAATACGATCTATGAGTAAAAATTGAAAATTGAAAAACAATTGATTCTATCGTAGAGATAATACAAAGTGACAGTAAAGATGTTAATTTTCTACGTATTAGATTATGTTGTAGGAACTCATTTTAATTAAAATGTTTGAAATTTATAACATTTGTTTAAATTAATACCTTATAATTTGATACTTCATTATGGTTGTTCTATTTTTGGTAAGATTTGATCGTTCACTAAAAATTTAATAAAAGTGCGACAACATTGTCGCATATGTCGTTTTCATTGGCTATTTATGTAGTTTGAAAATCACTTATTGCATTTAAAAAAAATATACATACAGGGTGTAATATTTAATACGAATCCTTAAATTAATTTTTCCAAAGCCAGTCCTGGAATTTTTTAGTTTAGCTAATACCAGTCGAATGCTTGATAGTAGTGTACTGTATCATGCAAAAATTAAAGAAATCAAATGAGCCGTATAAACACTACAGTAAAATGAAATAAATGGTCAATTACACAAATCACCCTCTTAATTAATAAAGAAGAGGAGTTGACATTTTTTAGTGGCCACATGATATGCTCCCTGAGGGACTCTACATATGGTAGAAGTATGTAAAGTTCCTCATGACTCACCCTGTATATATTTTAGTGGATTCTCTTGGGCTTAGGTTCATAAAAAAAATTTTAGTTTGATACTAAGGCATTTTTATATATATTTTTTCCGACGTTTCGGCGGGAAATCCATGCCTTTTTCAAGAATATATATTGACTAAAAAAAAACATTCTGACAGACATAATACGGTTTAAAAAATAAACTTTTGACTTACCAAGCATGTAAAGATTTGGTATTAACAATTAGACGTCACAATTAAAATAATATTAAAACATAGGACATACCCACTAAGTCACTACAAGTAAAATGTATTTTAAATCTAATGTGTTGTTTATTGATGTTAGCTTATCGTTTAAACAATCAGTTATTTTAACATCATAGGCGTTCTGAGATTGACTTTTTATGTATATTTAAATTAAGTTAAAATATATTTTGTTCAAATTTTTGACATCTTTTTTATCATTTATTGCGTTATTATTATTTTTTTATTTGTATAGACTCTAGAAGCTCTCTCTTCTTCCTGTTGGGTTCACTTTTTAGGATATTGGTTTGTTCAAAACCAAATTTATGTTTTTTTTCGTTTTCATGTTTTGTGAGGGCGGTTGAGTTTTTTTTGTCATATTTGTGGGAACATATTCTTGAATTAAGTAGTTGACTGGTTTGTCCAATATAAATTCCATCACAATTCGAGCAGGGAATTTCATATACAACGTGTGATCTTTTTAATAGAGGGGTTATTGTTTTCAATCTTGTAAAATTCCTTTTCAAAAGATTGTGACCTTTATGAGCAACCGTAATATTATGTTTAGACAGAAGATTTGCTATTTGTTCTGATAATGCTTTTATATAGGGGAGAGACATATAGTTTTTCTTTACCGTGTTGGTTTTATTATTATTTGCATAAATTTTACAATAACAATAATTACAATAATAAGATCTTGCAGTATATTTAACAAAAATATAAAAATTTAAGCTTTTTTTGTGGATTAGACCGCTTTTGCATCAGTGTGCCCTCAAAAATTTTAATAGGAATGGTCATTAGACCTAGAGTACAATACAATTAAACAATATCAATGTTAAAAATATGCCTTATTAAAAAACAAAGTAACAAAAATACTTAATCTTCATCGTTAATGAACTCTTCTTCTTGCTGTATATGTGTTCTTGCTGTGTATCTTATTGTTCTGGTGCTTGTGTAAAATCCATGATGTATTGGAAATATGAATGAAAGTGTTCTGAAGCTATTTTCTTGTGGCATTGTAAATTAATTACTATTTAACTGGGAATAAGCCACAATTAAAGATAAAAATACGTTTATTGACGTTTCAATTTCCACTTCGGAAATCGTTGTCAAAATACAAACAGTAAATTTAATAAATTTTGTTGTTTGTTACATAGTGAAAAATTCTTCTAATAATTTAATTTTATCTGACTCATGTATTTTGACAATTCAGACATACATTATGCATTTTAAAGTAGACGACTTTAAAATGATATTGCCAATATTGTTGAGTTGCGCTCCTGGGACGACTTTACTTATAAGATAATTTTCTCCCTCATAATTTACTATGGAATCACTAACAGGAGAATTTTACTGTCATCATGTCATGTGTTTGTCTTTTTAAAGACGAATTACATGCTACGATTTTTTTTTGACGGATATTCTCAAGTTAAAGTTGATTTCATGTAATCGAATGAACTATCTTATAAGTAAAGTCGTCCCAGGAGCGCAACTCAATAATATTAGCAATATCATTTTAAAGTCGTCTACTTTAAAATGCATAATGTATGTCTGAATTGTCAATATAAATGAGTCAGATAAAATTAAATTATTAGAAGAATTTTTCACTATGTAACAAAAAACAAAATTTGTTTAATTTACTGTTTGTATTTTGAGAACGATTTCCGAAGTGGAAATTGAAACGTCAATAAACGTATTTTTATCTTTAATTGTGGCTTATTCCCAGTTAAATAGTAATTAATTAATGAAAGTGATTCCAAAGGATCTTTTTTGCTTCGGTTATTGAGAACATCTGCATTATTGCTGAACGAATACCTATATACGTTAAGCTTTGTAGACGATCAAGTAGTTATTGCACAAGACCAGGAAGACCTCAGTTACATGATCAAGAAACTACAAGAAAAATATACCAAAGCTGGTCTAGATATAAACCTTGCGAAAACAGAGTACCTATCTACAAGTGAAGAAGATTTACAGATTGGCGACAACGTAACAATCAAAGGAAAGGAGAAATTCAAATACTTATGGTTTATAATCACGAAAAAGGCAACAGAGGAAGAAATTAAGCCAAGATTAGGAGAAACAAGAACATAAATCCGACAACTTAACTCAGTATGGCGGGATAGACACCTAAATATGAAGTCAAAAACACAGATTTATAAAACATTAGTACGAAGTATTGTGTAGGGATGGCGGTTTTTGACACCGATTTTGACCGGTTTTCGGTTATACCGGTTTTTTGCTTACGGTTTAACCTGGCGGTTATAACCTGGCCAAAAAAAACCGGTTTTTTCAAAAACCGGTTTTTGGTATTTAGAAACATTTACAATGTTTCAAACTTGTTACAAACCTTCAGTTACATTTACAATGCACTTTAGTTTGCGATACTTTATTCCACTCGATATCAATATGATCAAAATTTGAATTCTGGTTTTGTTTGGAATAATTACTTAATATTTGGAATAATTAATTTGGAATAATGTTTTTGGTTAAAACCGGTAGGTTTTTCCCATCCCTAGTATTGTGACATATGGGGCTGAAAATTGGATTATAAATAAGAAAAACAGCAGTTAGATAGTAGCAACAGAGATGGAATGCCTGCAAAGATGGTGCAGAATAACTCATAATTAGTCATAAGTTCATTATTAATAAATATATTTTAATTAATATTTTGTCATAATCATGTGAAGCCTATCTCAATTCAGCAGCATAAGAATTTTTTTAGTAAAAAATCTATATTAAAAATTTTTCTTTTTCGACAAAGAAAAGGTATCACAGTATGCCCTGGAAATTTAAATAAACATTTTAAATTATGTCTCCAAGTAGACCTTTTATTACATGATGTTTAAAGAAAAAATTGGTTTAATTTTTATAGAGGTGTTTCCAACATAAACAGGTCACACTGTCTAATATATTATTGGCTCAATTTTAATAATAATTTTTTGTAGGATGTAGGCACCAATCCAGGAACACTTAGCCAAATTGCTAGTGTTATATTTACAATCGATGCCGACAACAGTTTGGATATTCCGTCTTTCGTATATCAGAACAGTCAGACTGACTACACCTTTCAGTACCAAAGCGATAAGACATTGAAACCATTGTCTGGACCTATTAAGTTGAATACCCAACGTACATTAACTGACGAAAACTTTGAACTTTTAGGTGGTAAGTAAAATTATGTAACATCGTTACTAAATATTTCTTAATTCGATGTGAAATGCACACAATGAATTTGGATATATTGGACCCAATGATAACATATTTTCAACGTTATGAGATAGTATAGGTTACAATAAATGGGATACTGGCCGTTTTATTGCTAAGTATCATCTATGACTAGCGTCTTCTTATTTAGGTGCCATATTAGGTCCCAAAATGTCGGCAATTACATTGGCGAGTTGTTATCGGTCTTCAGCTATTCGAAATAGTTCTTCGTCACTATGTATGCCTGACCAATCGCTAATGATCTCCAGTCATGATATCTGCTTCCTTCTTATATCTCGGTAGCCGTGGATTTTACTTTTCATGGTAGGCGAAGGAATTCTGTACCGGTCTCCTCTAAGAACAAGTCCTAGGTATATTTTTTTTTTCTTATACTAATATTTTTTAATAACTCACGAATGGCAATAGCTCTATTTAATACAGCTTTGTTGTTTGGTTTGCATGGCTACCGTGGAACGTTTGGAGCATTTTTATATATGCAACAAGGCTCTCCAATTGAAGGCCCTGGTGCATGTAGAATTCATATAGAATTGGTGAATATAGTGTCGCCAGAGTAACGAAGATTATGAATCAGTTCACCATTCATTTTCTCTTTCAAGTCTTTACCCGCCAAGGTTTTTGAACATTATATACGAGTAGTTAATAAATAACAACTGGATAGAATGTATATAATTCTTCTTCTCATGGCGCCGTCTCCTTTCGAAGGTTGGCGATCCAAATGGCAATTGTGGTTTTGGAAACTGCTGCGCGAAAGATTTCTGCGGATGAGCGGTCGAACCATTTCCTTAGGTCTTTCAGCCATGAGTTCTGGCGTCTTCAACCAATATATACAATGCATCAGTATAATTTAAGTGTATACAAATCTATCCAAATCTTTTTTTATTAGACCAGACTTTACTTAAAATATCTTGGTAAGTGTCAGTAAAAGAAATAAATGTTTTTCCAGACTTTTATGTAATAATAATTCTACTACCATACTTCCATTTCAATCGTATTTTTATAGTCTTGTCATCTAAAACTACATCTTGACAAACATTCCTTAATTCATCCAACGAAAACTGGCAACCATCCCTCATTTCTATGAATTGAAACATTTTCTCCATCGCAGAGTTTACAGTTTCATCTTGTGGACGGCCAATTTTACGACCAATATTAGGTTTTAAGAAAGATTTGATCTTTAAATTTGTCTGGCTAATTGGCTGGGCCAAGGCCATTAAACTAAAATAAAAAAAAGAAAGAAAACTGTCATGGTATTTTGCATTAGCAGCGACTAATTAATACGGTTAAGAACAGGCCTCGAAACATCATCAGAACGATCTTTATCTGATTTCAACAGCGATTCTTTAAATTTTAGTGTAGTCACGTTACGAATTATTTGTCGAAGATGCTGTACTTTCTTTTTCTCAGATTCTTTATTGGCTTCATTGCCACAAAATAAACAGTATTTTTTAAAACAAAAATCTGATTTACTTACTCGCGTTCTAGTATGAGGTGGACTTACTTTTGAAGTACTAGCCAGTTCCTCCTCACGTTCTCTTTTCACTGCGGCGATTGAAGTTTCTCGAATGTATGATTTTCTGCAATCCACGTGTATTGTAACTTATTTTTGAGTTCTTAAATACTCAATAAACTCATCACCTCTCGCGACACTAGCCTCGAATAAAATTGGCATTCCACGAACAACCACAACTGTTTTAGCTTCATTTAAAAGTTGATTGCAAATAAAGCAAAACTGAGACATTCTTAAAAAACTATAAAATTGTACAAATAATGGTAACGGTACTAAATGGTAGACACTTGTAATAAGTACTTATATTCACTTGAACTGAACTTTTAGCACTAAACGAAACAGACAATATGAACAAAACCTACGGACAATCCTGTAGCCATTGCTTACAATAGACAATCTGTTCTTTTTTAAACAATGGTATAGCCAAATGATATGAAACAAATAATAAAGTTGACACAAGAATACTATACGCACCTATACAAAACAAGACATAAACCACAGCAAGAAATTCTTAAACAATTAAACACAAAAATAAAGAATATAAATTCTGACCTACAACCAGAAATAAGTAAAACAGAAATCAAGAAAGCAATTCAAGAATTAAAACAGCATAAGTCAAGTGGAAAAGATGGAATAACTGCAGAGATGCTGAAGAGAGGAGGGAAATCAACTAGAGAATTCCTACATATCCTCATGAACAAAATATTGACCACAAAAGAAATACCCGATAGCTGAAACGCTGCGGAGACACTATTAATGTTCAAAAAAGGTGACCGAAAGAACTTAGACAACTATAGACCTATAACATCACTAAGTGTTGTATTTAAACTACTAACGAAGATCATGACAAATAGACTAACAACTAAGCTTGACGAATACCAAGCAAGAGAACAAGCGGGATTCAGAAAGGGTTTTAGTACTAGCGACCATCTGCTAACAGTAAAAATACTGATTGAAAAGTCGAACGAGTATCAAATCGCATTATACATAGCATTCATAGACTTCCGAAAGGCGTTTGACAGCATAGAACATTGGGCTATCAAAAACTCATTACAGAACGGCCGAATTTATTACAGGTAAACGGACCTAATAACAAACATATACAAAAATGGGAGTACCACAATAAAATTGACGAACGAACACGCTACAGAACCAATAAAATTCGAAAGAGGAATCAGGCAGGGAGACACAATATCGCCAAAATTGTTCAATCAGACTATGGAAGACATATTTAAAAAATTAGAATGGGATACATACGGAATACGAATAAATGGAGAGCTCTTGAACCACTTGAGATATGCAGACGATATAGTCCTGATAACAGATAAGAAGGAAGAGTTACAGAAGATGGTTGAGAAACTAGATAGAAAAGCGACAGAGGTAGGTCTAGAGATGAACTATAGTAAAACCAAGACTATTACAAACCAAGAAGACCAATTAGAAATAGTAGTCAAACATAATAATTTAGAGCAGGTAGCAGAATACATATACCTAGAACAGATAATAAAGCTGAACAGGGACAATCAAACAGAAGAAATAAAAAGAAGAACTAGACTAGAAAGAAAGATGCTGGGTCATCATCATCATCATTCAGCCCATACTCGTCCACTGCTGAACATAGGCCTCCCGTAGTTCACCCCACAAATTTCTGTCATGAGCCGCCTGCATCCAATTTTGATGTGTCCGTTTCAGGTCATCCGTCCATCTTGTTGGTGGTCGTCCTCTATTCCTAAAGGCATCTTGTCTGGGTCTCCACTCAATAATGCGTTTTGTCCATCTGCCGTCCTTCGTTCTCGCGACGTGCCCTGCCCAGTTCCATTTTAAGGTTGATATTCTTTTGATTGCGTCGGTTACTCCCGATCTACGGCGCAATTCTGTGTTGGGTATTCGGTCTCTCAGGGTTAATCCCAACATGGACCGTTCCATTGCCCTCTGTGTTGTTCGAATTTTGTTTGCGGACGTCTTAGTAAGTGTTAGCGTCTCCGCACCATAGGTTAGAACCGGCAGCACACATTGATCGAAGACTTTTCTCTTCAAGCAGATGGGAAGAGCTGATTTGGAAGATGCTGGGTATCGGTCTTAAATACAAAAAAAGAAACTCATGGATCAGAGAAAAAACAAAGGTGAACGATGTATCAAGACAGGTTGCAAAACTTAAATGGAACTTCGCCGGTCACACTCTTCGGCAAAAAGATGAAAGATGGAATAAGCGAATTCTACACTGGAGAACATGGAAAAGAAAAGAAAAAGAGGAAGACCACAGATGAAATGGACTGACGATCTTAAGAGAACGGCAGGAAAGGACTGGATGCAGATCGCCCAAAAAAGAGACCAATGGAGATTAAGAGGGGAGGCCTATGCCCAAGAGTGGGCGTTTAAGGCTAATTAGATTGATAGATAGATAGCCAAATGTTTTTCAAGGCCACGTGAATAGAGGAAATTCAGTTTGGGACTGATTATTCTTTAAAGAAATATTTTCAGAATAGTATAATATATTATATAAAATAGAACAAATAGGTATTTATACTTGTCTTAAGTGCCACATATGTATATCTGTGGCTTATTATGTGCATATAATGTACAAACTAACTTTTAAAATGACGATATCTCAGGATTGGTATTTCTTAGGAAAAAAATTGTGAGGACTATTTTTGGAGAGAATATTAAGATCTACAACCTCGGTTTGAGGTTTTTTTTTATAAAACTTACTGTTTTCGAGGAAAACCAAAAAAATCTCAAATTTTGACCTTTGACCCCGAATAACTTTTGTTGCACACATGGGATCGATGGGGACTTTTAAAACCTTATTTGTTATGGCAAACTCTAGCTCCCTACCAAAATTTGGCTTTCCGGCAATTTTTGTTATTTGCCAACTATTTTGATGTCAAGTTGACCGGATTATATCTAGAGGTCTATACGTAGGGATAGATACTTAGTAGTATTTTCCATAAATAGTGTTCAAGTATAGGAATGACGACTATTGTTGATTTTTTTACTGAACTAATAACTTTTTTCCTGTATATTAAAAAATTATATTCCACTTTTGTTTTTTTTCAGACATGAAAGGAAAATTTTCCTATAAATACGATGCTAGCACGAAGGAAATCACTTTAAGCGCAGATGAAATAAAAGATCCTACCGATACATTAACAGTTCTTACACTCAATATTAATAATGGACAGGTGACTGTTTCGACGCCAATTATTATTTACTTTACAATGAATACTGTCAAATTCAATGAGCATATATACACCGGCAGTTACGATGACGCGAAGAATCAAGTGAATTTGGATAAGAAGATTACAGTAACAAGTACTGGCAAATCTGATGTTACTGTTACAATTTCTGGAGGTAACTTTCAATTATCTAAGTTTATTTTTGTGTAATATGATTGAACAAATAACTATAAGTAATATTCGACATTAACTATCATTTGATCACATTTAATATCTTATGTGAACACTGCGCATAGTAAACGTAAGGAACGGTCATCATGGTACCATGTTTAGGCAACAGTAATTATCTTATGCTGCTTCTTCTTCTTCGCGTGCCATATAAGATTTATCCGACGTTGGCGATCACCATTGCGAAGGCTTCTCGATCTTCTGCAATATGGAATAATTGTCTTGCATTTGGTATCTGAGTCCATTCATGAATGTTTTTTAACCAAGAAACTTGGTTTCTTCCTACACCTCTATGGCCCTCTATTTTGCCTTTAGGGATCAGTTATAAAATTTTATATCGACTACCCCTTACTATATGTCCCAGATAAGACATTTTTCGATGTCTAACAGTCTTTAGCAGTTCTCTGTCTTTGTTGACGCTCCTTAGTACTTCTTCATTAGTTTTTCTTGCTGTCTAAGGTATTTTAAGGATTCATCTATGAACACACATTTGTAGTGCTTCAATTTTGTTCATGATCGATACTTTTAGCGTCCACACTTCTGCACTATGCAAAAGTACAGGCCAAACATAGTACTTAACCATTCTTTGCCTTAGTTCTAAACTGAGATGGTTATTGCAAAGAAGTGACTTCATTTTCATAAAAGTAGTTTTAGTCATTGTCATTCTACGTTTTATTTCTATGTCTGGATCTAGTTGGTCCATTATCACAGTTCCCAAATATGTCATTTTGTGAACTTTCTCAACTTGGACTCCGTTCAATTGAAGCTTTGCATAGGGATGTGGGTCACGACTAAACACTAACAGTCTTATTAATAAAAATTGCTTAGTACGAAGTTAGTCTTGGACTAGTTAGTCCCAGATTAAGCGAGTACTAACTTCATTTTTAGAATGGTATTAATAAACATGGACTAAGCTCAGACTAACTAAACCTTCCTTAGTCCTAGGTACAACAAGTTTATGTTGGCATCCATTGCGAAAAAGAAGAAAAATGTAAAGAATTTTGTGAAAAAAAAAGAAAAATATTTGAAAATTTGACAGTTAGCATAAGTTGGAGCACGTGGAGTTAATTTTAGTTGGACTGTGTTCTGAGAAAGTTTGTTTATATTTTATATTATTTTTTTTACCTGAAAAGTTTAAACTTTTTAACTTAAAATGACCGAACTAAATGCAAAACGCATATCTATTATAAAAACTGCTGTAGCTTTTGAAAAGCGATATTTGCACTTAAATTCATTTTCTTTTAATTCTTCTAGAAGATTTTTTCTAATTTTATATATTTTAATATGTCTTAGATGAATATTATTTCGCTGATTTCTATGGTCATTAAGTTGTTCTATTAATCTTAAGTCGTTGATAAAATAATCTTCCATTATTAAATAATGTATGAATAATCAAAAACAATTCAGGTTATGAATACCAAAACAAATCTCAACTCAGTGTCAATTGTCAAGTTAGTCACTCTCTAAACCTGCCACTATCTCGGATTAAATGTTAGTCCGAGACTAGCCAAGGTTTAGCTTAGTCTGTCCTTAGTCGCTGTTTATTAATACGAAAAATGAATGTTATTGGTGTAGTCCTGGGACTAATATTAGTCCAAGGTTAGTCTGTGTTTATTAATAAGAGAGTAAAAATTTGGTTTTGTTTGAGTTTATTTTATTGCCCATTTCCTCTCCTACCTCGTGAATACGATCAAGCAGAATTTGAAGATCCTCACTATTATCTGATAGAATTACTGTATCGTTTGCATATCTAATCACATTAAGTAGTTCCCCGTTTATTTTTATTCCATATGGTTGTCTCTCAAGTGTCTTTTTAAATAACTGGTCCGAGTAAACATTGAACAATGTTGGAGACAAAATGCTGTTAGAAATAGTAAATGTCAGTCAAGTCTTTTTCAATTTTTCAACCACTAATATTTGTATCTTCCGGTGGTATATCTAGCCAAATCTGTTTTGATATCAGGTAAAACGAAGCTAGCGATAGCACAGAGCTTGGTAATTAACGTAGCTTTTAAACACCTATTAACGATTCTTTCTGGCTTGTAACATATATATACAAGTGTAGTTTACAACAAAATTAGTATCTAGTATAAAAAAAAACACCAACAAAATCAATAATCTAACATTCAAATCAAAATCAATATCTGACAAAAGCTTTCGATCGCATCCAAGTCAAAGACGTTTTACACCTACTGTATAAAAGAAAAATGCCAATCAATATTATACAAACAATCGAAAACATTGACCATAATCCATATCCATAATCGAATACAGGTCATAATCTATAATCGAATACAGATTAGACGGGATTACTCGTTAAGCCCACTTCTCTCTAATATAATAATGGACCAAATAATACAAACAGTACGTAATAGTTATGGTTACAGAATGGGGAACAAAGAAATCCAAATATTATGTTATGCAGATACCGCATAAATCGCCGAGACAAAAGACGAGCTTCAAAGATTAACACATATCTTCAATACAGCAGCCAAGAAATACAATATGATAATACCAGCAGAAAAAACCAAATGTATGACAACATCTAAATACCCATTACGATGTAAAATCGAAATTGATGGGAAAATAATAGCAGGAAGCAAGGTTTAGATATCTGGAAATAGATATAACTAGTTAAGGAGATGTTGAAGAAGAAGTACGACAACAAAGCTTAAAAGCAAGTAAAGCGGTGGGATCTCTTAAGGACACAATCTGGAAGAACAAACACCTTGGAGAAGACATAAAAACAAGAATCTATAATATAATACAATGTTTAAATTTGAGAACAATTCCCGAAGTCGAAACTGAAACGTGAATAAACTTATTTTAACCTTTAATTGTGGCTTATTCTCATTTAAATAGTAATTACTTTAAAATACCACAAGAAAATAGCTTCAGAACAATACTAAGAATCTATAAAGCAGAAATTGGACCTATAAAGGAATTTATAAAGACCTGACACATCTAAAACGAGACGACTATTAGAAACAACAGAGATGAAAATACTCCTACGAATATCAAAAAAATTTAACACGTTAATTTCCCCAAAAAAAGACAAAATGCATGGTTACACTAGCAAATTTACTAACATGTAAACTTTAGATGGAAAGTCAGATAATAAAACAAGTGATGCAGATTAAATATCTAGGCATCACATTATCTTGCCACGGAAAGCTCGAAACTGAAGTGGAAGATCAAGTGAATATAGTAAAGAGAGACGCAGGCTGCTTGATTGAAGTAATATGGAGAAATAAAAACATCGAAAACGAAATAAAAGGCAGAATTTACAAAACAGTCGTCAGGCAAATAATGACATACGCGGCAGAAACAAGACCTGACACAGAGATGACAAAAAGGATGTTAGAAACAGCAGAGATGAAAAAATGTATAAAAATTTAGTAGAAAGACCACGAAAACGATGGAACGACAACTTACTAGAGGCACATTCAAAAACAGATAGAGTCATGTATATAGAAAAAGAAGAAGAGAAGAATAATATCAGAGAAAAGTCTGTTGGATTGGGAGTGAAACGGAAACAGAAGTGAAACGAACACATTAGTTAAATGGCAGAGGATAGGCTAGAGTAGCACCAGATAAGTCACCAAGTATTGGCAGACCAAGAAAAAGATGGTGTGATAATTTAAACAATTTAGGAGGCTAATATTGAAGAAGAAACAGACATGAAAGCCTACATACAAGAAGGAAGTAGAAGGACAAGAAAAATTCTAGTATATACTTATGCTTTTCATCCTGCAGCACTATATTATACAGCAAAAACAAACAATGTAAGCGAAGATGGTTTTAGAGCGGAAATATATGCTCCTTACTTTTAGTTAACAGATTCTGGTTATTATTTTGCCTTCTGGTTTTAAACACTTTAAATGCCAACATGAGATCAAGAGAAAATGTAAGGAAAACTCACAATTTGCTTTTTTGGGACTGGGATTAAGCTTGTTATATTTATGGTATGTTGAGGTTGTTTCCAAGACTTCAGTAAATGTTGACTTTATTTCAATTTCGGTTTGTAAAATACTCATATCTTAGCTTTATCTTCTAGATGGACAAAAATATCAAGTTAAAATGATTTTCGATGTGTAATAAAACATTACTGATATTTTCTGTCCTATTCCCGTATTATATAAATAATTATTTTTCTAGATTTGGAAAAGTATTTTAAAGCAGTAAAAGGCACTGATGCCGGTACTTGGTCTATTGAAGTAACATCACCCGCTCCAACAGTGGACGAACTAAAAAAATACGAATTTCTCAATCTGGTACTGACTGCAACTGAAGACGGAGAAACCGACACGGCAAGCCTATTGGTCAAACTTCCTTCACATGTACTACAGTTTTCTAAAATTTTATACGAAGCTACTTACAATAACGATAATACTGTAACCATGTCAGATAAGATTGCGTTTACTACGGATGTGTCGTCTGTGGATATAACCGTGGATACAAGTAAGTAAATTAAGGTATAGTTTATAATAATATCAATATAGTGGTAAATACTTTTCTTCAGATAGTTATGTTGGGAATTATACAAAATAATTGGGATGAAAAATAATTTGACATTTGAGATTCCAAAAATCTCAAGTCCCTATGGTCTATATGAATGAATGAATGAGCTAACATATTAAAACCAAATAACGCTTTTCTGGTTCCTAGTCGGTTTCTGAACCCAAACTGACTATCATCTATTCCTTCTTCCAGTTTTTTTTATGAATACGACCATGTATTATTTTCAAGAAGAATTTGAGACTGTGACTTATTAGTGATATTGTTCTATATGCACTGCAATATTTAGCATTTGTATTTTTAGGGATAGCGCAAAAGGTGAAGAGTATCCATTGTTTCGGTACGTGTCCTGTTTTGTATACTGAGTTAAATAGGTCTACTATAATGTCTAAGGTTTCATCATTTATGCATTTTAAGATTTCTATAGGGATTTGGTCTGGACGTACTGCTTTACCATTTTTACTATTTTTTAATGCCATTTTAATTTTCTCTTTTAATATCTTTAAAATTATATCCACTTCTACTTTTATGTCCATCTGCTCTGTTCTATTGTCTTTGAAAAGTTCATTGATGTATTCTGTCCATCTCTTTAATTTGTCGTTAGTAATCAACACAAGTTTGCTATTTGCATCTTGCAGTATTCCATGTTTTCTTGTTCTATTGCGTGAGTTAATTCTTTAATTTTTTTATGTGTGTTAAATCTGTCATGTCTTTTCTGGTATTCTTCTATTTCTGCGCATTGTTCTTTAATCATTGTTCTTTCGCTTTCTTAATTCTGTATTTTATTTGTTTATCCACTTTTTTGTACATCTGATTATCTTTGTTTTTATATTGACGTCTTTCTTCCATTAAATCTAAAATTTCTTTTTTATGATTCTATGTAATCTATCTATATAATCTAAAATCTTTATTTGTAGTATGAATACTCAATCGAATCAAGAGTAATTATTAGAATCTAAGGTAGACTAATGGGTAGGACCAAAGTTTTCAAGAAGATATTTAATTTAGTTCAAAACAAAATTGCTAAATGATCTTTTTGATCAGATTGTAATTATAGAAAACTTATGTGTTTTATAAAAAAGCTTCATTACTCTGCTATAAGAACAATGTCGCTAATACTCGAATTAAACATGTCTTTATTAACTTTTTGTTAACATTATGTTTTTTAGATTATGAAAAATATTTCGAAATAAGCCAGGAGGACAAGAATTACATCATAAAATCAACAACTACAGCGCTACCAGATGATATTCTCAAACAGCAGACAGAAATTGCAATCATCATAACCGCAAAAGATAGCTACCAGAATACCCAGCAGGCAGTTGTGAAGATGACCTTGCCAGAAATTAACAATGAAAAGGGGCCGAAGTTTTCTAAATCTTATTACAAATCCGAATACAAGCAAGACCAAACGGATGAATACTTGGACTTTACGGATCCTGTATCTTTTGAAAACGTGGACGATATAACAACAGTTAAAATCGGTCTAGATGGTAAGTTAATTTTATAATTTATTAACATAGCTATTCAATATTACGCACATTTAGAAATTAATTTCTCAGCGTGTTTTGGTAATTTTTATAACTGAAAGATATTGTCACGTTACTTATGACAACGACAATCTCTCAATATCCTCAAGTTCCAGCTCCAAACCGTCGAAGACATTAGAGACATTGTGGATAGTATTGGGAACAACTAAGAGCATCTTCTCAACGCAGCTGTTGGCTCAGAGAAGCTTGATTATTATGCTGACTCTTTAATCTCCAGCATAACAACCAGCTCACTCCAATATTTAAATTACTCTCTGAACGATGTTGCTGATGTTGCCTGAACATTTGAATATCACCATTGGTCTGAACGAATCTGTCCCAGTTATATCATAATCCTTTTACAAATCCACTAAAATTGAGGAGACATGAGGCATTATGACAACTACAATCTCCAGCTCCAAACCGTCGAAGATATTAGAGACATTGTGGACAGTATTGGGAATAACTAAGGGCATTTCTTCAACGCTGCTGTCGGCTAAGAGAAGTTTAATTATTATGCTGACTCTTACAATCTCCAGCATAACAATCAGCTTAGCCCAATATCCAAATTACTCTCAGATGTTGCTTTAACTCTTTATCACCATTTGCCTGAACGAATATGTCCCAATCATATCACAATCCTTTTACAAATCCACTAAAGTTGACGAGACAGTCAAAACCAACTCAAATTTTTAAAAACCAAAATCTTCTTAGATCTAATTAAAATTCAATACAGAAGTAAAACTTCAAAATTTATATAATGGTATTAAAACTTGTTAAAAGTGTCGTCCAAAAATTAGAGATGCAAAACGTTTTCGATCTGAATCAGATTATCCTCAGTGAATTCTGGTAGTATTTGTAGCTAACACTAAAATGGAAGTGGAGACATCAATATATGGTTTACACATCAAAAATTTGAGTTAAATGAAGGTTATGACATTGTAAGATTTGTGAAAAGTCAAAGACTGTCATGGCTGGAACATATGCAGAGACAAAACGATGCAAAAACAACAAAGAAAATGTTACAATGGAAGCCCATAGGAAGACAAAAAAAGGAAGGCCCAGAACGAGATGGTTGGATGACGTGGAAGACGACCTGAAAACAATGAACATAAGACAATGGAGAAGAAGGGCACAAGAGAGATCTGAATGGAACGACATAGCCAGACAGGCAAAGACCCATCCAGGGTTATGGTGCCAAAAGAAGAAGAAGAAGACATTAAAAATTTAAAATATAATGCGACCCTAGATCGATGACATTGGTTATAGATGTTAATACTTAAAGAACAACATGCTTTCTTGCTCGACTGAGCCGAATAAAAAACGTAATAAATTTGTGCTTTATTTGGGTTAAGAAAAAAATATTAAAATAAAACTGAAATCCTTATATTTGTGAAAAAATACATAGTTTTGTAAAATAAATAAAAAAAAATATAAAAATCCACATGAAAAAAGTGTATTACTATGATAAATGTTCAAACTGCACACTAAACAAAAAAATAGGTAAAATAAAAATCGATCAAAAAAGTTTGTTTCAAGCATTAGTCAAACTTTACCATTTGTATATGCAATTTTTACACAGTGGTTTTGTACATTCCAAACCAACAGGTTTTTTACAACGCAAACATAGGTATTTTGTCATGCTGATCATTCATCTTTTCATGTGATCTTGCACTAACTACATAGCCAACTCCAAAGCAAAAACACTTTTTTCTTTGATTACTGGATTGTTTTTATAGCACTGATATAGAATGTATGAAGTTGCTACAAAAATGTCCAATACACGGAAAAAAATTGTCAAGGGCCATCTTCTGGTTCGACGGCTTGAGGTGCTTTCGGACCATTTTTCATCTAAGGAATCTATACCCCCTTATTCTCATTAGAATACGAAGTAATTTCTGGTTTATTAGTAAAAGCATCACTATAACAAGAAAGTAACATTAACAGAGAAATTAAAGTACATTCTTCCCTAAATCCCTAAATTTTTGACCCTTCAGGTCTCTTGGGCATAAAAGATTAAGGTATTTTAGCAGTAAAAGGGCTGTGAGAGTTCTGCGTATTTTCCCATGTTAAATCTTATAAGAAATCGCATAAGAAAGGTCCTTTCTGGTCATTTTTGGCTCATCGGGTCGTGATGTAAAAGGTATCATCGGAAAGGGGAGGAAGTAGCAAATACGTTAACACAAAAAACAAAGATGACGCCATCTTTGATTTTTGTGTCTACGTATTCGTTTGTCCCTCCCCTTTCCATCGATAACTTGCACGTTGTTGTACGTTGAGCCGTTTAGACGTTACAAGCTTAGTGTCCTTATGATACTACGCCGCCATCTTTGTTTTATTTGTCTTATCGTATTTACTACCCTCTCCCATACATTTCTTATGGGATTTAACATGGGAAAATACGCAGAACTCTCACAACCCTTCTACTTTCAGCTTTATTTTTTTTTTCAGTGTGTCCACATAAGTCAAATTTTTCATTCGCAAAATATTCACTAATCGAATAGAAAAATACCAATTATCAGCTGTGATATTTCAGTTGCTACCAAAAAGTCAAAGCCAAAAAGGGTGGTTTCCGCTGTAGATGTAAGCATTATACAAATACCCATTACCTGCATCCGTAAGATAATGTATTTTGAGTCCGTATTTAGCCGAATTTGTTAGGCATGTACATTTTAAACCGGCATCTACCTCGAAAAGCATTTCATCATCAATTATGGCAGATTGACCAAATTCATATACACTTTGACAATTTTCTATGAAAGTATTGAATATAAATGAAATAGCTGCAATTAGATAATTTTTTTGCGTTCCTCCCTGTATTTAAGATATTCAAATCGGATAGCAAGTAAAAGAACAGCATACCTTTTTTTCTCATGACTGCTTTGAAGATTTCTCTTCAGTTCCATCTGTGGCAAATAAACAGTCTATGTTCGTGACTGGAATTGACAATGGCACTGTAAACAAGAAGTTCCAAAAATGCTCTTAACTCAATAACGTCCATTTCTCTAAGATGATGGATAGAACTAGCAGAATATTTCTAACGTATTGCTCGTAATTTTATATTTGTATTCTGCTCAATATGTTCTAGATCACTGAAAAACGTATTCCAAACGGAAAAGGGTATTGCAGTCTCACCCAGCATTTTTGCTTTTGTTTTTAGGATGGGTACTTTTATGGCAATATTATGTTTACGTGTTCTAGATGAAGGGATAACTTCTGACGTACACCACGTGTGTCGATTTTTACCATAAACATATTTTTTGATTACCATCACTAACTGCTAATTCATCACAACCTGCATTCTCGTCAGATCCCGAAAACTCCGAACATGTATCGTGTTCAGATTCAATGTTATGGTCTTCCGAAATATCGTCTGCATCCTCCAGGAACATGAGTGTACTACTGCTATACGGTGGGACCCCCATGTCCGAAGATCAAACCGGTCTCGTTCCAAAAGAGCGTGTCATTTTGGCTCGGTACCTATCTGATCCCCAGGTTTTTGCTACCACCCCTCCCTAACGTTTGACATACGCAAGGGAGGCTTGAATTATTACGTCGGGCTATTTGAAAAAAAAAACACTTTCCGTTTTACATGGTTGTGGTGATGCCACCTTGCATTAGGGGTAGCTTTTAAGATTTTCTCCCTATTTACTTTACTGAATTTAATTCCTGGAGTCTATCCCGAACGGAGATCCACCAACCTGGGTTGGAGTCTCAGCTGCCGATTTGGTAAAAGACTGTCCTATGCCTGACTGTGCCCAGCTGTTTCCTTGACAGCTGGGCATCCGAAGAGTCTGGTCATCGAGCCCATGTATGCCGCACATGGTCTCAATGCTCAGATTTCGCGAATAGCCCAATCGGCCTGCCTTAAGTAGCCTAAGTGGCTGTATAAAAGTGCCTGACGGACCTTTTATACCAGTGTTTAGTGAGTGTGTCGACACATATCTTTAGTGAGTACGGCGACACATAACGTGTGCTAGAGACCGTGCACAAAGAGCGAGCATTGATAAAAATCATCAAAACGAGAAAGGTCCAATACTTCAGTCATATAATGAGAGGACCTAAATATCGCTTACTCCGGTTAATCATTCAGGGCAAAATCGAAGGAAAACGTTGGGTCGGAAGAAAACCACTGTCCTGGCTGCGTAACATTAGACAATGGACAGGTCAAACGGTCGAGGAACTGTTTCATCTAGCTGCTGACCGACAATCATTTCATCAGCTTGTCAATATGACGATAGCCAACGCTTGAATACAAGCACGGCACACAAAGAAAAAGATAATCTCGGTCTCATGACTATATGTTATGGGGCGAACCTATATTCAGTTATTTGGTGTTTTGGCCGTCTGTGTACCATTCTTACGTTTTCGTCATATTATATTAGCTCTCTCAGCTTTCTGTTGGGGTGGTCCCTTATTTTATGGAAGGTCGTGTAGACTTTTTCATTCATTGCTTGCAGTATTTTTTCCTGCATGGTGTCCATATAAATATATCTTAAGGGTACGTAGGTTGGAACATTAAGGGCTTCCCTTATTATGTAGTTTTGGACTGTTTGTATTTTCTTTCTGTGGGTTTTACCAACAGGAGAGTGGTCAGGGTTATGTTGTTGGACATTCTGACTTTGGTCTTAAATCTTAATTTGCATCTCCTGCCTATTAGCGAGGAGAGTTGGCTACTTAGTGTCTTGGCTTTGTAGACTGTTTGGTTCACATGTTCTGTTAACGTGAGCTTTTTGTCAAGATTTACACCAAGATATTTAGCATGACAGCTCCACTCTATTTAAGTATTTACTATTGTAAGTTCGGCATTTGGTCTACCCATCCTATGTTGGAATATGACGGCCTGTGTTTTGTCAGGGTTGAGAGCATTTTGTAGATTATTTCTGGCGATATCCGGGTTCCTACTGCTGGCTGCTATTGCAGTGTCGTCAGCATACAGACTTAACAGTGATCTCGGGTCAGTTCGTGTGTCGGATGTGTATATAGTGTACAGGTACGGCGAAAGCACCGCTCCCTGCGGCACACCTGCCTCCAGAGTTCCGACTTCGGACAGAGTGGCCCCTATTCAAACTCTGAATCTCTGGTTTGTCATTTATGACGTACGAAGGCATGTCATCGCTTCTGTGTACCTTATATTGAGCATTTTGCATATCAATCTTTCGTGCCAGACTCTGTCGAAGGCTTTACTGACATCGAGAAAGGCAGCTGCTGTGTACATCTTCTCATTGAAGCCCTTGGCAATATATTCTGTTAGTCTTAGTATCTGTAATTCGCAGAAGTGTTCAGATCTAAAACCGAATTGTGCTTCTGAAATTGTTCCTGTTGCTTCTGATTCCTCTTTGAGTCTTTTTAGTATCATTCTCTCTGCTACTTTACTTATAGATGAAATCAAACTAATTGGTCTATAATTTTGTGGAAAGCTCCCATTTTCCCCCGGATTTCCAATGATTATTACTTGAGCTTCTTTCCATCTGCTTGAGAAGTATCTTAGTCTCATTATGCTGTTGATGATGTTTGTGATATAGACTATTAATTTCTCCGGTAAGTTTTTCAGCGCTCTGTTCGTAATGTTATCAAGTGCTTTCTTTGCGTTCATCATTTTTATTATTTCTTTGATTTCTTCAGGGGAGGTATATGTTAACCCTATTCTCCCCTTTCTCATTGTACCACTTTAAAAGAGTTTTCTCATAATCGTCATCGCCGAAACGCACCCGTTTTGATGGTCCGGCCACACTTCTAAAAACGCACAACGCACAAAAAAGTAACACAAACGGTCCGGCGTCTTCTGAGCAACTACTCTCGACCTAAATGTTGAGACAACTTTTAAGGAACTAAGGAAAAGTTATTTCAAATACACCCACTTGTCAAACTCGAATAGTTAAAGTATAAGATAGAAGGACTTGTCTGTGGGTGGTGCCGATTGCCAATATTGCCAAAGAAAGAATTAAAATTGACTCGTCTGTCAGACGATGCTGGCGGTTAGGGGTTAGTTTGTTAGGGGTTAAATATGTCTCATTTCCTACTGTTGTAAGTGCATACACACCTTAAATTATTTCTAATACAGTAATATAATTTAATAAATATTTTCCAGCATACAGTGACAATTTTGAAATAGTCTATGATACAACTCAAAAGAAATGGCGAGTACATATAAAAGTTCCATTAACTTCTAAGGACTTCGATTCTTTGACAGAAATACTTGTAATCATGGAAGTTACAGAAACAGGAGTCACGAAAACTGGAAAATCCGTATTGGTCATAGACCTTACAACTGAAGTAGCTCCTCAATTCGTTGATTTGTATTATGCAGCTGAATATAAACAAAGTGAAACGAATTATATAGATTTTAAAACAAATGTTGCATTTGCGAAAGAGATTGATCCAAAAAATTTACAGATAACACTTGATAGTAAGTCTATGAAATCAAAATAGTAACAACATACACTGATAATTCACAAAACAATACAAACTTTATATGATATATATTAAGATATTTAATATTTTAATAATTTTCTAGCTTACACAGAAAATTTCGCGGTAACTTATGATACAGCTCAAAAGAAATGGCGTATACAAATAAAATCCCCTTTGGATTCTAAAGATTTTGAGTCTTTATCAGAAATCGTTTTGACTATGGAAGCTACTGAGTCAGGAGTCACTAAAACAGGAAAATCTGTATTGGTAATAGAACTTATTACTGAAGTCGGTCCTCAGTTTTCCAAATTGTACTATGCGGCTGAATACAAACAAAACCAAAAAGACTACATCGATTTTATCGAAGATGTTACTTTTACCAAAGAGATTGATCCAAACAATTTAAAAGTAACACTGGATAGTAAGTTTTAGTAGATAAAAATAGCAACAATACACAATAACAATATACAAAACAACACTAATTTACATAATTGATGGATTCGACCATTACTTGATGGAAATTCATTTTATGTAACAATAAAACACTGAAAACTTTGTTTTCAAACTTCCACAAAATTTATTTTAACTATTATCACTACAGCTGTTTCGGCTGATTGCCTTTCTCAAGTGATCTATTTTTGGCATGCGTTTGCAATTTATAGTCTCTAATGAAATAGGTTGAGGAAGGGAGAAGTATTTTAAATTTGTCATTAAAAGAATGATTATGATCTAGAAGGTGAAGTGCGTATGTCGAATCTGTTTTTTTATTATTGAAAGCTCTTTTATGTTCTGCTATTCGTTTATTAAAGTTTCTACCAGTTTGACCGATGTAAGTTTTTGGGCAGTCGCCACATTGAAGTTTGTACACACCACTATTTAAGTGTTTTTATTTTGGCTCTTGTTATTTTTAATATATTTGCCTAGGTTGTTATTTGTTCGGAGAGCTGGTGGTTCCTTTCTTTTTTATGTGTTTGGCAATTTTTGTTGTTATTTTGATTCTATATGTAATCGAGCAGAAAGTACTGGGTTTTTTTCTCTGGTGGTGGAAATACTAATTTCAGGGCTTTCTTGTGTAGTTTTTGATTTAACATTTTATTAATTGTTTGTTCGTTGTATCCATTGTTTACTGCTATTTGCTTAATTATATTTAATTCTGTCTCAAAGTTGTATTTTGACATCGGAATTTCTGTTAATCTATGTAACATACTATGATAAGCTGCCAGTTTATGTTGTGTTGGATGGGATGATGAATTGTGTATAGTCGTGTCAGTATGTGTAGGTTTATGAAATATGGAGAAGTCATGTTTGTTTTTAAGTCTGATATTTTTTATATCTAAAAAATTTATGGATTGATTTTGTTCTGTTTCTATTGTAAATTCAATATGACTATGAAGTGAATTAATATACGATAAAAATTGGTCGAGTTGCCTGTTAGTTCCTGTGAAACATACCAGTACGTCGTCTACGTATCTCCACCAATATAGAAATTGTTTGAATACGGGATGTTTTGAAATCTTTGTCTCTAGATGGTCCATAAAAATATCTGATAGTAATGGGCTTAGAGGATTGCCCATTATAAGTCCTGCACTGTTATTTGAATATATTTGATCATTAAATTCAAAGTAGTCCTGGTTTATGCAAACTTCAAGAAGATGTAAAATTTCAGATGTAATTATTGGATTTGTACTATTTTAGTCTAAAAGGTTTTTTACTAGATTAAAAGTTTCTGTAGGAGGGATACTAGGAAAAAGATTTTTTACGTCAAATCAAATTAATCTGGAGTTGTTAGGTAATTGAAAATGTATTTTATTAACAACTAATTCTATTGTGTTTTTTATGGTAAATTTAGGTGAAAATTTAGTGTGTTCTAAGATAATCTCTAACAGTTTTTTTGAAAGTTTATATGATGGAGCTATATAAAAAGAAACTACAGGTCTTATTGGGTGATCCGGTTTGTGTAGTTTAATGAAAGAGTATAATTTAGGAGGTTGTGGGTTCATGATATTAAGGTATTTCTGTTCTATTGGATTTACTATTGATTATGAATTTTCTAACGCTAGCTTAATTTGTTTTTGATATTTTTCTGTCGGATCTTTGTGTAAAGTTTCAATATTTTGATTATTTAAGAATTCTATTGTTTTGTTATTATATTCTATTTTATCTATAGCAATAGTAGTGTTGCCTTTGTCTGCTTTTGTAAATTAAATAAAACAGCAATTTCAATTAAAAATAAATCAATAGAAAACAACATTGTGTTGCTCAAAGTTTGAAAACAAAGTTTTCAGTGTTTTATTGTTACATAATTTACATAATCTACATTTAGATTGTTACAACAAGATTCATGCTTATACTCTACAGAGCAACACTACATTTATATAATCTTCGTAGACCTTTAAAATTTTGTTCCTTTTCTAGCTTACACGGACAATTTTGCAGTCACTTACGATACAGCCCAAAAGAAATGGCGCATACAAATAAAATCGCCTCTGAATTCTGAAGATTTTGACTCTCTAGCAGAAATCGTTCTGACTATGGAAGCTACAGAGACTGGCGTTTCTAAAACAGGAAAATCGGTTTTGGTAATAGAAATTAAGAAGGACGAAACAGCAACTGCACCACAGTTTACCGATCTGTACTACGAGGCTGAATATAAACAAAGTCAAACAGATTATATAGATTTTAAAACAGATGTTGCTTTTACCGAAAAAATTGATCCAAAGAATTTAAAAATAACACTAAATAGTAAGTTTATAGGCACTAATTAAGTTAATAGCACCAATTTATACTGAGCGTCGACATAATAATACCTAATTGCAAAATAGAAACAAATGTTCACACTTGTTACTTTTATAGATTACTTGAAACTGAAGACTTACTTTCATGTTTTGGCAGTTTTTTTGTTTGTTATCTTCTGGCTTTGAGGAGATAGAGCCTGACCAATGGTAGGTGTCAATCGAGGAAGAATACCCACAGTATTTACGAAAATATATCTACTATGAACATGATAGGAGTAGTAGTTCCTACAATTTCTTTATCTTTGTTCTCTTAACTTTCGGATACTTTTTTTATATTTTGTAAGACATCTGTTTGTTTATTAATAACAATCCTTCTATGAACATTGATATTCAAGCACTATACGTCTTCTATTTCATAAAGTTGAGCAAAAACTACCAGTTGCTATTCTCACATTCAAAAATATGTGTTCTTGCCTCATCTTGATAATTAACTACATATTGTCTTTATAAAATTTACTTTCAATAATTTCAGTCTGGTCTTCTATTCTTTACATATATACACCACTGCACCTTCTTCTTCTTATGGTGCCCTATCCAATTAGTGGATGTTGGTGACAATTCTGACATACTCCTCTCTGTTTGTCCAATCCCTTATGTTGTTAAGCCATAATTCATCACCAGATCATCTACTTAATCTTAAATGCTTTTCCATGCGTTGCTGCCACCTTTTTTCACTTCGAATTCTTCTGAGACTGTATAATTGTCATTTTTATCAATCTTACTATTTTTTTTTCTAGCTCTTGGAATTCTTTTAGCATTTCTATTAACTTGTTTCTGTGTATTGTATCGTGAGCTGCTTTAGAATTAATGAAAATACTTGTGTTGAAATGTTGTATTCATAGCAATTGATCAGGATTTGTTTAAGCATAAAAATTTAATCGGTTGTTGATCTTCCTTTCTGATATCCTCCCTGGTATTCTCCTTGATTCTTCTTTACATATATTTCTAATAGTTTTTCAATTAGTATGGCAAGCACTTTAAATATTACCTCTAATAATGATTTTCCTCTAGAGTTTACGCATTCAGTCTATCTCCCTTTTTGTGTGTAGGAATTATAATCTATTTATTTCAATATTGAGGCATTTCTTAGGCATCTTACACTTCTAGTGTTATCTCACTAAGTTGGTTTATTGAAGCCTCTACTCCACATTTTAGGTTCTCTGCCACAATGCCGCTTTTTCCGGGTTGTTTTTGATTTTTCATATCTTTTTCTTCAATTTCTTCTCTTGTGGGCTTTGGTATTTGTTCTATTACTAGTTGAGGTTTAGAAACATAATTGTTTTTAGTAGCCACTCCGTTATTTAGCTTCTCTTCGAAATATTCTTTCCACCTTTTACATATTTCCTTGATACTCAGTTTTAATGTATTTTACATCTTTGTAACATTTTTTCATTTCGTTTTTCTTGTAATTTTCTTAAATATGCTTTACTTTATCCTTATATACTTTCGTTTTCGCTCTCGTAGGATTTCTATTAATTTTTTTCCATGTTCGGCATATTTCTAGGTCGTCTTGTTTTTGCGATCGTAAACTTTTTAATCTCAAATCTGATCTTTTTTTAACTCTGTTCTATATTCGCCATCTAACCAGTGGTTTTTTCTAAATCTTTTGGTTCTTGGTATGTTCTTCGATGTTGCTTTCTTTATAGTGTTTGTCATTTTCAAGAGCTTTTGTTGCACGTTACTCACAGTAGTATTATCTTGTTTGGCGTAGGTTTCTTGTATATCCTTTTGATATTCATGCACTGCCTCAAATTTTCGCTTTTCAAAATTAAATTTACGTTGCCTTTCTATTTCCGTTTATGCCTTTTAATTATTGCTTCTCTCATATTAATTCTAACCAAAAAATGATTTGGGCCTACGTCAGCCCCTCTGCACGTTTTCACATTTGTTATTAAATTGGCGAATTTCTATTGTAATAAGATATGGTCTATTTGATATATATTTGTTCTCCTGAAATTCGTACTCATTATTTTCTTCCTGTTTTCAATTGGGAATGTAATTAACCTTTGGCCATAATCATCTGTAATTAAGATGTCTTCAACACTCCAAGCGTTGAAATACACAACTGGATAGTACACAAAATAATATGTTATAACAACATGGAATTTTAAACTGACACTCTACAGAATAACACTAAAGTTAAGGGTCAACATTGATCAATAAATGTTTATTAAATTTGTAGCTTATACCGATAATTTCGGAGTGACTTATGATACAAATCAAAATAAATGGCGTATACAAATAAAATCTCCTCTGAATTCTGAAGATTTTAACTCTTTATCAGAAATAATTCTAACCATGGAAGCTGCAGAGTCAGAAGTCACTAAAACAGGAAAATCAGTGTTGGTTGTCGAACTGAAAACAGACGCAACTGAAGTGGGACCACAATTTAAGGATTTATACTATCAATCTGAATACAAACAAAGCCAAACTGATTATATAGACTTTAAAACAGATGTTGGTTTTACCGAAAATATTGATCCAAAAAATTTAAAAATAGCTCTAGACAGTAAGTTGTCTACTAAATCAAAATAACGATATCTATTTATGCTGACACTCTACAGAACAACACTATATTTATATAATCTTCGATAAGACTTTTAAACTTTTGTTCCATTTTTTAGCTTATACGGACAATTTCGCGGTAACTTATGATACAGCTCAAAAGAAATGGCGTATACAAATAAAATCCCCTCTGGATTCTAAAGATTTTGAGACCTTATCAGAAATCGTACTGACCATGGAAGCTACTGAGTCGGGAGTTACTAAAACTGGAAAATCTGTGTTGGTTATCGAACTCAAAACAGATGCAACAGAAGTGGGACCACAATTTAAGGATTTATACTATCGATCTGAATATAAACAAGGCTCAACTGATTATATAGATTTTAAAACAGATGTTGCATTTGAAGAAGACGTTGCTGCGGAGAAACTAAAAATAACGTTGGACAGTAAGTTGTAGATGAGAACAAAATAACAACAATTTACACTGACACTCTACAGATCCACATTACGTTTATACAATCTTCCATCGGACCTTTAAAATTTTGTTCATTTTTTAGCTTATACAGACAATTTCGCGGTAATTTATGATACAGCTCAAAAGAAATGGCGCATACAAATAAAATCTCCTCTGGATTCTAAAGATTTTGAATCCTTATCAGAAATCGTACTGACCATGGAAGCTACAGAGTCTGGAATTACTCAAACTGGAAAATCTGTGTTAGTTATCGAACTCAAGACAGACGCAACAGAAGTGGGACCACAATTTAAAGACTTGTACTATCAATCTGAATATAAACAAGGCCAAACTGATTACATAGATTTTAAAACAGATGTTGTATTTGAAGGAGACATTGCTGCGGAGAAACTAAAAATATCACTGGACAGTAAGTTGTCGATGAGAACAAAATAACAACAATTTACACTGACACTCTTTAAGATCACCGTTATATTTATACAATCTTTAATTCATCATCATCCTTGGCTCCACAATCCATGGTAGGTCTTGGCTTGCTCAAGGATAAATCTCCATTCTTCCCTTTTCTTCGCCTTGGCTTTCCAGTTTCGTACTCCCAACATTCTCAAGTCTTCTTCCTTCTTCTTCAAGTTCCACTCCTATCGGAGATTGGAAATCATTCTGGCAATTATAATTTTATTGGTTACTCGCCTGAATAGTTCAATTGAACTGCATCCAAACCACTCACGGAGATTGCGTAGCCACGAGATTTTACGTCTTCCTACGCTTCTTCTACCTTTGATTTTACCCTGCATTATATTCCTTAGTAGTTCGTACTTTTCACCTCTCATGATGTGCCCCAAGTATTCCAATTTCCTGATCTTTATGGAATTTAAAACTTCGCATTGTTTTCCTAGTTGTTCGAGAACTTGTTCGTTTGTTTTGCGATCCATCCATGATATTTTCAAAATGCGTCGATAACACCACATTTCGAATGCTTCTAGGTTTTTAATGTTGGATTTTTTAAGTGTCCAAGCTTCAACTCTATACAAAAGGGTAGAGAAAATATAACATCGAAGCATTCTTATCCGGAGCGATATATTGATATCGCGATTACAAAAAAGTTTTCTCATTCTATTAAAAGTTGACCGCGCAATTTCAATGCGGCATCTTATTTCTTTTGTCTGATCAGTATCTTCTGTGATTCATGCTCCAAGGTATTTGTACGAAGATATTTGTTCAATTTCTGTATTATCTAGTACTAGCTTAACTTTGATGTTTTGTGCTTTTGTAAATACCATGAACTTGGTTTTCTTCAAATTGATTTTTAGTCCATAATCGTTGCAATATATATTTAGTTGTTCAGCAAGGTGTTGCAGTTCTTCTAGTGTTCCTGCCAAAAGGACGGTGTCGTCAGCATATCTTATGTTATTAAGTTTTATAACCGTTTATTATAAGGCCCTCACTGATCTCGGCAAGCGCTAATTCTGAGATGGCTTCACTGTATAAATTGAATAACAAGGGTGATAAAATACACCCTTGGCGGACCCCACGGCGAATCTGGATATCCTTGTTCAGTTCGTTTTCAACTTTCACTTTTGCTGTTTGATTCCAATAGAGGTTACAGATGATTCTAATGTCTCTACTGTCTATGTTTTTATTTAATAAAATTTCTTTAAGTCGATTATGCTGCACTCTGTCAAATGCCTTCTCAAAATCAATGAAACAGGCATATACTTCCTGATTAATATCTAAGCATCTCTGCGAAAGAACACTTACTGCAAACAGTGCATCTCGTGTTCCCAGTCCTTTCCTAAATCCCATTTGTGTATTACTTATGCCTTCATCTAATTTCTTATGTATTCTATTGTGAATTACTTTTAAAAACAATTTCAAGACATGACTCATTAAGGCTATGGTGCGATGTTCATTGCACTCCTTTGCATTGGCTTTTTTGGAAGCAGTATGAATGTTGATTGGAGCCATTCTTTAGGTATTACACCTGTTCTATATATGGTATTGAATAGATCCAAAAGAAGATCAATAGATTCAGTATTCACAATTTTAAGTAATTCGATAGGAACTTCATCAGGCCCAGGAGATTTACCATCTTTAGCTTGTTTCATTGCATATTCAATTTCTTCTCGTATAATGTCAGGCCCAGTATCATCCTTAAATTTTTTTGGTGCTTCTGTTCTTTCTTTGTCTTCAAATAGTTGTGCTATATATTGTGTCCATCTCTGCATTTTTTGGTTTATATCTGTTATAAGTGCACCCCTTTCATCTCTTAGTTGCCTAGTTTGAAGTGTTTTTCTCATTCCTGTTAATTCTCTAATTCTTTTATGCATGTTAAAAAAGTCATATTTTTTCTCAATTTCTTCTAGTTCTTGGCACTGCTCATGTAACATTCTCTCCTTAGCTTCTTTTATTCTCTTTTTTATTAATCGATCAGTTTCATTATATTTGATTGGATTTTTTGTTTTGAATGATTTTCTTTCATTCATTAATAGTAGTATTTCTTCAGTCATCCAATCTTTATGTTTTCTATTCTTTGGTTTTAAGTTTTCATTTGCTGTTTTAATTATTGCTGCTTTTATATTTTCCCATTTCTGATCAATGTTATAGCTACTTTTATTCAGTTCTTGGGCATTACGTATATTTTCAGTAAGAGTTTTTACAGTTTGTTCCTTTGTTTGTGGTTCCCTTAATCTCTTAATATCAATTCTACTTTGTGTGGGTTTTTTAACCAGTTTTAATTTGGTTCGTAATGTGACTACTATGGGGTTATGGTCTGAACCGATGTCTGCTCTAGGGTAAGTTTTGGCAGACAGTATAGAATTACGAAATCTTTGTCTAATAAGGACAAAGTCAATTTGATTTCAGATTATTCTATTCGTTGTATCACCGGGAGATTTCCATGTATACAACCTTCTTTTTGGTAGCTTAAAAAGTGTATTAGCTATTACAAATTCTTCCGTCTGGCAAAATTGTATCAAACGGTCACCACGTTCATTTCTATTTCCTAGACCATATTCCCCCACAAGTCTTCTTCCACCTGATCCTTAAATTGTGCTCTGGGTCTACCTCTCCTTCTCACGTCATCTATTCTTTGGTTATAAATATGTTTTGGCGGCTCCATTTCATTAATTCTCTCTATGTGACCTAATCACTGTAGCCGATTTATTTTATGGACTTAATAATATCAGGTTTTTCATAAAGGCGGTAAAGTTTAAAGTTATATTGTCCACACCATAATCCGCCCTCCTGTACATCTCCATAGATATGCCGGAGGATTTTACGTTCAAAGCATCTTAAACGTTTTTCATCGCTCTTTGTTATCGTCCATGTTTCGACGCGTAGGTGAGGATGGGCTTAATAAGAGTACTGTATATCACTAGATTCGTTCTTCTTGTAACTATGCTTGTTGTTAAAAATTTCTTAATCCCTAATAGGCTCTATTTGCCAGATATAAGCGTCTGTTAATTTCTGCACTCACTGCATTCTTATGATTAATTTGTAAACCTAGGTACATAAACTTTCTTACTCCCTCGAAAGTATATGTTCCGATCGTTAGATCTTCTGGTTGTTCTGCTTGTATATAAGTTCATACTTTTATATACTTCGTCTTACAAGTGTTTCCCATTCTTTTTATTGCTGCTTCAAGCGCCTTAAATGATTCGACCCTGTCCGCCATTATTCTTACAATAATGTCGATGTCATCGGCGTATGCTAGTAATTGCACGCTGCGATTAATAATAGTTCCTCTGGTTGTTATTGCAGATTCCCTTATCACTTTCTCTAGTGCAAGATTGGATAGAAGGCATGATAGGCTATCTCCTTGTCTAAGTCCTATCTGAGACTGGAACGTTCTGGAAACTCCGTTCTGCACTCTATCTTTACACTCGACTCTTGAGAGGGTCTCTTTCACCAATTTTACTATTACAATTTTTAATCAGATCATTAAAATTTTGTTCATTTTTTAGCCTATACAGACAACTTCGCGGTAACTTATGATACAGCTCAAAAGAAATGGCGTATACAAATAAAATCTCCTTTGGATTCTAAAGATTTTAAATCCTTATCAGAAATCGTACTCACCATGGAAGCTACAGAGTCTGGAGTTACTAAAACTGGAAAGTCTGTGTTGGTTATCGAACTCAAAACAGATACAACAGAAATGGGACCACAATTTAAGGACTTATACTATCAATCTGAATATAAACAAGGCCAAACTGATTATATAGATTTTAAAACAGATGTTGCTTTTGAAGGCGACGTTGCCGCGGAGAAACTAAAAATAACGTTGGACAGTAAGTTGCCGATGAGAACAAAATAACCATTTACACTGACACTCTACAGATCAACATTATGTTTATAAAATATTCCATCAGACCTTTAAAATTTTGTTCATCTTTTAGGTTATACAGACAATTTTGCGGTAACTTATGATACAGCTCAAAAGAAATGGCGCATACAAATAAAATCCCCTCTGGATTCTAAAGATTTTGATTCCTTATCAGAAATCGTACTCACCATGGAAGCTATTGAGACGGGAGTTACTAAAACTGGAAAATCTGTGTTGGTTATCGAACTCAAAACAGACGCAACAGAAGTGGGACCACAATTTAAAGACTTATACTATCAATCTGAATATAAACAAGGCCAAACTGATTATATTGAATTTAAAACGGATGTTGCTTTCGTGGAAACTATTGATCCGAAGAACTTAAAAGTATCACTTGACAGTAAGTTGTTAAATATTGCCAAATAACAACAATTTATACTCACACTTGATAAATTAACGCTATATTAATATAATCCATATTTATTGATCACATGGTGACATATACACATAAAGCAATAGCAAAATTACCATATTAACCTTTTAGGTTAGAAACAAACATTAAGTTCGTTTAATCTATCAACTCTGGAATTGTGAACAAAAAGTATTAGCAGCTATCATAATAGGATATTCTTCTTCTTCGTGTACCTTGTCCTTTCAGAACGTTGGTTACCATCATAGCTATTGTAATCTTGTTCACTGCCACCCTAAATAGCATGCTTATATCAACACCATACCAATCTCGCAAGTTATTCAACCATGAGGTTCTTCTTCGTCCTGGACTGCGTTTGCCTGCTGTTTTTCCTTGCATGATATTTTGGAGCAACCTATATTTGAGACCTCTCATTACATGTTCGAAATACTCCAGCTTTCTCTGCTTGATGCTTTTTATGATCTCAGTAGTCTTGCTGAAACGTTCTAGTATTGTGGAGTTTCGAATCTTCTCCACCCAGGAAACTTTTAAAATTCTTTTATAGCACCACATTTCGAAAGCCTCAAGGTGATTTAGATATAATAGGATATTGAGTGACAGAATTTAGAGTGAACGTGTACAAAATGTGAGTACATATGTGGGAAATTATTAGTATAATTTCAGAGTATGTGGACTGTATTATATAGAGCTGGTTCAAATAAAATTAGGATATGTAGTAAAAGGTATACAGACAATAGCAAATTAAGTTTATAGAAAGTCTTACCAATATTTTTTCTTCTTCACACTCTCACGGTTGTTTCCGGTCTTCACTCGTGGTTATTCTTTACCCGCAAAATCTGTCCAATGCACCGGTTTCTGAACACGTGTTTCGCAAATATATCACGATATCGAGCACACTTTTTCTGCACATAATTTAATACAGTATTTTCGATATTTCTCACGTAACTAAAGCGGGAAAGAGGTAATTACGATAGAAAAACAGCCAAGATAGATGCTGTTCTTCTTGATAAGCGGAGAGAGAGAGAGAATGAAAGAGAGAGTACGAGTGGCTCTAGCGGTGGCCAGATCAAGAGAGAGGACGTCTGGCTATAGCGATGGCCAAACTAAGAGAGTGGACGTCTGGCTCTAGCGATGGCCAAACTAAGAGAGAGGCTTTCTTCTTTGCTATCTTAGCACTGTCTGTATTTCTTAAGGGAGAGGGTTAAAATGTAAGTAGAAAGGGTTATTAAGGGTTGCACTAAAATAATTATTATAAAATTGTGATATAAGGATAGTTAATAATACAGCGAAAAAATGACATGATTTTTCGCATGTGTAAAAATTGAACACGTTGTCGAAATCTAGAGCATTTGCTAGCTTGGTGTCCTTCATAGAGTTGTATATGTCTTCTCTGGAGAAAAAATGATATTATTCTGTTGTTGTGTGGCGTTATGTTTTTAAATTTTGAAATTTCGTTTAATATTTTGTCTTTTGGTGCTCTAAATAGTTTTACTAAATGTGAAGCGATGGCATCTGGTAGTATATCTTTATTTGATCGTTTTATGAAAGAATCGCTTTCAAGTTTTCTCAATAATATCCATTATACATGCTTGTTTGCTAGATGTTTGAAAATTGAAATATCTACGTTTTGAAAACTATAAAGTATTTATTATTTCCTATTTCCTAATTGCCAGAGTCAAGGCAAGATCAAATTTTGGAAATCCTAACTGTTTTGGATCCGACCAGAAATATATTCTTTGCAAATCCTTCTTGATATTTATTTATGTTCACGATACCAACAAATTTCTGGCTATTTTAACTATAAGTAGTATCCACCATAAGTATTTTTCCAGATATTTAAAGAAGATCACTTAGTTGGCGCTTTTCAAATTTCATCTTAGACGATGAATCTTCTTAGAGTGCCATCTCCCTACGGATGCTGGCAATTATAATGGCTATTTTTATTTTATAACTTGCTGCTCTAAACAAATCAATCGATCTGCATTGATACTAATCACCTAGATTCTTTAACCATGAGTTCTGCCTTCGGCCAACAGATCTTCTTTCTTGAATCTTCTCCTGTATTATGAGTCTCAAAATTTCATATTTTGGACCCCACATCACGTGGCCTAGGTATTTTAGTTTTCTGGTTTGTATAGTGTTGATTAGTTCTGTTTCTTTACCAATCCTCTCCAGTACTTCTTTATTTGTAATAAAGAAGTACTGGAGAAAAAATAAGTACTGGTAGACGATGAAATAGAAGTAATTTAAAAAAATTATTAAAAATTATTTGTAAAAGGTATATATTTAGGCCCAAACGGGCTAAGTTAAAAAGACAAAAGGTTTTCGGAATCCAAATTCCATCATCAGTGTCTAAGAGTACATGAATAATGCAGCCACCAAATACATGGGTAAAAACCCGTTAACAAATAATTAATTACATTTAGTTTACAAATTGTCTTATAATGTTTTAGGATGTTAAAGATACCGTTGGATTAGGTAACATGGCGACATATGACTCCACGTTGAAGTTGCTAGTCTTGAGACAGTGTGTCTTGAGACAGTGAGACAGATAGACACACTGTCTCAAGACTAGCAACTTCAACGTGGAGTCATATGTCGCCATATTACCTAATCCAACGGTAACTTTAACATCCTAAAACATTATAAGAAAATTTGTAAACTAAATGTAATTAATTATTTGTTAACGGGTTTTTACCCGTGTATTTAGTGGCTGCATTCATGTATTCTTAGACACTGATGATGGAATTTGGATTCCGAAAACGTTTTGTCTTTTTAACTTAGCCCGTTTGGGCCTAAATATAGACCTTTTACAAAGGATTTTTAATAAATTTTTTAATATATGGTATACAGGGTGTCCCAGACTAATTTACCCACGCTATATCTCTTAAACGAATAGAGATTTTCGAATGGGACAAAAAGTGGTCTATTCCATTTGTAATACACTTTAATATACCGTAGAAAAAAAATCATCCCCTAAATATTCATCCCTTAGTTACAACCCCTAACTTTAATTTTGTTAATAGCACCCCGTATATTTTTTTTATAGTTTTGGATGGGTCTTCTATCGTCTATTCAACAGATTTATGAAAAATAAAATCGGTGTGTAAATAATCAAGAAATCAATTAATTTTTTATTTTTGTTAATTAAGTGTCCCAGACTAAATTATCCAGGCTATATTTCTTAACAAAATAGAGATTTTTTAAAGGAACAAAAACTGATCTATTCCATTTGTAATACACTTTAACATAGAGAAGAAAAAATCATCCCCTAAATATTCATCCCTTAGTTACAACACCTAACTTAAATTTTTTAATGGCACCCTGTACATTTTTTATAGTTTTATATGTGGTCTTCTATCGTCTATTTAATCGATTTTTTAAAAATAAAATGGGTTGTAAAAAGGTATCAAGAAATATCAGTTTATTTTTTATTTTTGTTAATCAAGATTAACAAAAGAATAGAATCGAAAAGAAATATTAGTAGTATAACTTCTTACACACCCTTTTTATTTAAACATTATTTTTAATTTTTCAAAATTTGGTCTTTGTAGGAGCATACGTTATCTTTCAGTGTGGTTGATGGTATGTTCCGTTGATTAATTTAACAAAAATAAAAAATAAATTGATATTTTCTTGATACCTTACAAACCCATTTTATTAAAAAAAAATCGGTTAAATAGACGATAGAAAACCACATCCAAAACTAGAAAAAAATGTACAGGGTGTTATTAAAAAAATTAAAGTTAGGGGTTGTAACTAAGGGATGAATATTTAGGGGATGACTTTTTCTTCGCTATATTAAAGTGTATTACAAATGGAATAGACTAGTTTTTGACCCTTTAAAATATCTCTATTTTGTTAATAAATATAGCCTGGATAAATTAGTCTGGGACACTTAATTAACAAAAATAAAAAATTAATTGATTTTTTGATTATTTATAAACCGATTTTATTTTTAATAAATCTGTTGAATAGGCGATAGAAGACCACATCCAAAACTTTAAAAAAATATACAGGGTGCTATTAAAAAAATTAAAGTTAGGGGTTGTAACTAAGGGATGAATATTTAGGGGATCATTTTTTTTACGCTATATTAAAGTGTTTTACAAGTAGAATAGATCACTTTTTGTCCCATTTGAAAATCTTTATTCGCTTAAAAAATATAGCGTGGGTAAATTAGTCTGGGACACCCTGTACAGCCAACTACAGGAACGTAGATTCCTTGTGGATTTTTATTTGAGAAGTAATTTAATGATTTTGACGTCAGGATTGTATTTCTAGAAGTTGTATGGTCTATACATAAGTCTGTCCTTAAAGTAAAATACATTGTGCACTTGTTCGTATTTCTCATTTCAATAATACATCCCTTTTTGCATTATCTCTGTACCTCTACAGCTCTTGATAACTTTGCACCTGCAGTAAGGTGGGATTATGTTTAAATGACTTGGTACGACCAAGGTGTAGTACTTACTTACTTACTTACTCCGTGGCGTTACAACCCTTCGTGGGTTTTAGCCTACTCGACAACATGCCTTCACTGTTTTCTGTCTTGAGCAACCTCCATCCAATTCTCCACGCCCATAGTGCTTAGGTCTCCTGCTATATTATCTCGCCACCGGAGACGAGGGCGTCCGCGTGGTCTCCTTCCAGTTGGGACTTCCTCCCACACCAGTCTTACTGTTCGTTCGTCAGAATGTCTTCTGAGGTGTCCTGCCCATTGGAGTCTTCTGGACTTTATTTTTTTTATGATGTTGTCTTCTGGATTTTATTTCTTTTATGATGTTGGTGTAGTGTAGTAGATTACTTATAAATAATGTAGGTGTGTATGATTTCGATTTCTACATCGCGTTTGGTAGAAATTAGAGAACCCAATTCAATATCTTGTTTAACATATGTTACTACTCAGTACTTTTGAGTTTTCACAGCTACTGGCCTTTCGCATAAATCATGTTTTCAAAGATTAAGTGACAAACGCGAACCAGAGGTTCCAATGTTCTGGATAGACATAATATATAAAATATATTTATATTTTTTTATTAATAAACACATTTTTAAAACTTTTTTAGCTTATACCGACAATTTCGCAGTAATTTACGACACCACACAAAAGAAATGGCGTATACAAATAAAATCCCCTCTCGATTCTAAAGATTTTAAGACCTTATCAGAAATCGTACTGACCATGGAAGCTACTGAGACGGGAGTTACTAAAACTGGAAAATCTGTGTTGGTTATCGAACTCAAAACAGACACAACAGAAGTGGGACCACAATTTAAAGACTTATACTATCAATCTGAATACAAACAAGGCCAAACTGATTATATAGATTTTAAAACAGATGTTGCTTTTGAAGGAGATATTGCTGCGGAGAAACTAAAAATAACGTTGGACAGTAAGTTGTCGATGAGAACAAAATAACAACAATTTACACTGACACTCTACAGATCAACATTACGTTTATACAATCTTCCATCAGACCTTTAAAATTTTGTTCATTTTTTAGCTTATACAGACAATTTTGCGGTAACTTATGATACAACTCAAAAGAAATGGCGTATACAAATAAAATCCCCTCTGGATTCTAAAGATTTTGATTCCTTATCAGAAATCGTACTCACCATGGAAGCTACAGAGTCTGGAATTACTAAAACTGGAAAATCTGTGTTGGTTATCGAACTCAAAACAGACACAACAGAAGTGGGACCACAATTTAAAGACTTATACTATCAATCTGAATATAAACAAGGCCAAACTGATTATATTGAATTCAAAACAGATGTTGCATTTGAAGGAGATGTTGCTGCGGAGAAACTAAAAATATCACTGGACAGTAAGTTGAGGATGAGAACAAAATAACAACAATTTACACTGACACTCTACAGATCAACATTATATTTATACAATCTCTAATTAGATCTTCAAAGTTTTGTTCATTTTTTAGCTTATACAGACAATTTTGCGGTAACTTATGATACAGCTCAAAAGAAATGGCGTATACAAATAAAATCTCCTCTGGATTCTAAAGATTTTGATTCCTTATCAGAAATCGTACTCACCATGGAAGCTACAGAGTCTGGAGTTACTAAAACTGGAAAATCTGTGTTAGTTATAGAACTCAAAACAGATGCAACAGAAGTGGGACCACAATTTAAGGACTTGTACTATAAATCTGAATACAAACAAGGCCAAACTGATTATATTGAATTCAAAACAGATGTTGCATTTGAAGGAGATGTTGCTGGGGAGAAACTAAAAATATCACTGGACAGTAAGTTGAGGATGAGAACAAAATAACAACAATTTACACTGACACTCTACAGATCAACATTATATTTATACAATCTCTAATTAGATCTTTAAAGTTTTGTTCATTTTTTAGTTTATACAGACAATTTTGCGGTAACATATGATACAACTCAAAAGAAATGGCGTATACAAATAAAATCCCCTCTGGATTCTAAAGATTTTGATTCCTTATCAGAAATCGTACTCACCATGGAAGCTACAGAGTCTGGAGTTACTAAAACTGGAAAATCTGTGTTAGTTATCGAACTCAAGACAGACGCAACAGAAGTGGGACCACAATTTAAGGACTTATATTATGAATCTGAATATAAAAAAGACCAAACAGATTATATTGAATTTAAAACAGCTGTTGCTTTTGAAGAAGACATTGATCCCAATAATATAAAAATATCACTGGACAGTAAGTTATCGACGAAAACAAAATAACAACAATTTACACTGACACTCTACAGATCAACATTATATTTATAAAATCTCTAATTAGATCTTCAAAGTTTTGTTAATTTTTTAGCTTATACAGACAATTTTGCGGTAACTTATGATACAACGCAAAAGAAATGGCGTATACAAATAAAATCTCCTCTGGATTCTAAAGATTTTGAATCCTTATCAGAAATCGTACTCACCATGGAAGCTACAGAGTCTGGAATTACTAAAACTGGAAAATCTGTGTTGGTTATCGAACTCAAAACAGACACAACAGAAGTGGGACCACAATTTAAAGACTTATACTATCAATCTGAATATAAACAAGGCCAAACTGATTATATTGAATTCAAAACAGATGTTGCATTTGAAGGAGATGTTGCTGCGGAGAAACTAAAAATATCACTGGACAGTAAGTTGAGGATGAGAACAAAATAACAACAATTTACACTGACACTCTACAGATCAACATTATATTTATACAATCTCTAATTAGATCTTCAAAGTTTTGTTCATTTTTTAGCTTATACAGACAATTTTGCGGTAACTTATGATACAACTCAAAAGAAATGGCGTATACAAATAAAATCCCCTCTGGATTCTAAAGATTTTGATTCCTTATCAGAAATCGTACTCACCATGGAAGCTACAGAGTCTGGAGTTACTAAAACTGGAAAATCTGTGTTAGTTATAGAACTCAAAACAGATGCAACTGAAGTGGGACCACAATTTAAGGACTTGTACTATAAATCTGAATACAAACAAGGCCAAACTGATTATATTGAATTCAAAACAGATGTTGCATTTGAAGGAGATGTTGCTGGGGAGAAACTAAAAATATCACTGGACAGTAAGTTGAGGATGAGAACAAAATAACAACAATTTACACTGACACTCTACAGATCAACATTATATTTATACAATCTCTAATTAGATCTTTAAAGTTTTGTTCATTTTTTAGTTTATACAGACAATTTTGCGGTAACATATGATACAACTCAAAAGAAATGGCGTATACAAATAAAATCCCCTCTGGATTCTAAAGATTTTGATTCCTTATCAGAAATCGTACTCACCATGGAAGCTACAGAGTCTGGAGTTACTAAAACTGGAAAATCTGTGTTAGTTATCGAACTCAAGACAGACGCAACAGAAGTGGGACCACAATTTAAGGACTTATATTATGAATCTGAATATAAAAAAGACCAAACAGATTATATTGAATTTAAAACAGCTGTTGCTTTTGAAGAAGACATTGATCCCAATAATATAAAAATATCACTGGACAGTAAGTTATCGACGAAAACAAAATAACAACAATTTACACTGACACTCTACAGATCAACATTATATTTATAAAATCTCTAATTAGATCTTCAAAGTTTTGTTAATTTTTTAGCTTATACAGACAATTTTGCGGTAACTTATGATACAACGCAAAAGAAATGGCGTATACAAATAAAATCTCCTCTGGATTCTAAAGATTTTGAATCCTTATCAGAAATCGTACTGACTATGGAAGCTACAGAGTCTGGAATTACTAAAACTGGAAAATCTGTCTTAGTTATCGAACTCAAAAAAGACACAACAGAAGTGGGACCACAATTTAAGGACTTATATTATGAATCTGAATATAAACAAGGCCAAACTGATTATATAGATTTCAATACAGATGTTGCTTTTACAGAAACTATTGATCCGAAAAATTTAAAGATAGCAATCAGTGGTAATGTATTCAACAAAAAATAGAAATATTTCGAAACAATACTTATTTAGTGTGTAATATCATTCATCAAGTTTAATATCATCATCAAATTGTTTAAAGAATCCATTTATACAACTATTTTGATTTATTCCCAGTTAGATAGACGAAGAAGAAAATCACATTTTATAGAATTTCTTGTACTCGTATTGACTTTTTGTATTTCTTATAGTATCATTCTATATAATACCTCTTTCGTATAACAAATATCATTAGTACAAATAGTTTTTACTTTCGTATAAATAGTAACGTGTACCCTTATTTCACAGATTATGCTGATAACTTCGCGGTGGAATACAGTTCGGACAAATGGCGGATTAAAATCACCAAACCACTGGAGGACTCCGTATTCGACACCACAACAGACTTGATTTTAGTCATGGAGGCTAGTGAAACTGGAAAATCTTCAAAGGGTTCATCGGTACTTGTAATTAAATTAACGGGTTCTTCTGTTAATGATAAAGTTCCGAAATTCAAAGATGTTTATTACACCGCCGAATATCCCAAAGAGGGCAAAGGGACAATTCCGTTTGATCAAAAAATTACTTTCGAAAATGTAGCTGATATAAACAAGGTGAAAATATTAGTTTCTGGTAAGTATTAATACCAGAGTAGCAAAGTAGTAGCTCTAAAACATTGTAAGCGTTAGGGTATAAAATAGTAACCTTTTAAATAAAACTGGATTAGTTTATTATAAACTGAATGTACTCCATTAATTGGCTTTTTTATATCTTTCATTTATTGATGATAGCCATTCTAGGATTCTGGTAGCCTGTATCAACTCGTATCAGATCTAGTAGATCCATATAATATGGAGTCACTTGGTAGTTTCCCAAAAGTGTTCCTAAACACCTAAATTCTAGTGTTTCTTAAACTCGTTTTTTGCAGTTGTTCAGTTCCATTGAGCATGTCTGTCCAATATAAATTTTCTTTTTTTTTATAAATATGTGCCGAAGGAGAAGGTCCAGTAATGTCCCTATAACTGCTGTTCGTGTGCATCTTTAGAGACCTCGTATTCTCAAGCTAGCAAGTCTTTTCACTTTGCTTAGATTAAGGTTGGAACTTTTTGTCGCACCTTTGGCCACCACGGGACTGATGCATATCTGAAGTAAAGTAAATAGCATATAATAGCGTAAAATATCAGCAGAAAAAGATACAGTTGCATAACTGGTTCTTATTCTTCTAGTAGCACTATAAACCGGAATGGGTCTTTGGTGACTGCACAATATCTCAAACGGTTGTCCATGATAGTTCGGTCGATGGGAAGCCCCATTGTTATTGAATCTGGCTATATGTCATCTCTTCATTCTTCTTCTTCTTTCAGTGCCCTGTCTGATTATAGAACGTTAGCGATCATATTGGCAATAATAACCTTATTCACGGCGGCTCTAAATTAATTAAAGGTGGTTTCTTGATACCATTCTCGGAGATTCGTAGCCAGGATATTCTTCGTCGGCCTGGGCCTCTCCTTCCGTCGATCTTACCCTGTATTATGAGGTGTAGAAGGTTATACCTCTCTGGATGTCTCATTACATGACCGAAATATTGTAACTTCCGAATTTTTATCGTTTTTGTTACTTCTGTGCTCTTACATACACTGCGGAAACAAGACCTGACACATCTAAAACGAGACGACTACTAGAAACAACAGAGATGAAAATACTCCGATGAATATCAGGGAAAAGTCTGTTGGATAGGGAGAGAAGCGAAAACATAGAAGAGCATGTAATATAGAAGACATAATTAAATGGGTGGGAAAACGGAAACAGGAGTGAAACGAACACATTAGCAGAATTGCAGATGATAAGATAGTACGATTAGCACGAGAAAAGTCACCAAATGGAAGAAGAAGTATTGACAGACCAAGAAAAAGATGGTGCGATAATTTAAACAATTAAGGAGGCTAATATTAAAGAAAAAACAGTCTTTAAAGCCTACATACAAGAAGGAAGAAGAAGAAATAATAGAATAAGACAAATCAGGTACAAAGCAACCAGCACCATAAAAAATACAGCAAAAACAGCTTAATTGGTACGGATATGTACAGAGATGACATACTGTCGCATCGCTTTTCAAAATTAATATTTGATTGGCAACCAACTGAGCAAAAAAAAAAGAAAGAAGACCAAAAACAACATGGCTAATTGGACTCTAAAAGACAATGTCAGATACAGATCTACGACCAGGAGACTGGGCCAGTAGACCATAATGGAGACACAGAAGACACAGGACACTATGAACCGGACATTTTATGTAAATATCTGATTTTTAACTCCACATTGTTCCAGTGTCTCTATTAAGGTAGTTTTTGCTTGTTTTATCTGCTAATTCCAAGTAAGATTGGTAAGAATATAATATAACTCTAGGGTTAATACGTCATCAATAGATTGAAATTTGCACTATTGAAATTTAGGAGACCTAAATCCTCTAAATTCTTTCAGGCAGAAAATGATTCTCCACGTCAAAAAAATAAGGTGCAGATTTTTAATTATGTATCACCTGAAATATTATCCAATTCATATAGTTCTAAATTATATATAGTTAATGGTACCTTTCGGCGTTTTATTTGACAAAATGGCAAAATGTATTGATAAAAAGGTGGCTTATCTCATGGTCGGAAGCACTCACGTTTCGATAATTACATACCTTTTGTTTTAAGCAGATTTGAGCAAAAATAGGTTCAATATTTGACTAACGAATACAATTTTATTCTCCTTCTCCTCAGTCCTAATCCCTTTTGGGATGTGGTGACACCCTCAGGCCTTCACAGTTTTTTCAAGATTTCTCTCCATCCTTCTCTGTCCTGGGCTAGTTGTTCGGCTTCATGTAACCCTTGGTTTTATTCAAATTCAAATTTCATTTTACTACGAACGAATTTTAAAAATAAAAATGATTTTTTTAAATAAAATTATTGCTACCTGATACTGTTAGACATTTCCTCATGATCATCATGATTCTCAATTTCCTCATAAGTGTTTTCTTGTGTTATATCAATATTATTTTACTTCATAGACATATCTGTCTATGAGTCTACCTACCAAAGTTTTCTTGGGTCTTCTTCACTTACTTTCTTTAGGAACTGTTAGCTCAAAAATTAAAAAAATTCGTTAGTTTACTAGAAGATTTTTTGAAATAAATGCTGAAATCTCAAATTATTATTATTTCTAAAAAAATAGGAGAGCAAATATATATATATATATATATATATATATATATATATATATATATATATAGCGAGTGTTTGCAACTTTAATTTTGTCGCTTCTCGCATCCCAATCGCCATATTTTCTTATCGGCCCAGTCTCCTTCTTGAAGACCTCTATTTTCTATTTCTATATGAATATTGGATATCCATTTCTTTCTTGGCCTTCCCCTTTTATTTCTCTGTGTAGGTCTCCAGTTCCAAACCTTTCGTGGTATCCTTTCTTCGTTCATCCGTCTCAGGTGTCCATACCATTTTAATTGTTTTTCGGCTATCGTATTCATTATTGTGTTCTTTACTTTCATTCTCTCTCTTATGTTTTCATTTCTTATGTGGTCAAACAAAGTTAACCCGGAACATCTTCTCTAGTACATCATTTCCGTTGAGAGGAGTTTTTGTGACATATTCTTGTTAAAGACCCACACTTCTGACCCATACGTAAGCACCGGCTGAATCATAGCCTGATATATATTTTTCTTTGTTTTTTTTAGTTAAAGTTTTATTCCACAGGATCGGATGTAGTGTTTTTATCATGTTTTTTCCTTTTCCTATTTTTCTTGTTATATCTTTGTCGTCTCTCCCGTCTTCGCTTAGTGTAACTCCGAGATATTCGTACTGATCAACGTTTTTAATTAATCCGCTTTCTGTTTCCATGTCTTGACCGATGCCTCCTATATTCATGTATTTTGCCTTTTCGGTATTAACCTCTAATCCCCATTTTTTTAATTCGTCTATTAGTTTGTTTATCATGTACGTCATATCTTGTAGGTCCTTGGCAAGAACTACCTGGTCGTCTGCGAAGAGGATTGTGTATATAGGAGTGTCATTTACCCATATGCCCATTGGGCTGCATTTTCTCATCCAATATTTTAAAGCATTACCAAGATATATTTTAAATAGGGTTGGGGAGAGGCAAGAGCCCTGTTTGATATCCTTTGTTTGGGTGAAACCCTTGGAAATTTGGTTTCCAACCTTAATATAAGCTTGGTTATCTTGATATTGCTTTTTCACGGCATTTATATATACTGCATTTATACCTGCGTTTTCCAATGTTGTCCATAGTCTCTGCAGTGGTACGGAGTCAAACGCTTTACGGAGATCTATAAAAGTGGCATGAAGTTCTAGTCCTCTTGCTAATCTCTTTTCTATTAGATGTTTGAGAGTAAATACATTGTCGACACAAGATCTCCCTGGTCGGAATCCACTTTGTTCGTCGATCTCTGTGGCTTCTTTTTCTATTCTGGCTTTCAGAACTCTTTCATACAGTTTGCCAGTGGATGACGTAATGCTGATACCTCGGTAATTACTGCAGTCATTCCTGTTTCCCTTTTTGTAGATGGAGTTTATGTACGAGACTTTCGAATCTCTTGGGATACTTTCTCCTTGTAGGCACTTGTTAAACATTTTACAAAGCAATTCTAATGTTATTGCAGTGGCATGTTTGAATATCTCGATAGGGAAATCACCCGGCCCAGGAGCTTTATTATTTTTCATTTTTTGTAATGCGTTTTTTATTTCTTCTACGGTAATCATCGCCACTTCATTTAACCCCGTTTCAACTCTATCTATATGTGTGTCTAGAAACTGTGTACGTTGTTCATTTAATAGATTTTCGTAATAATTTTTCCATCTTTCTATGTCTATGGGGTTTATTTTTTTTTTTGTTTCGTTTGTATTTTTTCTAAGACTGTTGATAGTTTTTGAAGGTTGTCTGGACCTAGATCCTCCTACCATTGAGCTTATTTCTGCACACTTGTTGTCCCAGGTTATGTTTTTTGTTTTTTTATTTTCCTTTTTTATTATATATTTGTATCTGTTATAGTTCTTTCGGTCTTCCTCATCTTTTGTCGCTAACCATTTGAGATACAGTTTTTTCTTTTCTTCTACCAGTTCTAATAAACCTTCTGTCCACCAATAATTTCTACGTTTTACTTTTTCTTTTTCATGAATTTCTTCATGAATTTTGATTTTCAAAGTCTCATACATTTCTTCCGCTGTTCCGTTTATTTCTTCGTCTAATTTTTGTGCCAAACGTAGTTTATAAAGAAAACTTGTGGACTCATTGTTTAAGCATTTTTTAGCAAAAATATTTCTGTAAGTAATAATATTTTCATAATATAACATTTTATTTTTAATTCTAGATTATAAGGACTACTTCAGTATTGCTTACGATAAAACAAAGACAGCTTGGTTTATAACCATCGTCAAACCATTAGACCTAAACGTACTAACTGGATCAGTAATAACGACACTATCTGCTACAATAGATGGGGATGACGTGCATAAACCAGTCGCTGCTTTTACTTTAAAACTTCCGGAACTTACTGCTCCTATCTTCACCAAACCATATTATCGAGCAGAGTACATCGTCTCTGGTACTACAGCAACTGTAAATTTGGTCGATAAAATCGAGTTTGGTGCTAACGTTGATGTCAGTAACATCGAAATAACGTCTGATGGTAAGATAATTATAGTTCTTATTGGTTCGCTTTTTAGTTATAAACAGTGTGTCCTGGCCAGATTGGAATATCCATTTATATTTTGTGTACCAATTAATATCAGCTAATTGGCAATTTCTAGTTTTAAAATTGGCAGTTGGAAAGATCAATATAGATCTAGGTCTAATTTCTCCTAATGGAAAAGAGATCGAAAGGGTAAATCATTTCAAATACCTTGTTAGCTGGTTAAATGTAAATTGTGACTCGGATGAAGAGATAATAACTAGGATCGAAATATCACGTAAGGCTTTTATGACCTGGAAACTAGTTTTATGCAACAAAAACCTGTCGATAAATATTCGTAAGAAGGTCCTGAAATGCTATGTGTGGTCCATCCTATTGTATGGTTGTGAGACATGGATGTTAAAAACAGCAATGCTAAACAAGTTAGAAGCATTTAAATTGTGGCGCTATAGACGAATCCTAAAGATATCGTGGGTTTCGCACACTTCCAATGAAGATGTTCTTCAAATGATCAATTCAGAACGTCTGCTCATAAACACCATAAAGAGGAGAAAACACAATACTTCGGTCATATAATTAGAGGATTGATGGATTCGACCGTTACTTGATGGAAATTCATTTTATGTAACAATAAAACACTCAAAAATTTTGTTTTCAAACTTCCACAAAATTTATTTTAAATCTTATCACTACAGCTGTTTCGGCTGATAGCCTTTCTCAAGTGATTTATTTTTGGCATGGGTTTACAAATTTATAGTTTCTAATGAAACCTTTTAGACCAAAATAGTACAAATCCAATAATTACATCCGAAATTTTACATCTTCTTGAAGTTTGCATAAACCAGGACTACTTTGAATTTAATAATAAAATTTATACAAATAACAGTGCAGAACTTATAATTGGTAATCCTCTAAGCCCATTGCTATCAGATATTTTTATGGATCATCTAGAGATAAAGATTTCAAAACATTCCGTATTCAAACAGTTTTTATATTGGTGGAGATACGAAGACGACGTACTGGTATGTTTCACAGGAACTAACAGGCAACTCGACCAATTTTTATCGTATATTAATTCACTTCATAGTCATATTGAATTTACAATAGCAAAAGAACAAAATCAATCCATAAATTTTTTAGGTTTAAAAATTAGCAGACTTCAAAACAAACATGACTTCTCCATATTTCATAAACCTACCCATACTGACACGACTATACACAATTCATCATCCCATCCAACACAACATAAACTGGCAGCTTATCATAGTATGTTACATAGATTAACAGAAATTCCGATGTCAAAATACAACTTTGAGACAGAATTAAATATAATTAAGCAAATAGTAGTAAACAACGGATACAACGAACAAACAATTAATAAAATGTTAAATCAAAAACTACACAAGAAAGCCCTGAAATTAGTATTTCCACCACCAGAGAAAAAACCCAATACCTTCTGCTCGCTTACATATACAGGTAAAATAACAACAAAAATTGCCAAACACATAAAAAAGAAAGGAATAACACCAGCTTTCCGAACAAATAACAACCTAGGCAAATATATTAAAAAAAGAGCCAAAATAAAAAACACTTAAATAGTGGTGTGTACAAACTTCAATGTGGCGACTGCCCAAAAACTTACATCGGCCAAACTGGTAGAAACTTTGATAAACGAATAGCAGAACATAAGAGGGCTTTCAAGAATAGAAAAACAAATTCGACATACGCACTTCACCTTCTAGATCATAATCATTCTTTTAATGACAAATTTAAAATTCTTCACATTCAAAATAAAGGCCTTAAGCTATCTTTGTTAGAATCTATGGAAATCAAAAAATTAAAAAACCAAGATATAATTCTGAATGACCTACTTGAGACAAACAGTTCTCCCCTCCTCAACCTATTTCATTAGAGACTATAAATTTGTAAACCCAAGCCAAAAATCACTTGAGAAAGTCAATCAGCCGAAACAGCTGTAGTGATAAGATTTAAAATAAATTTTGTGGAAGTTTGAAAACAAAGTTTTCAGTGTTTTATTGTTACATATAATTAGAGGACCTAAATACCATCTACTTTGCCTTATAATACAAGGAAAAGTGGATGGAAAGAGATGAATTGGTCGAAAGAAACTTTCATGAATGCGTAATATTAGACAATGGTGTGGTTCCACAGTAAAAGAATTATTTCCCGCAGAAGCCGACAGAGAAAGGTTTCAGGAAATTGTAAACATGATGACGGCCAACGTCTGAATACGGACACGGCACCCAAAGAAGAAGAAGTTTTAAAATCTGTTATTTCATATACCTATTGTTATTTTTATTTTTTCTAATAATAAGAAATATATATAAACAAAATATAAACAGAGAAAACATGTCATCGGAAGCATTGTACCAATAACTTAAAAAATCCATTCATGAGGCTGCGAATGAAACCTTAGGAATGAAGGAGGGAGAAATAACTGAACTTATACAAGTGAAATATCAATGGAACAAATAAGAGATGCCTTTAAAAAATCGAAAAATGTTAAGGCAGCAGAACCTGGAGATATTCCAATTGGGCTGATTAAGTATGAGCCAAATACATTCCATGAGAGGGTAACCCAATTATTTAATAAATGTTTAAATGAAGAAGATATCCCAGATGATTGGAGTGTTAGCTATATCAGTTCAATATATAAAAAAGGGGAAAAACCTGAAACGATAGAAAACGAATTTATTAAATTGTGTTTTGTTCATGGCCATGAAAGTAAATGGCACCTTTTGTAGCTATCACTTTAGGTGGGAAATAAGAAGAGACATTTTCTGGCCATTCTGTGTGTGTTTGTATTTACCTAAGTCTCTGGTTAAGCAAGGTAATGGCAAAATAACGTCTTGTATTACTCTAATGATACCGATTCATACATATTACATTGTTATTTTCAATAAACAAATTGTATAATTTTGACTACAATTATTTCCTAAAAAAGATGAAAATTAAATAAAAATAACCCTTTTTTTTAATTTTGCAGATTATTCCAAATATTTTTCATTTACGTATGAGGACAAGCAATGGAAAGTCATCACAAAGGGCATACTAGACCTTAAAGAGCTGGATCGGTCCGATCTAGTAGTTTCCATTACAGCCACTGACAAAACCACCAAACTGACCAGCGCTTCTATCATCGATCTCAAATTACCCCATGTGAACACCGATGATGCTCCGAAGTTTGTCAAAACATATTATACTGCTAGCTACATTATATCTGGTGACAAGGCTACTGTAACTCTTGACGAACAGTTTACATTCAGCAACAGGAATGACCCAAAGAGTGTTACTTTAACTACTGATAGTAAGTTGAGCTTTTAAACAAGGTATATCACATGTTTTTATGAAAACAGTGTAATAGCTTTATGTTTAATGTATTTTAATCTGTTAATACAGTTGAACCCGGTTATTGGAATAGTCTTTGTGCCAAGCAAAAACATTTTTATAATCGTGATCTTCTAAGAACTGATCAAATGGGGGATTCACTTGTAAACACGTAGATTTCTGAGTGAATTCTAAATTAGCTGTGCGACGTCGGGTAGTGTATTTCAGCCAGAGAAACAGGATTCGTTCATATAGACATTTATTTGGAACTAACATATACAAATGAAAAAAAATAATTAGCGTTAAGTATTTTCTGAATATAATGCTTAAATACAAGAACGTACTGTTTATTTATTTCGGTGTGACGATATTCGATATGATAAACTAAGATATGGTGATCGAGGAATTGAGGTCGCACTCGTTCCTCAACGCAGAACGAGTACTCGGACGGGGATAAGGATGTCTAGATCACTTCTTCTTCTTCAAGTTCCACTCCTATCGGAGATTGGAAATCCTTCTGGCAATTATAATTTTATTGGTTACTCGCCTGAATAGTTCAATTGAACTGCATCCAAACCACTCACGGAGATTGCGTAGCCACGAGATTTTACGTCTTCCTACGCTTCTTCTACCTTTGATTTTACCCTGCATTATATTCCTTAGTAGTTCGTACTTTTCACCTCTCATGATGTGCCCCAAGTATTCCAATTTCCTGATCTTTATGGAATTTAAAACTTCGCATTGTTTTCCTAGTTGTTCGAGAACTTGTTCGTTTGTTTTGCGATCCATCCATGATATTTTCAAAATGCGTCGGTAACACCACATTTCGAATGCTTCTAGGTTTTTAATGTTGGATTTTTTAAGTGTCCAAGCTTCAACTCCATACAAAAGGGTAGAGAAAATATAACATCGAAGCATTCTTATCCGGAGTGATATATTGATATCGCGATTACAAAAAAGTTTTCTCATTCTATTAAAAGTTGACCGCGCAATTTCAATGCGGTATCTTATTTCTTTTGTCTGATCAGTATCTTCTGTGATCCATGCTCCAAGGTATTTGTACGAAGATATTTGTTCAATTTCTGTATTATCTAGTACTAGCTTAACTTTGATGTTTTGTGCTTTTGTAAATACCATGAACTTGGTTTTCTTCAAATTGATTTTTAGTCCATATTAGTTGCAATATATATTTAGTTGTTCAGCAAGGTGTTGCAGTTCTTCTAGTGTTCCTGCCAAAAGGACGGTGTCGTCAGCATATCTTATGTTATTAAGTGGCTCACCGTTTATTATAAGGCCCTCACTGATCTCGGCAAGCGCTAATTCTGAGGTGGCTTCACTGTATAAATTGAATAACAAGGGTGATAAAATACACCCTTGGCGGACCCCACGGCGAATCTGGATATCCTTGGTCAGTTCGTTTTCAACTTTCACTTTTGCTGTTTGATTCCAATAGAGGTTACAGATGATTCTAATGTCTCTACTGTCTATGTTTTTATTTAATAAAATTTCTTTAAGTCGATTATGCTGCACTCTGTCAAATGCCTTCCCAAAATCAATGAAACAGGCATATACTTCCTGATTAATATCTAAGCATCTCTGCGAAAGAACACTTACTGCAAACAGTGCATCTCGTGTTCCCAGACCTTTCCTAAATCCCATTTGTGTATTACTTATGCCTTCATCTAATTTCTTATGTATTCTATTGTGAATTACTTTTAAAAACAATTTCAAGACATGACTCATTAAGGCTATGGTGCGATGTTCATTGCACTCCTTTGCATTGGCTTTTTTGGGAAGCAGTATGAATGTTGATTGGAGCCATTCTTTAGGTATTATACCTGTTCTATATATGGTATTGAATAGGTCCAAAAGAAGATCAATAGATTCAGTATTCACAATTTTAAGTAATTCGATAGGAACTTCATCAGGCCCGGGAGATTTACCATCTTTAGCTTGTTTCATTGCATATTCAATTTCTTCTCGTATAATGTCAGGCCCTGTATCATCCTTAAATTCTTTTGGTGCTTCTGTTCTTTCTTTGTCTTCAAATAGTTGTGCTATATATTGTGTGCATCTCTGCATTTTTTGGTTTATATCTGTTATAAGTGCACCCCTTTCATCTCTTAGTTGCCTAGTTTGAAGTGTTTTTCTCATTCCTGTTAATTCTCTAATTCTTTTATGCATGTTAAAAAAATCATATTTTTTCTCAATTTCTTCTAGTTCTTGGCACTGCTCATGTAACATTCTCTCCTTAGCTTCTTTTATTCTCTTTTTTATTAATCGATCAGTTTATTATATTTAATTGGATTTTTTTTTTGAATGATTTTCTTTCATTCATTAATAGTAGTATTTCTTCAGTCATCCAATCTTTATGTTTTCTATTCTGTGGTTTTAAGTTTTCATTTGCTGTTTTAATTATTGCTGCTTTTATATTTTCCCATTTCTGATCAATGTTATAGCTACTTTTATTCAGTTCTTGGGCATTACGTATATTTTCAGTAAGAGTTTTTACAGTTTGTTCCTTTCTTTGTGGTTCCCTTAATCTCTTAATATCAATTCTACTTTGTGTGGGTTTTTTAACCAGTTTTAATTTGGTTCGTAATGTGACTACTATGGGGTTATGGTCTGAACCGATGTCTGCTCCAGGGTAAGTTTTGGCAGACAGTATAGAATTACGAAATCTTTGTCTAATAAGGACAAAGTCAATTTGATTTCGGATTATTCTATTCGTTGTATCACCGGGAGATTTCCATGTATACAACCTTCTTTTTGGTAGCTTAAAAAGTGTATTAGCTATTACAAATTCTTCCGTCTGGCAAAATTGTATTAAACGGTCACCACGTTCATTTCTATTTCCTAGACCATATTCCCCCACATATCCATCCACTCTTCCCTGGCCAACTTTGGCATTGAAGTCGCCCATTACTATTGTAGTGTGATGTTTTTTCATTGATTTTAAGACTTGTTCCAAATCATGGTAAAACAGTTCGATATCGTCGTCATCTTTATGCTCCTACGGCAGATAAAGATGACGACGATATAAACTTGATATAAACTTGAATAAAATTTACTATACCTTTTTTAGACTGTAGTTGTATTGATAAGATCCTATCAGAATAAGGAGTAAAACTTATCACAGAGTAATTGACCTTTTTTGCAACTAAGATAGCAACACCGTAACGATGATTGACCTCGTTGTTACCTGAATAATACATGGTTCCATTATTTGTAATTTGTTTGCCTGAACCTGGCCACTGTACGTCACTTATACCTAAAACATCAATTTGGAGGTTTTCCATTTCAAGCAGTACGTTTTCTAGTTTACCACTTGCATATAAACTTCTGACATTCCAGGTTGCTATTTTCAATGTCTTAAGTCCACAGGGATTTCTCTGGTTTACGACCTGGGAGGCCCTGTGATCTACAGTTATTCCTCCCCTGCCGGATCTTGGATTCCGTGCTCCATAATCAGTAAGTTTGTTTACTCTACTTGTCATTTGCCATTCATGACTTTACTAGGGGTACTCTAAGAGTCTTTAATGCAGTGGTTCCCCGTTGCCTTCTGCATCCTTACGCCGTTGACATATTTTTCGATTCATCCGCCTTTAGGACCAGTTTCCCAACCCTTGGACAAAAGAGTGCCCTTCCGCTTATTAACTCATCCGCCCGCAGCCGTTGGTCATAAGTGGGGGATTGCTTATACCGGCAATCATTCGGTGAATTACCTGTTGGTCCACGGGAGGTATTTTATTTCCCTCCTACCCACCGGTAAACCGGGTCGGGCATTCCCCTATCCGCCACCTGGGGACGCGCTCTCTAGAGGTTACAGGTTCCTCCGAGAGTCTAGATCACTAGATGGAAAGAATACGCCAATCTCGTTCAACACACCAGATTGACGCGGTCAGCGTAGATTTCTGAGTGAATTCTAAATTAGCTGTGTGGGTGGACATGTTTTAAATTTTTAGCAAATTGTATGTAAACTGTTTTTCGTGTACCTGAAAAATAATATAATAAAGCGATAGTATGTTATTAAAACGTATTCTTATAAACGGAAAAATTTATTAAGGATTAAATTAAGGTTAAGGATAAAGGTCACTTTCGTGATCTTAATTTTTCTATTCTTTATGCCGGGATATTCTAATAAACGGGTTCGACTGTATTTATTGATCTCTGAAGTAGAAACGGGATAACAGTCAAGTGAAATAAAAAACGTGTACAATATGTTCAGTTGTTCGATAATTTTTCACAATAATCATCATTGAAATTTCGCAAATAGCATCATAGAAATAGCATCGCATTATAGCAATCAGTTATGCTAAGACTCTACTCAATTAAAGTTACCTGTATCATCGCTGACTACACCACTGGTTTTATATTTCCACCGTTACGGTAGTTGATTAAAATTGCTTTCTTAGTATATTTCCAGAATTATTAGAAGCAGAAGAAACCTTAACTAGCATCCATGCTATTGACGTACCCGATATAGTTTCTCCATTTTCTGATGATCTTAAATAAATATCTATAGTCGGACAATTTTCAATTAAAGGTGACTAATCTACAAATTGAATTAAACGGTAGCGGCAACCATGTAAAATTTCATTAGTAAATTTTTACCGGGGTCATTTTTATTGTGTATGCTTCGCCCATGTAAATAAGCGAGAAAGTAAGATAAATTTGCCCCCGTAACGATTTAAATTGATGCGATTCATGAGTGTATAGTGAGAAGAAATTCATTGAATAGTTTGAAACATCGGTAAACTTATTAATATTTTGCTGGTCTATATATATTTACGTTCTTAGAAAGAATGTTAATGAGAGAAATATGATATCTTAGTTTATTTCTTTACTTTATTTTGTTAGACAACTATAAGATACCTGTTAAAAGATACATGATAATGTAATAAGTAAATTTTTACGTAATTACTTATGTGTTTAAATAAATAATTATATTTTTATTGGCACGCCTCTGCAAAATTGATAAGTTGAATTCGATTTAGTTGAAAAGTTATCGTTAAGGGCTTCGTTAAGTGCGATGTTGCCAAGTAATCACCTTCAATTAAAAATTGTTTTAGTATAGTCCTTAATATTATGGTTTCATATATATGTATTTGCTTCAGAGAGTATCAGAACGTATTTTTAAGTGAGGCCAAGCATTCTTTTTGAGGGAAGTAGAAATGAATATGAGGGCATATTGAAGAGAAACAAATAGATCAAACTGTGATGCGATCAAAAAAAAACTAGAACACGTCAAGGAGGAATCTTCTCCTTGGACGGCCAGCTATCTCTCCTCTTTGGTGATCTCCACGTTGGTTACTTGCGAGTTTTCCTTTTAACTCAATACTTAGTAGCCTGTGCTCTTCCATCCTTTTTATACATGATTGTATTATTCTCTTCCTATTTATCTACCTTATCTCGCTACATTTTGTACGCTACATTGTTCCCTGATGATGTTGTTATTTAATCCCTTTCTTACAAGCATCGCTGTGTGAGAACATTTGTAGCAAACACAGTTTCTCTAGTGCTTAGCCCTTTTCTGATCAGAACATTTTGTTGCAATAGCTGGTTTTGATATTATAATTAATGTAGATAACAGTCATTCTTGAGGAATTACACCAGTATTGCACATATATTAAACAGATGTAATACTATTGGAGTTGTGTAGGGATTTCTTCGCGTTTAGTTGCTTTTCCATTTTTAAAATTTTTTATTGCGTTTTCTATTTTTCCTTTTAATATATCAGGACAATGTTGTGTGTTGTTTTTTTCATTACCGTTTGTAATTAAATATGTATATTATTGTTGCGAAGTTAATTTTAACAATTTGTGTTATTTTAGAATACCAGGATAACTTTAAAATAGAATACACTGATGGAAAATGGACTATAACTGTTGACAGAAATCTAGATGACGCCACACTAAACTCCAATGATATAGTGATGTCTCTTATAGCTACAGATTCCACTACCAAAGACGTAGGCGAATGTACTTTGCTGATGGGGCTGCCGAAAATTAATAGCAAAGATGCACCTCAATTTGACAAAGCTTATTATCAGTCGGAATGCGATGACTCTACCACAAGTTTGGATACAGAAATAGCGATAAACAATAAAGATGATAAATCGACAATTACTATTAGTATCCTTGAAGACGGTAAGTAAAGTTTTGTTTTGTAAAATGTGGGCAGTTTTCTATTTGCAGCTACACTCGATTTGAAAATCCTTGATAGCACTTGAAACTTGGAGATTGACGGAAAAACATAAAAAAAATAATACAAGCGACCAAAATGGGTGCATTTCGAAGATCGGTTAGAATATCAAGAATGGAGAGTGTTAGAAATGAGAATATCAAAGAACAATTCACAAAAGAACACGTACAGAGTATGAACTCAATTGGATCCACATAATGTAAAAAACCTACCTGGATTTGGATTTGGATGTCCAAAATGAACAAAAACCCCACCTGTGGATGTCCAAACCCAACTTAGAATCAGGAAATTCGTCAATCCATGAGTGTGAGGAACAGAGGACGAAATATATCAAAACATAGGTTGAAAAACAAACTATTGATATACAATAAAATGTAGATACGGTGATGTACGGATATGAGTATGAAGTCTAGTGATGTATAAGGAACGCGGTTTCGTTTATATTGAGCTGTACCTCTTACTAGGTACAGCAGGAAACAGACGGGGAGGGATAAATTCAGGTACACAAAGTATATCGCCCACTTCACAGAAGTGGTATCGTTACTGCTGTATGTGTTCGAACCACGTAGAAACGGCTGAAATACTTGAAAATACATCTATGTATTCATATAGTATCTGTAACTTTGGCCACTTTTGATCTACGGTTGCAAAAAAAGAATAAGTATTTAAAGAGAGTTAGATTTCCCAGTTAGAAGCTTGAAAAAACATAGTATATCAGAGATCAGAGAGTATATCAAAGAAATAAAAAGGAATAAAGCTACTGGAAGCGATGAAATCCTTTCAGAAATGCTGAAGGAAGGCGTAGAAGAAGCCATCACATCTCTAAAAATACTACTTAATAAATAAAAAAAAGAGGTTAGGGCTACATCAAAAAAACAAACGTTTTCGGACTAAACAGTCCATGATCAGGTTTAAATTTTTAAATTGCTAGGTTAAAATGCCTGAGCCACCAAAATACATGGGTAAAAACCCTTTAAATTACATATAGTTGTAAAAGATTATACATCTTGTTGTTAAAAAACTGTTATGTTCAGTATTAAATTAAATATGACTTCAGGTAACATACATTGTTGAAGTGAGTTCCAGAGCCGAGGAGTAAACCTCTATACACGGAGAACAGCTGGAAACTGAATCAGTTTCAAATTGTTCAAATTGTTACGAAAGCAAATTATTGTTCTAAAAAAAATGTCTGTCTTTACTTTGAAAATTAAACAAACACTAAACAGTTACCTGGATTTCACTTCATCACACTTGAGCTGCAAACCGTACTTAAAAACTCAACAATCTCTCTAAATCTCTGACACATGAACAAAAAGGAAATTGGGTCACTGTAGCACAAGCCTTTGTAACTAAACTGGACTTGGCTTTTAAAACTGTAACTGAACGATTAAACTGCTACAATATTTTACATATTCTTCATAAAAAAAGGACGAACAACGTCTTTATAAAAAAATACGAACAAACGAGGAACATTTCAAATTTGACATAACGCTGACCGCTTGTCACCGCGGCTCCAACGATAGTGACGAAATTATCCTTAGAAATTGATCGCATAACTTAAAATTACAAAACACAACGGAAATTAAGACGTAGATTATTAATTTGAAAACGCAGAACTTCGGGCGGCATAAATCAAAGAATATTGAGCAAAATGCGCAGCTACGAAATAAATAAACAACTCTAAAATGGTTTTTATTACTTGGCGACGCTGAAAAGAACGAAATATTATTTGGGTTTTAATACGTACGAATAGGAAACTGAAATGCATTAAAAATACTCTTCGATTTTTCAAACATATATGAGGGGATTTCAATATATCACCTATATGAGGGGATTCAAATATATTCCAAAGAATCAATGAATTGCAAATGCTACAAAATATATCAGATTATTAAGAAGGAGATCTGCAGAGCCTAAATTTAATACTAAGAGAAATCTAGGTATCGATTTTCAAGAATCTAGAACTTATCGTTAAAGAGTGTCGTTCCATACAGCCAGACAGACAAACAATAACAGAATTTCAAGAAGGAATTATTCTTAGTCGAGTTCTTATGTATATCTTGATAAAAACGGATACAAAACGTATTCAATTTTAACTTTATATGATGTAGAATGTAGTGAAACTATTTTAAAAAGTGTGACTCGTCTGTAATGATAACTTGATACTTTGGAAACGAATGATTAAAAATGTTACATATGGCTTGTATTCTTATATGGTGTCGAAGTATGGACCTTGAAAATATCTACTATTAACCGCTTAGCATGTTTTGAAAAGTGATTGTATAAACGAACACTAAAAATACAGTACACAACTAAGCAGACAAATGAAGCAGTTCTTAACAGAGCAGAAGCTACCCGTCAACGAATTGATAGCGTCAAATCCAGAAAAATAGCATATCTTGGACATATAATGCGTGGAAAACAGTAGAGTAACAGTATAATAAATTATAGTTTATTCGTCTTCCAGGTTTGGACCGTGTCATTTGTGAGTGACCCAAAAGTGGGTTCATCTCGACGTTCCGCTACAATTGTATGTAGCTTCTTCAGGAGAACAAAGAAAAAGAAATCAAAAGACAGGAAGATGGGTAGTTAGCAACGGTAACTCAGTTACTCAACACAACCGGCGAGGCGAATACTAACTACCAAGATGGGCATTTGGTCACAGTAACTCAACTACTTAACGCAGCCAGAGGTGAAAACCAAATGCCAGGACAGGGATTCACGTCCAACAGCTCAGAAAACTAACGCGTCGAGAGGCGGGGAGTGAATCCGACGATTACTCCGCTACCGCTCTATTTATAGTTGCGGTGACCTGTCGTGTCGGGACGTATCGGCACACTCCGTGGCGCGAACGTCAAGAAGCGCGCGCTGGCCAATCATGTGGCTGCATCGTGATAGCGGGACCGGACGGTGGCTCTAGACTGAGATTCCAGATGGGAGACAAGTAGTATCCTTCCTCTCGATTGAGTATAATAAATTGGTAAAAAGCAATTTAATCCCGTTAAAGAATGTCAAAAAATGGACCGAGATACGAAGGGTTGAACAACTGTACAGAACAGCATAAGACAGAGAGAGTCTTGCTGTGCTAATCGACAATGTCAAGGGTTTCTGACAAGGCGCGTTAGAAAGAAGAATTTTACGTTTATCTAAAGGTGTAGGTTATAAAGATCTTATATCGCTATTTTTAAATTTTCTGTATTAATAACATCAAATAATAGTTATATACTTTTTTAGAATACAAATCCAACTTCAAAATCAGTTTTGACGAAACATCCAAAGTTTGGAAGGTAGAGGTGCTGTCAGTGCCAAAGATTGTAACATCCACAAACGATTTAATCTTGACTTTAATAGCTACAGAAAAGGACAACAAAGAACTTGGACAAGCAACTTTGGTTTTGAATTTCCCTGCAGTAACGGCTCCTAAATTTTCGTCTATACTATATCGCGGTAGCTACAAAGCTGAAGAAGCAAGTTCTTTCGAAATCAGCGATGTTAAAATTACAAACAAAGACAAGCAAGATAATATTCAACTTAAATTATCTTTAGATGGTAATACAGGTAAGCATTCAATGTAATTCGGTTGTAGTGTTAAGTATATGTAAGCGCTAGGTATACTGGTAAATATTTTGTATCCAAAACAATCAACGGAATTAAACTATATTTTTGACAAAGGAGTTTATCACCCTTTTAACGGATAGGTTAGATGATATCTCTTATCCCATACTCTTTAAGCATTTTCTCTTGACTTAAAATTATGTGTATGATCGATCTCATTTATCATTTTCGTTATTTCGTTTCCTCACAAAGCCTTACAATGCCTTATTATTTTTCTACAGTTTGACTGCTCTTTCAACCTCTTCTCTATCGTTGGCAGTTTTGTTATCGCATTCTCTTTATTTTCCGGTTTTTTCAATAGTTCTGTGTGTTCATCATCATTGTGAGAGTTCTCGGTCAGCAGTTTTTCAAAATTCTCTTTTTTGTCTACATAGTTTATCAGCTGCAGAAAAAAAATAGAGATGCTTTTTTTATCATTTTTTTTTTTGAAAAGACACAATTATTCTGTGGAAAAGATATCAAGATTCATCTTGTTTATAAAAATCATATTTTTACTTATTAGAATTAGCAAACATATATTATCTTGATAACTAGAATAATAAAACAATTTCTAGAAATAAAAGATTTTTACACTTTACCTAAAAACAAAAACATGTTTTGGATATATTAAACTATACAATTTTTAATTATTCATGATTTCACCTTTTCGCTTTTTATTATTTTATTAACGTAAATAATTTTTTATTTTATTGAAATATTTGCTATTTGATCCCATAATTGGTAAATGTCGGTCGTCTAGAAAACGTCCGAGTTCGGACGTCCAGGGAACGTCCGAGTACGAACGTCCAGTGAACGTCCATATTTAGTCCACCAAAAGTATGTCCCAGTTCGTACGTCCATAGTACGTATATTTTACGTCCAGGGACGTCCGAACCAAAACTGGACGTATATTGGACGTCCATAGGACGTCATGTGTTATTAGGGTAGATAGTACAAGCATTACTTTTCTTAATTTTTAGCTATGTTAACTGTTTTTAACATATTTTTCAGATATTTCAAAATACTTCAAGTTCACTCTCAAGGACAACGTATGGAAAATAACTTTAATTGATCCTCTCTCCGATGGTGATATCAAAGGAAAAACAGAACTGATTTTGACTTTGTCAGCAACCGAACAGGATAACACCGAAATAGGCTACGCTACTGTCATAATTTCCCTGGAAGATAACGCCGTTACATCTGACCTAACCTTCTCTGATGTCTACTACAGCGCTGAATATATCAAGTCTAGTCCTTTACCAAATATTAAGTTAAGTAAAGACATTAGTTTGAAATCGACTATGGACCTGAAAGATGCTGTTGTTGAATTCGTAGGTGGGTGTGCTTCAGATTTTTTTTATCTTATTTAGTTATATTCTATTTTTCGCATTCCCAGTTGCTCCTTTTAATAATAATAATATAAATTAAACCATTTTTATTTACAGTTACTGATGATTTCAATGCCAACACCTATTTAGAGGTTACATCTACTGAAACTGCAGGCGTTTACACCATTTCTAGTAAAAACGAACTGCCCGAAAAGATCCTAGACGCACCCAGTTTGAGTCTAGTTCTGCAAGCATCAATAGATAAACTCCCCAAGGTCTACGCTACTTTAGTAATTGATCTTCCAGTAGAAGGGGAGAGTAATTCGATAGATTTTTCGAAAATATTATATGAGGCAACCTATACTATTAGCAGTGACGACCAACGTTCATTTGAGTCCGATGAAATCACTATTGAAACAAAAGAAGCTGCTAGTGATCTCAAAGTTAAAATTTCACCTGGTAAGTTTTTTAAATTCATTTTTACGTTAACAAAATATTTATTAGGTAAAAGAAATAATAAATAAGACTTACAATCAATTTAATTTAACTATATAGACGACCGGTTTCGCTTTCTACAATATGCAAAGCATCTTGAGGTCTCGATACAAAGTTAATTAAATGCTGAAATAATAAAACTCATATTAAAGTGTTCTTTAATAAAGATAAATAAAGATAGATGATATAAATTACAGTAATTATGCCAATATCACATGTCTGGTTTTTAGAATAAATAAAATGTTTAAGCAGACAAGGTAAGACCCACAAATTGTTATAAAATAATCTACTAAGTTGTAATAAATTAATAAATAAACAAATAAATAAAACATTACATACCGGTACTCAATTAATTGATGGTTGGAAGAACATGGTTTAAATGATCCTATATGTAAGTAATGTTTTATTTATGTTTTTATTTACTAATTTATTACAATTTAATAGAATATTTTATACCAATTTGTGGATCTTACCTTGTCTGCTTAAACATTTTATTCATTTTGAAAACCACAGACATGTAATATTGGCATAATTGCTGTAATTTATATCATCTATCTTTGTTTATCTTTATTAGACAACACCCTAATATGAGTTTTATTATTTCAGCATTTAATTAACTTTGTATCAAGATCTGAAGATCCTTTGCATATTGTAGAAAGCGAAACCGGTCATCTAGATATTTAAATTAAATTGATTGTGAGTAAGTCTTATTTATTATTTCTTTTACCTATATGAAATGAACTCACACAAGCAACACATTTATGATTAAAATATTTATTATATTTACGTGAATAAAATAAAATTTAAGATGCAATGAAGTTAACTCATTTAGATGAAGTATTTAACTCATTTAGATTTGGAATTCCTACTGAGTACTAGACAATAGTGAATAGTAGTGATTCTTGGCCCCCAGATGTCCTTTTCAGGAAGTTTGTGTTTAACTACCATAGAAACGTTGATGCTATCGAAATCCAGTCCTTAGCCAACATCATCATCATTCAATCTTCACTTATCCACTGGTGGACATAGATCTCCCCCATAATTTTCCATCTATTTCGATCTTGTGCCTCTTGCATCCAATTTCTATGACAACGTTTTAGATCGTCAGTCTAACGTGTTGGTAGACGACCTCTTCTTCGGTAGGCATTATCTCTTGGTCTCCATTCCAGTATCCGCTTTGTTCATTTATTATCTGTCATTCGAGCCACGTGACCTGCCCAGTTCCATTTCAGTGTTGCTACTCTCTCTACTGCATCAGCCACTCCTGTTCTTTATCGTAGCTGGCGATTTGGGATCTTGTCTCGTAGTGAAACGCCCAACATAGCACGCCCATCGCCCTGTGACACACACGGATCTTTTGAACTGTTCTCCTTGTCATGGTCAACGTTTCCGCACCGTAAGTCAACACTGGCAACACAACGATTAAAGGTTTTTATTTTAAGGCATATTGGTATATCAGACGAGTATGTTCTTAGCCAACACATCAACTCATCAAACAACAGTTAACCTGCCAAAAAACTGAGAAGTAGCCTAAAATGTTACTTTCATAATGTTGGCGGACTTCGAACTAAACTCTCTGTTAAAAGACTCTTTACTACTAAATGATTATGATATTGTTATTTTGATTGAATCGTGGTTATTTGAAATGTTTCTGGTTAGTGAGACTGATCTATTAAACTATAATGTTTATAGACAGGACCGCTTTCAGCATGGATTGGACATTGTGGGCGGGGGAGTGTAAATTGCAATTAAGAAAAACCTATCCTCTAAAGAAATATGTAAGTCAAATTTGTTTAACATAGAACAACTTTTTGTGGAAGTTAAACTGAATGATGATCAGCTTATAATAGGAGGAATCTTTATACCACCTAGTTCATTAGCTGATCTTGAGAAACTGATGAGTAAACATCCACAAAGTTTTGTGATCTTGGCTGACGATTACAACCTGAGAGATGCTCAATGGGCTAATGATTAAAACGAGGTTTATTTATCTACCTTACTTCTTGATGGCTCTCATGCGAATACAGTATGTAAATCTTTTGTATTTTTAAATATCCATCAGTGCAATAATATACCAAACAGATATGGAACATTCCTGGATCTCATTTTTTCACATATACCTGATGTGTGTACGCCGGTCGATCCATTGTTTTGTGAATCATTCAGGCATAAGCCATATGAATTTTTTATCCCTATCGTCTATTTGAAACAGTTGTTTTTTTATGAAGATTATGTTTATGATTGAAAGATAGATGCTGGGTATCGATCTTAAAGACAGGAAAAAAAACTCATGGATCAGAGAAAAAAACAAAGGTAAACGATGTATCAAGACAGGTTGCAAAACTTAAATGGAACTTCGCCGGTCACACTCTCCGGCAAAAAGATGAAAGGTGGAATAAGCGAATTCTACACTGGAGACCATGGGAAAAGAAAAGAAAAAGAAGAAGACCACAGATGAGATGGACTGACGACCTTAAGAGAACGGCAGGAAAGGACTGGATGCAGATCGCCCAAAATAGAGACCAATGGAGATTAACAGGCCTATGCCCAAGAGTGGGCGTTTAAGGCTGATTAGATAGATAGATAGATGTTTATGATTTCAAAAACTGTAATTTTAATTCTCTTAACCTTTATCTGTCTTCAGTTATTTGGGATGCATTATACCATTGTAATAATATAAATGAGGCTTGTCAAATATTTTACACCTATATTGTTTAGATATTGTTGTTCCTATGAAGGCTGTCAAGTGTTCCTATAAGTTTCCAATTTGGTTCTAAATAAAACTTAAAGATCTTATTATTCAAAAGAAAAAAAATTCTTCTTCTTCAAAATCTGAGGTTTAAATTATCTAAATCAAACGAGGACTACTTATTGTTCTCTAATCTGCGTGATCAATTTAAAGTTGTCAGAAACAACATTTTTCGTCTCTTGAAAAAAATTTTAGTAATAACCCCAGGGAATATGTTCTACTCATAATATTAATATCATTAATAGATATAATTATTAATGCGCTAATGATTCTAACCTCATACTCCAGTGCCAGGTTAAGCAAAGTTGGGGCCAGCCCATCTCCCTGCTTTAGTCAGTGCAACAATTTTAAAAAGTCTCTCCAGTAATTTTGTATTCGCACACATGCCTAAGTTTCTTCCAGTGTGGCTTTAATGAGTCTATTTAGCTTATGTGGTATTACCAAGTCAGCCAATATATTTTAGAGTAGTGTTGTAAACCTGTTTGAAGTCTACAAATGCGTTGTGAACATCAATGTCATGTTCCGATGATTTACTCAAGATCTGTTTGACTGTAAATATTTGATTCAGTGTCGACCTTCCCCATCAGAATCCTGTCTGATACTATCCAAAAATATTTTTTGATAGTGGTTGGAGCGGCTGATTCATAATATATGTGAGGAGTTTGTATGCCATACATACTAGAGAAATTCCACGGTAGATTTTGCACTGGAGTTTGTCTCCTTTTAATAGAAATCTTATAGATCGGGCATACTATACTTTTCTTGAAGTCATCAGGTATTTTCTCTTCTTGTCGTATATCTTTGATGAGTGCGGTGATGTGACTTGCTAGGTGGTCGCCACCTTCCTTATACAATTTGGCTGGTATTTTGTCAACTCCCGGGGATTTATTGTTTTTCTGAGCCTTAATAGCTTCGAAAACTTCCTCTATGGTTGGAGCTTCTACTCCATTCTTTACTTCATTCTCTTCTACGTAGTTCGTACCCATTTCATCTTCCATGCCTACTTGTGTACCAAGTAGGATCTGAAAATAGTGCTTCCAGGTTTCTGTGACTTTCTATTGGTTACTGGACTTGCATTATTCAATTTGTACAAATTATAAAACAGTTCTACATAAATAACGTATCCTAAGAAAAGGAACAAACATTTGTGGTAATCTAAAAATTTTGAATGATATACTCGTAGCGGAAATTGCCGAAAGGGATGTTTTCAACATTTTTTTGGTCAAATTATAAAATAGTTATACGACATTGCATCTTAGACAGTACCACACTATTTAACGGCTAAATTTTTAATTATAAATGTTACTTTTTTCCAGATTCTATATATAGCTCGTACTTTACTGTTAAGCAGGACAACTATAAAGTTACTATAACCGTAGATGCTCTAATTCCTTCTAGTATTTATGAAAAGGTATCTGTAATTCCCCTAGCTCTTGAAGCTACATCATCAGGAACACAGAATGTTGGAAAAACTGTCGTCAATGTCAATATAAACTGTAAGTATTTGTCATAAATGCATATGTTTTGTATTCATGAAGATTTTCTTTAACTTCTATATGTTTTTGATAAAAAAGCTGTAATTGTTGAGTAATCTCTTGCACTAGCTTAGTCCTTGGAGGCAATTTGTGACTGTTTAATATAAAGTTAAAAAGACACAAGTATAAAATATGGAACACAAGTATACATGTAAATCCAAATAGCACTGATGATGGAATTGTTATTCCGAACACGTTCAGTGATGTAGCCCGATAGGGTTTTTATAAACCACCAGAAGGTAAACCAAAATGTGTTCATTGTGGAGAAAACCATCCTGCAAACTACCGCGGATGTTATGTAGCTAAAAAATTACAAACAATAAGAAACGAGAGAACAAACAAAGACAATGTTATAAAAGCGCCCCATAGAGTTATTGAAAGCAAAAACCTAAAAACGGCAGAGGTCATTGAAAAAAGAAGTTATAGCGATGTAACAAAGAATGCAAGGAGACATGCATCATCGCAACAAGAAAAAGAAACTGATATTACATTAAAAATGATATTGGAAAAGCTCATCAAGATTGATGACAAAATAACTCAAATCGATATCAGAGTTAAACGACTAGAGCATGGCGCTAAAGGAGCTATTCCGAAAATCAGAAATGGCTAAAGACCTCCGAATAATGACGTGAAACGCAAATGGACAACAACATTAGATCGAGTTGCAGGCAGTACTAGATATTGAGAAAATTAATCTGTGTCTCGTTTCTGAAAGACACTTCATCAAACAGTCATATGTAAAATTTAGGGGGTATAGAGTATATTCTACTGTACACCCAGATAATGCAGCAAAAGGAGGAAGCGCTATTATAATTAAAGATAACATCTTGCATCACGAGGAATTAAAATATGCAACTGAGCACATACAAGCTACAACAGTCTGTGTGAAGATGAAAACACATACCTTAAATATAAGTTCAATATATTGTCCTCCTAGACACTCCATTAAAAAGGAGCAATATAAAGAGTTTATGAACACTTTAGGAAAAAGATACAGCATCGGTGGCGACTTTAATGCAAAAAATACCAACTGGGGCTCTAGGCTAACTACAACTAAAGGAAAAGAACTATTGTCAGCTGTTAAGGAACAAAAGGGTGAAGTAATCTCTACTGAACAAAATTCCAGACCTGATAGATTTCTTTATTTACAAAAATATCTTAGCTAACTATCTGGATATCAATGACGGCTGGGACATGAACTCTGATCACTCACCGATAATTTTAACTATGAGTGATACAGTGATTAAAAAAGAGTTCAATCCAATATTGACTAATAAAAAAACTGACTGGGAGAGCTTCAAAATAAACCTTGAACACAAAATTAATCTTGCTGTGCCATTGAGAAACACGAGGCAACTTGATGACGAATTAGAAGTTTTTATAAAAAATATCCAACAGGCAGCTTGGGAAAATACTCCCACAATAACTAGAACAAAAGGGAACAACTGTCCAAAAGAAATCTGAGAACTTATAGTAGAAAAAAGGAAGTTAAGAAAAAAATGGCAGCAATACAGAGCTCCACAAGACAAAACTAATCTAAATAATGCTGCACAAAAACTAAAAAGGGAGACACATAATATAAAAAGTTCAACAATTAATTCTTTTTTAAGTAATTTAACAGCTGACCAGAACACAGTTTATTCTTTATGGAAGGCAACAAAAAAAATTAAGCGACCAATTATTCATTATCCCCCTATCAAGTTGGAAAACGGCAACTGGGCTAGAAGTAACGAACAGAAAGCAAAACTATTTGCAGATCAGTTGAAAGCACGTTCAAACCCAACGACAATGATGGTGAAGAACTGAGATGGAAAGAACCATTTCAAACTGAAGAAAGAATAACGTTGACATCACTTAGAGAAGTATCCACATAGATAAAAGAGAATATAAATCCTAAGAAAGCTCCAGGATATGATCTCATAACATGAGAATTATTAAAAAATCTACCAAAAAAAGCCGTTCTAAATAGTTGCCACACCTAATAAACGCTGCTTTTAGATTGAGATATGTTCCCAGACTCTGGAAAGTAGCCGAAGTAATTATGATCGCCAATCCAGGTAAATCTCCTAATGAAGTGACATCCTATCGACCAATATTAAAACCAATAATAGAAAAAAATCTTATACCACATCATCAATTTGGTTTCCCAAAAGATACTTATACTTTATAAAACATTTTAACAATTTTTTTAATAGTTTTTTTCATTTTTCAGACAATAAAGGTTCCGTTAAATTCAGCTCGTCCCTTTATAACGGAAAGTACACCCTTAAAGACGGAGAAGCTACCACATCTATTGATATCATTACATTGACTACAGACCAAGATGCAGAACAAATATTGGTTGAGATAGACAACGGTAAGACATGTTCAAGATAAAAATATTAAATTTTAAGCTTAAAAAAGTTGATTATTTTTTTCCGAAACGGTCTGCTGTCAACAAGAATAGTAACGCAGAATGTGGTTGACGAATATTGGATGTCCAAAGAAATAAGGTGAAAAAGTACCCTCTTGGGGACCTTGATCCGTTCAGGTATCTGACAAGGTTTTTGAGTTTTATTGACTTTGATAACCAAAACCTCTGTTTTATTCGGTGGGTCGGTGAACTTTTTAAATTATGAACAATTTAAGGCCAAAAATCCATATTTTACTCATTTTGATCTAGCAGTAAAAATAAAGCATTTTGAATGGATTTGGAGGTACTTATATAATAAAGTACGTTTAAAGCTTTAAAATAGCCATTTGTAAATATTGATTTACTAATTTGTTGCTTAGAAAACTAAAAATCTAAGAATTAGTCCACAGTCCACATAGTACCACAAATAGTCTGGCTAATTGGCTATGCCAAAGCCATTTATACAATTAAAAAAATCTGTATACTCCGTGATGTTTATTAATATACATATTTCTGTACATGTGTTTGATATATGTATGTATGTATGTACTTGATTTTTCTCATGAAAGTGCCTGCACATCGGAATAACCGGCCATTTGGTCAACCGACCAGGCTCTGGTCCTGAGATGGCCGGTTAAGAGGGAGTCTACTGTACTACATATTATGAGTTTTAGGAAGGACACTAGCTAACCAAGTTATGAATTTTGGAAGATTTAATAAAAATTTCTAAGATGACTAATTAAGCATTTAATTTTTTTACGACTTTTGCTTCATCGATAATGAAAGATTTTTCTTAAACCTATATACAATATTCTCATTTTTAAAGGTTTTGTTGATTTGTTATTTTCTTTTAATCTTTTAGAGTACAAGAAATATTTTGATGCTTCATACGCCCAATCCGAAGTCAAAATAACTAAAAAAGCCGATATACCAATAGCTGAGCTTAAGGAAATTGCAACAATATCTATACAATTGAAAGCAACGATCAAGAATTCCAAAGTCGAGGACAACACTGTAATAAACTTATTGGTCATTACCGGTAAGTTATATATAAAAAAAATATTAACCTCTACATTATCCTAGCTCAAAATGTGGTTATATGTAATCACGGTGTGCGCAGTTTATATACGGTAATACCCCGAACTTACGCGGGTAAGTATTGATAAGTCTGATATTGTAAATTATATTTTGCATAATGGGTTTTCATCTATTCCATACGAATAACAAATTGTTATTAAAAATAAGGGGCGTCCTTTGCCTAAAATGTCCCGGCTTATAAATATTAGTGCGGGTAAGGGAAGTAATAGATCATTTTCAGATAATTGGTACAGCAAGTACTCATGGCTTACCGGGAGTGAAATAAAAAACAAACTTTTTTGTTGCTTTGTGGCCTTGCATTATAGTTTCCACAAATAGGGGCAAACATCAAAATCCGTGGTGTGAATCTGGTTACGATAATTTAAAGGAACTATTTAGGGCTTTACATAAATATGATATTTAGAAAGATCATACTTACAGCCAGATTAAATTAGATTTATTTGGACAACAAAATATCTATGTTTCATTAGATAATGCCCAACGTGAAAATTCTATTAAACATAACGAAGTTGTAAAAAATAATCACGCAGTTTTACGTCGTTTAATTGATATTGTAATTTTTTTAAGTTGTCAGGAATTATCTTTTAGGGGACACGATGAATCGGAGCATTCGTTAAATCAAGGTAATTATAGAGAACTAATAAAAATGTTTAAGAAATACGATTTGGAATTTTCTAATTTACTTTCTGATTCGAAGACATTTAGCGGTGTATCTAAAACAATCCAGAATAAATTAATAAGTATAATCAATTAGTTACATTTTGAGTAACGTTATTGAATCTGAGATTCAGGAAACCATTTGCTTTTCACTAGAAGTAAAAGAAATTACCGACATATCATGTCATTCACAATTAAGACTTATACAGATTAAAATTTTTTGATATCAAAAATAAATTGTTAGGGCAAACTTATGACGGCACTGCCGTGATATCTGGTGAATTAAATGGTCTCCAGGCAAAAGTTAAAACTATTGCACCGCAAGCTTTATTTACTCACTGTCATGCGCATAGAATGAATTTAGTTTTGCAGATTCATGTAAATAAATTAAAGAATGTCGTCTTTTTTTTGCCACTTTAAGCGGATTTGCTTCATTTTTCTCAAGCTCGCCTAAACGGACTAATGTTTTAGAACGGTTTGTTTCGAAAAAAATGCCAACAGTTTATCAGACGCGATGGAATTTTAAATCTCGGTTAGTTTTCACTGAAGCAGATTTTCGTGAACAGCTTTTGGAAGTTTTTGATTTTATTATTGAATGTGACGATTTTGAAAGTGATGATATCTCGATCCGAGAAGCAATCGGTTTGAAAACTGTATTAAATGATTACTCTTTTAACATACTTTTAAATATTTTTAAGAAAGTGTTTACCTAAACCAATTTGATATTCAATGTTGTTCAAAATCAGTTAACTGACATTATTCATTCCAAAAATAGAATAACAAGGCTGGTGCAAAATCTCAGAGATTTTCGTAATGATAGTAATTTCCAGTATATACTCAGTGACGTTTTGGACTCGCTTGATATTTCCGAACCCCCAAAAAAGACAAAGGCATAACACAGAAACAGATCTCGAAAAACGAGTATATTTTGAAATTTTAGATACTATTATTATGCAAATAGATACTCGTTTTTCGAATTTGGAAGATTTGCAAATTTTTAACCTTTTTGACGATTCAAAATTTAAAAGTTACGCCAAAGAATTTCCAAGATATTTATTAGACAGTTTAATTAAAAATTATCCATCATTCTTTAATAAAATAAAATTAGAAAATGAATTAAAAGTTTTATATGCTGATCCAAATATTTTCGGAACATGGGATAAGTTACAAGTTATGTGTAATTTTATATACTGCAATTCATTACAACAAACTGTTACCGAAATTAATAAATTATTGTCAATAATTCTCTCATTACCACCAACGTCTGCCTCCAATAAACGAGATTTCTCTTGCCTTAAAAGAATCAAAACGTATTGTCGAAATACCATGAAACAAGAGAGAATGTCAAGCTTGTCTCAAATGTCAATAGAAAAAAAACTTTTAAAATATTTCCAAAACTCTTTCCAAACAACGTAGACTAGAGTTTATAAACATGTTTAGGTTCTAAATTTATAGGAAAAAAATAAAAAACAAGAAAACAAAAAATCTCCTATGATGATTGAAGTCTTGATTAGACGGTATACCTATCTGAGGAGACAAAAAATACCTTGCCGACCTTGTCTCTCAAGCCACGAGCCGCCACTGGTAAATATTGTGTTTATTCTCTTTGATTTGAGAATTTTCATTGAGATGTCAATGACACCTGTGATATAGAGAATAAAATCTTTTCTTTGATGAGAATCTGATCCATTGGACCTGGATTGACCAGGATTAATCATTTCAATTAAGTGAGACTACAATTAAGAGAGTGCTTCATGAACACTGTCTTTTAGTGTATTTTTTATTGGTTTCTTTTGTTTCATATTTGTATATTATATCTACTACAAAATGTTTATTACATATTTGGGTGTGGTATTCGTCTTTAATTTTTTTAAGTTTAATTTACCAAACATTTATTATCTGTTTAAAAAATAAAAATATAAAATTCGTAACTACTTTAAATTGACACCATATATTACTCTTTTAATTTTTAGATGATACTCCGACACCAGATCAAGGAAAAATAAGTTTTGCCAGCTTTGTAAATACTGGCGAGTATTCCGTACTAAATGGAGTAGGAGAATTTAAAGAAGATAATGATATTAAACTTACGACAGATAGACAAAACGATGAAATAGAAGTGAAATTCAGCGATGGTAAGTTTGGAAAAATGCCTGTCGGAAAACTTAAAATTCTTAAAAAGTTTTTCTGCAATTCTTGCATAGATCCCTAGGTTGGATAAGTCTATCTTGTATTATGTCTATGACTATAGTTATTGTTGTAACAGAAATAGTAAATAGTATTAATTTTATTTTTAGACTCCAATTTTAAAGACAAGTTTAGGATTTCCTACAAAGATCAAGTAGTAACGGTAGAAAAGATAGAGGACTTGTCCAATGAAGATTTCCAATCACATACCTATATTTCGTTAGAAATGATCGCTACTATTATAAAGTCGAAACAGAGCTCCTCAGCTGTGCTAAACATCCGCATGAACAGTAAGTAAATATTTATATTAAAGATTTAAATAATTCCAGATTGTGGTGTGCATAATAGCTCGTACTGTAGTAAAAATAAAAATTTCGTTTCGATCGATTGAAGTACTTTTTGAGACCGTCGTGAGACAGGTTAGTTTTACTCTACTGATGACTCGTCGTTGCGATAGTAATCCTGTTCAGTACGAGAGGTACCGCAGGTTTGACATTTGGTTCAGACACATCAGTCACGTCTCGTCACAGTCCTGGCGCCGAACCGAACAATCCGTCATACAAAATATTCTTTAATAGAAATATAGCGCCGGCATTCACATTCATCAGACGACGAACAGTTTTCCAGCTGTCAGATAATTAATAGTTCTGTGACCAAACAGGACCGGTTCGGCGCCGAGACTGTGACGGGACTGATGTGTCTGAATCGACCTTTACTCGAGCGGGTAATGGTGCGAAGCTACCATACGTGGGATTATGCCTGAACCTCTAAAGCTGTATCTTTTCAGTCAAAAGTGGCAACGATATCTCTTGGGGCTCCGAGAGTCGAAAGGCTCGAAACAATATGACTTTACTAGGCAATCGTAGTTCGCTATGATTGTCGCACGAGCCCTTATTTCCGTTGAGATTATCGGTTAAGATGAGATTGATCCTTGCCAGTAGATCAGATCTTTAGACGGACGAACATGGGTATTATAATCATTTCGATGTTGGAATTGTCTGTAGACGACTTATGTACCTTGCAGGGTGTTGTACCAAACTCATGCATACCCGCTCAGAATGAAAGTATCTTAAACGCTACAGCCGCCATTCTAATATAACATCTTATACAGATTGAACGAATTTAAAACGGATCATACAATTTAATATATGTCTGTTTGAACTGCATTTGAAATAGTGGACCAATATAAAACTTGGACAAAAATAAATCCATACCTGGGTATAGACATTGTATAAAATATCGTTCAACTATCTGTCTCGCAATGTTGCTTGCGTAAAGGAAGCGATAATAGTTCAGGAAATGAAGCTCGAAAAAAGTTAAAACTTCGCAATTTTTTCGTCCTGCATGGATTGAGTTGAAATTTTGACAAAAGGTAATTGATAGCCCAAGGATCAAAATCTATATTGAACCGAAGTGCGCTTAAGGGTTTTAGGGGTAAAAACTACCCCTAATTTTAAAAAATTATAAAATAACATATTAAACCTGAATATGGGTAAGATTTGGTTTGAATTAGTTAAATAATGATTATTTTATACTCTTGAATAGAGTTTCATCATATTTCAATCCTTAAAAAGCAACCCTTGTTAGAGATTAATGTAAAAAAATTACTAATTCTAAAAAATTGATGTCGCCTTGGATCGATTTGGATAAAAATTTGGATTTAAGCTCAATTCACACACTGCTTTATAGTTTATGTCATTTCGACGAACCCTGATTGTTCTTAGGGGTGAAAACTACCCCTAATTTTCAAAAATTGCAAAATAACATTACAAATATTAAGATGAGTGAAATTTGGTTTGGATTTGTTAAATAGTGATTTTTTTATACTTTAAAATACAATTTCATACATTTTCAAAAATCAATTGTTATTAGTGCTATAGGTGAAAACAATTTTTTGCCAAAATTTTGCAACTTTTCAACTTTTGAAAATCACCCTTTACAACATTGCAGTTTTTATAAACTAATTTAATAGATATAAATTGAAAAAAGTAGAATTAAATACAAAAAAATTTATCAACATAAAAAGGCGCCATATATTCTTATACATTTACATAAATAGTTGAAAATATTTACATTTATAGGTAAAACAATTATAATATTAATTTTATTCGTCATCAATTACATCTTCATCGTGATCTACATCGTGATCTTCTTCAATTATTGGTGGACTATTATTGCACTCTTCACCTGAGCACCCAGAACAAGTAGAGTTACAGTATAAACCAACTTTTCTGCACCCACATGAAACGCCTCATATTTAAAAAAAAGAAGGGTAACAAATATGAAATTGTAAATCGTTTCTCGCTTTATGCTGTACTTTTTCTAAAACTAAGCATTTTAAATGGGTCAAACTTCTTGGACGTATTAACAATACATTTACAAAGAGAATTGCAGAAGGGTGAAGATTGATTTTAATTAGGGGGGTGATTAGGGGGTTGTTTTCATCGATTTTTTCGTAAAAAAAATGAGGTATTGACCTTATTTTCATCATTACTCAATTTTTGAGCTAGAGTCTTTCATTTATGATAGGTCTATTTATGCTCTTTAAAAAAGGTTCTGTGAGTTTTCTTCCAAAAATGCATCATTTTTCCGATATTTGACTTTGAATCTTTCAAATTTGGCATTTGAAGAAAACCGCTGATCATTGATAGGCCGTATTTCGGTTTCTGTTATATCGCAAAAACATTTTAAAAAATTAATTGTATTTGTCATTTTAAAAGCTACAAATTTGTTCTCTAAAATTTTGCATACTAAAAGTTGTTACTTTCAATCGCGAATAACTTGAAAAATATCAGTTTTACAAAAAAAAAGTATAGAACATTTTTTGTTTAGAATCACTTTTTTAATCGAAACCTGTAGTTAAAACGTAAAAAAAATTCAAACTTGAGATGGGGTGGCAACCACTCCCAAGTCTTTGGCGCACTTTGGTTCGATATAGATTTTGATCCTTGGCTATTACCTAACTTCTGTTAAAATTTCAAGTAAATCCACGAAGGACGAAAAAATTGCGAGGTAAAATGCTTCATTTCCTGGACTATAAGGGGTTTGACAGCATAATAAAATCGTAGATTTATGTGTAGCTTTCAATTTTTATGATTTCAGAATCCAGCAGCCCGCTGAAGTATTGGATTTTTATAATATAATTATTTGACAACCTTTTGTTGCTCAACCACCTACAGCAGAATTGAGCCGAAATACATAATATTTCGTATGTTCCGAATTTATTTCGTTCAATCTGTTTAATAGTTATTATTTTATGTCTTGATCGAAATATACAGTTCCATGTACAATGGTTTCATAATTACCTGCATTTATAATGATAAGGCTCCTTTCATTTGTAGATAACGGAGGTAGTGATAGTGAACATATATCCTTTGAGTATCCTGCTTACAAAGGTCTTTACAATATATCGAATAATATGGTTGATTTAGATTATGACAAAATAACTGTATCCACGGACCAAACAGATGAGAATCTTGAAGTGAAAATAGCGGAGCGTAAGTAGCTTTTTTATTATTTTTTTGTTATTTCATAATAAAAATCGCCTTTCAAAATCAATAAGTAAGTAGGTTCTCAAATCTGAAGTTAGATTTATTATAGATTTAGGATGTAACACAACGGTATAATGTGTGTATGTGTGTGTGTGTGTGTGTGGTATTATATGTGTTTAGTTTCGATATAGTTTTGAAACCTTTATACTGTTTGCCGATTTTTGAGGAGTCCAATATTGAGACGCGTTGTTTTGGTACTTCTCTCCTTCTTCGCATTTGAGATTCTAGCTTGAATTCGTGTGCCAACTAGGAAGTGATCTGAATCAATATTGGCACCTCGATAGGTGCGGACATCCATTAGGTTTGAGAAGTGTCTAGCATCTATCATCACATGATCAATTTTGTTGTTCGTTGGTCCATCAGGTGAGGTCCAAGTCCACATATGTATTTTTTTGTGTAGAAAACATGTGCTTCTTATGATCATGTTCTTTGCGGCTGCGAAGGTGACTGCTCGGTGTCCATTCGAATTGGTATCATTATGGAGACTATATCTACCGATGTGCGGTAGATATATTTCTTCCCTTCCGATTTTTGCGTTCAGAGAATGTTACCAGTCAAAATGTTACCTTACTTTTTTCTAAACTGAGCGGTATTACTCCTTTTTTAGATTCACTGGTGATGGACTGATTAGTTCAAAACTGTTCTGAACTTTCTAATCGATTTGGATTTTTTAATTTAATTTTTTAATTACACGTACCAAATACAACAGAATTGTTTTACTTTGATTTTCGAGTTTTTCATAATTACTTGCATTAAAATAACCAATTAAGTTCCGTATTACTACATTTTTAGTTAATATCAACGTTTAGTATATTATACCCCTAATTTTTTTCTGTTTTCAGCATACAATGAATATTTCGATATAGTTTGTACCAATAAACTGATTCAAATCAGTCTGAAGGATAAAGCTGCCAGTAACACTCTTAGAAGTTTAACGAATATTCCAGTAGTAGTGTCTGCACAAATCAAGGATACAACCCATACAGCAACTACGGTGGTTAATTTAGAAGTTAGAGGTAAGCCAGTTTAAGTTTCTAAATCGTCACCAGTATTTAGATCAATTTAGATTTGCATAGAGGTCGACCCCCAACGAGATGGGCAGATGACATAAAAAGAGTGACTACAAATTATACTCAGATGGCGCAAAATCGGACTAAGTGAAAAAGCATGCGAGAGGCCTATGTTCAGCAGTGGACGTTAGAGGCTAGATGATGATAATGATGAGATTTGCGCGTTGAAGAAAAAAAAAATTACGCATTTTTTACGATTTTGCCGAAACTACTGGCAACATTGTAATGTTTTGGAAGCTGATACATCCCAGGAATTTGTTTTTATATCTGATTCTTATAGAGGGCCCTAATAACATGAATCGTACTAAGTATTAGTCAATATAACTTTTTTAAGAGTATAATTATTAATAAAAATTTCAAGTAAACTTAAATATCATTCAATTTTACACGAAAAAGGTACTCTTGGTAAAACTCGATAATGTGTACCGTTTTCGGAATATGTATTTTGATTTGATGCTGGTATAAAATAGTTAGTAATTAAACAATACTCACAAGAAGAAAATTAAATTAATGACTAAGAACATAAGTAAAATTCATAAACAAAATAAAATTCAATTACAGTAAGTGTTCAAAATGCCCTCCGTTTTCGCGAATACACAAGTCTATTCTTTTTCTAAAGATTCGATTAACTTTCTAAATGGTAGGGGATCAGCTATGATGTCATTAAATTGACGTTGAATTCTTTCTTCCAATTCTTGGCGTGAATGTACCTCTGTTGCATAGACTTTTTCCTTAATATACGACCAAACTGCGTAGTCCAAAGGGTTAAAATCGCATGACCGAGGAGGCCAATGAATCGGAGCTTCTGCACCTCTACCAATCCATCGATTCGGAAAATGATTACTCAACCAATTACGACATCTTCTATCAAAGTGTGGTGGAGCTCCATCGTGCATAAAAAATACAGATCTTCGCTCGTTTAGCGTTAAATTTTCTAATATCTCGAACAAGGAATTGTTTAAAAAATCAAGATACATATCACCATTTAAATTTCCAGGTAGAATATGATAACCTATTAATTTATTAAGTTGCTGCCCAAACATTAACTTTAAATGAGTGTTGGTAATGTGATACCCTTTTGACTCGTGGATTCTCATCACACCAATAGTTTGCATTATGGGAGTTAAACATACCTTGTCGCGTAAAGATGGCCTCGTCCGTAAAAAGAATGCATTTTCAAAAATTTGGATTGTGGGCTGTCCTTTATTGCAATGTTTCACAAATATCCACTCTAACCGGTAGATCATCTGGCAAGAGCTCTTGGACTTGTCTGTAATGATAAGGATGTAATTGCTGATCTTTCAGTATCCGCCAAGTACTTGAAGAAGAAGTATTTGTTTGTCTTGCTATATTCTTTACGCTAACTGTTGGATCTTGATCAAGCAAATTTAAAATATTATTTTCTTTATTAATTGTTCTTGTTGTTCTTGGTCTACCAAAATTTATTTTATTTGATCTCACAGGTTCTCGACAACGTCGTTCAACGGCTCTAAATGTTTTTTTACTTATTAAGTTTCTTCTAGGAAACTTTTCTGCATAACGTGTCACAGCTGCACTAGAACATCCTAAACATTCGCCTAAGGTTAATAACATGTCAGTGTCTTCAACATTTGAGTACATTCTGATTTGATTTTACAAATAACAAAGTTTCAAAACTCTAGTTATTATTGATTTATCGTCATAACAATCAATAAATGTCAGATTTCCATGGCACACTTGGAGAAAATAGAGGTATACCTATTAGAACTTTATCATTACTACCAGCATCAATTATTACTTCTGAATTTTCAAATCAAAATATTCAGAAAACGGTACACAGTATCGAGTTTTACCAAGAGTACCTTTTTCGTGTAAAAATTGAATGATGTATAAGTTTACTTAAAATTTTGATTTCTTAAAAAAGTTATATTGACTAATATTTAGTACGATCCGTGTAACTACCGCCCTCTATTAGAATCAGATATAAAAACAAATTCATGGGATGTATTAGCTTCCAAAACATATTCGTACAAAATTTTATTACAATGTTCCCAGTAGTTTCGGCAAAATCGTAAAAAATGCGTAAAATTTTTTTTACGCAATTAAATTAACAAAAGAGAGTTTTACCAAAGTTTTCTTTTATTTTTATACCTCCCAATAGTTGGCAAAAAACAGTAACCTACGATATGCATTTGACACACTAATACTTGCAGTAAACGAAGTCGAAATGACGACCAACAACATCGAAAAAACAAAAATAATGATCATAGAGAGGACAAATAATAATCTACCACACATACTCTAAGTGGTAAATTTCGAAGTACTAAAGAGATTTGTATACTTGGGCTCCATAATAAGCAACAATTGCGATATCTCCTCAGAAATTAATCGTAGACTAGCAGTGACCTGACACGCAATCTTCTTCTTCAAGTACTATCTCCTCGGCGGAGGTTGGCAATCATCATAGCTATTCGGACTTTTGAGACGGCTACTCTGAAGAGTTCATTTGGTGTACATCCGTACCACTCTCCCAGGATGCGCAGCCATGACATTCTACGCCTCCCTATTCCCTATTCTACGCTTCTATTTCCTTGGATCTTTCCCTGCATAATCAGTTGGAGCAAGGTGTATTTCTTTCCAAGTGTAGAGATATTTCAATTTTCTTGTTTTAATTGTATTTAAAATTATGATTTCTTTATTTCTCCTTTTCTCTTTGTTTGTGACGTGTTCTTTCTACGATATTTTCAGAATTCTTCTATACACTCACAGCTCGAATGATTCCAGTTTTTTTATTGATGTTACATTCAAGGTCCAAGATTCCATTCCATAAAACAAAGTCGAAAAACCTTTATCCACTTAATCGATGTTGGTTCCGTTTATTAGAAGATTCTCGTTATTTCTTTGTGTTTTTGACATTCTCATAAATTTTGTCTTCTTGGCGTTCATTGTTAGACCGTACTATTTTCCATACTCCGCTATTCTGGTCACCAGTCTCTGAAGATCTTCAATATTTTCGGCTAAGATCACAGTGTCGTCCGCACACCTTAAGTTGTTAATGGGAACTCCATTTACCCTCATTCCAGCCGTTTCACCCTCAAGAGCTTTTTTCAGGATCTGTTCGGACAATACGCATCCCTGTCTCACTCCACGCCTAATTTCAATTTCTTCTGACAGCTATTCGTTAACACGTACTTTGGCTCGATGTTTATAGTATAAATTTGATTTGAGCCTGAGGTCGTTGTAGTCAATCTTCTTTGATTTCAAGACATTCATTAAAATTGTACTTTATCAAATGTTTTATTATAGTCAATAAAACATGCGTTTATATCTTGATTGACGTCCAGGCATCTTTTTATCAGTATATTAAGTGAAAAAAGAGCTTCATGCGTTCCTAGGCATTTGTGAAAACCGAATTGTGCGTTAACCACTCTTTGTGTAATATGCCTGAACTATAAATTTGGTTCAAGAGTGTCACTAAATCATCAATATGATTCTCATCTAGAATTTTTAGGATTTCTATAGAAAGCTTTTTCCACTCGTCATTGTTTTTAATGCATGTAATATTTCTTCTTTTGTAATATATGAACCTATTTCTTCTGACGTAAGTTCTATGTGCTCCAGATCTCTTCTTTCATCATTAAACAGTTCGTCGATATATTTTGTACATCTTTGTACTTTCTCGTCCGTCTGTGATATAATAGTCCCGTGTCTATCCAGAAGTGCACCATTAGGATTTCGTTTTCTTAGTCCTGCCAGTTCTTTAACTTTCGTGTGTAGGTTAAACACATAATATTTATTTTGAAGGTCTTCGATCTCTTTGCATTTCTCTTCAAAGTATTTTTCTTTTGTCTGCTTTATCATTTTTCTGATCTCGTGGTTTATCTCTCTGTATTTATTGTTGTCTTTGTTTTTAAATGGTCTTCGTTGTTCCATCATATTGATTATCTCGTCATTCATCCATTTTTCTTTTCTCCATGACGAAATCTTTAGTATTAATTTACAGGGTTCCAGTAAACAATGTTTTAGTCGATTCCAGTACTCGTCAATACCATTGGTGTTTGTGTTCAATTTGCTGCAGTTCATATGCAGTTTATGTTGGAGGCATTCTTTTACGTTAAGTTCTTTAAGTTTTCTTGTGTCTATTGTAGGGATGCTTTGTTGTTTTTTAATATTTTTGAGGGTGAGTGTAATCTCGGCGATAAGTGGATTGTAATCTGAGGCCACGTCTGATCCAGGATATGCTTTCACAGCTTTAAGAGCATTACGGTATCTTTTATTGATCATAATGTAGTCTATATGGTTCCTGACTACTTTCTCCGATGTATCTTTTGTGACACGCAATAGTTAAATTAATTTAAATATGGAAACACCAAACAACATCAAGAAAGAGTAAGCTCAGGTTGCCCAATGCCTTTATCTTTTCCATTGCTACATAGGTGGCTGAAACATGAATTCTCATAAAAATCGATAAAAGTAAGATCGAAGCTTTACAATACAGAAGAGTTCTGTGTCATCCGCATAGCGGGTCTTGTTTAGGCGTTCTCCATTTAAAAGGATTACACGTTCGCAATTTTCCAAGGCTCCACCAAATATTTCCTCTAAATATAGGTTGAATAATATAGGTAAAAGTATACATCCTTGTCTAACGCCTCGCAGAATCTGGATCGCTTTCATCGGTTCATCTCCAAGATTTGTTCTTAGGGTGGCTGATTGGTTCCAGTATACATTTTGTATTATACGACGGTCTTTATAGCAGAAAGAATAAGAAGTTTTAATTCAACGCATATTTATACAATACTACGTGTCTAAATATGCGAGGAATTGGAAGAAGAAGAATATTATAGTTAAAAACCCTGAGAAAATTGTTCTCCACAACAAAAACTGTTTAAAGCATCAGTTAATAAAATAATTATAGCCGAAAAGAATACTGGCAAAACGAATATTCCGTATTCCGCACCTCTGGTATTGACTTGGGTATTAACATAAGAAAAAATCAATGTAGACCAACTTACACAACGCACAATTTATTTATGCTTTTTTTCACAGATTTTTAATGTTGATAATATAATACTTTTTTTCACAGATTACGACAACAATAATAAGCCTGAAGAATCTATCCATTTCCCGAAATTGGTCAACGACGCTCAGTATATTGTAGCAAAAGGAGAATTTAGCAGTACTGATATGGTTGTTGTTACTAATGTTTTAGATGAATATATAGAGTGTGATTTATCAAATGGTAAGTATATAATTTAATTTACTAAGCGTGATGAATTAAAACCAGCATTAGACACAATCAAGCCTATGCACGTAGACGATGAAACATTTTAGCATTGAATAAATCAGGAGTATCACTGCTAAATGAACCTCAATAATATAAAATATAACTAGAAGCAATACAAGAAACGAAGTGGGTAGAAATCTAATAGAAGAAGGAGCGGAAAAGAGAATAAATAACAGATTATGTGAACTGTGACCAACAAATGAAAATAAGATTATACTAGGTAACATGAATGCAAAAATAGGCAAAGAAGAAGAAGATGAACAATTCTCAACAACAAATCGACAAACACTCACTCACACCAAAGAAAACTGGAAATTTTCAATCAGTTTTGCCAGCTGAAAAGACGTGATCCGTTTTTTGACATATATATACATAGCAACATCAACCATGCCAGGTGGAGCAGCCATCAATAAAATTGATCACGTGTAAATAGACAAAAGGATTGCACATCGTTCCAATGAATTGTAATAACCGAACGTCATTACAAGGGGTGTACAAGTGTCTCAGGCTGTAAAGGGTGTACAAGGTACATGTTGTAAATTTGATTAGTTGGATATAATGGTACAGGTATACTATAGACGCATTATTTTATAAAACAAAAAAACGAAATACGAACAATAGAGTAGCTAGACATTAAAAACTGAGGCAACAAAATGGTAGAACTACGACACAGAAATAAGTCAAACACTGATAAACATAGCAAACCTAGATATTGTAGAACATTGGATAGAATTTAAAAAAATGGTTAATGCAACAATAAAGACCGTTGGCAAAAAGAAGAAAAAACAGACCAGAACGGTTTAATAAAGAACGTAAGCGAGCCATGCAAGAAAAAAGAGCAAACAAGAAATATGTGAAAAACGAAACAGAGAGAAAAAGGAAACAGAGAGAAAGAAAGAAGATCAAGTTCTGAAAAAACACGGTAGTGTGCGAATAAAGAATGCAGAAGAAGAAAAAATTCCAATATGGTCAGATACACATAGAGGAACAGAACCTTCAAAATTAAGATCTAAAATAAGCATATATGTACATATTTTCGAAACCTAAGAGAAGGATACAAACCCCAAACAAATTTAGAAACCAAGAAGAAGGAATAATTAGCACACCAACAAAAGTAAAATTAGTTTGGAACCTTAATTTTAAGCTCTGCTAGGAACACAATAAAATGGCCATTCTTTGAAGTTGCGGCTGATGAACAAAGGCCGAGACACGATAATCTTCCCTCCGAATTATTTAAATTAGGTGTTGAATACCTAGCGATACAGATGCATACGTTGAAACAGGGAAAGATCCAAGGTAAACGTGGTCCTGGTAGAAAACAAACATCATGACTAAAAAATCTAAGAAAACGGTCAGGAAAATCTACTGCATCACTATTTAGAGCTACCAATGTGGACAGATTAGATGTGGATTTGACGAAAAGCATGCTGAGAATACCATGGGTGGCCCGAAGAACAAATGAATCCATACTGGTCCAGCTAAACATAAAGAAAAGACTAAGAACACAAATAACACAACAGATAATAAGCTATTTTGGACATGTGCTTCGAAGAAATGGTCTTGAAAAACTTACCATCCAGGGAAAAATAGAAGGCAAAAGAAGTAGAGGTAGATCTCCTACACGATACACAGACCATATTGTTGCTACCATTGGCGCTCCATTGTCAGAATGTGCTAGATTGGCAGAAGATAGAAAAACGTGGAGGAACATTGGAAAAATTACCTAACAGCTTCATGATATCACGATACCTGCATCAGGTTAACGACTAAGAAGAAGAATGCCGAAATAATGATCGCCAACAATGAGATTATTTGACTTGCAAATACATATTGCTTTAACGATGATTATTGTTTTCAAAAAAATTGAGCTTTTGACATGATATATTAAATGATGAACATATTACACCTTCAAAATTCACGACAAACCTAGTACCTAGCGAAAATATCAATATTGGAGACAACGAAGTAGAGCTGGTGGAAAAATACATATAACTTGGACACGAAATAAAGATCACAAGAGACAACCAAACATACAAACTACAGAGAAGAATAAAGCTAGCTTGGGCAGGTTTAGCTTTAAAACGTAAAACATTTGACCAATATGTGTTGCCTGTGATGTTCTATGGTGCCGAAACTTTGACATTGACAGCTACAAATTCTAAAACGCTGCAAATAGCTCAGAGGAAAATTGTTTTGTCAATGCTGAGTATATAGCTTAGTGGCCGAGTTAAAAATGAAGACTTAAGGTGAAGAACAGGAGTTACCGAGTTACGATGAAATTTCCCGAATTGCCACACGGAAATGGAACTGGGCCGAACATGTCGCCCGAATCAGTGATGAAAGTGGACGAAGTGATTGCTTGAGTAGAAGCCGATGTTAGACAAAAGAAGTAGATGAAGATCACCTACTCGTTGAACTGACGATCTCAAGAAAATGTCAAGAAATTGGATGAAAAGTGCTCAAGATAGAGCACAATGGACAAAAATGAGGGAGGCATATGTCCAGCAGTGGACGCAAAGGGCTGGATGATGATGATATTACACCTTTGACAGTTCGAAGTATTTAAAATTATATCGACCTACGATATTAGATGAGTAAAAAGATAGCCTTAGTAAAATGCACATCCAGATGATCAAAAAATCAAAAAAGCTTCGCCTTGCTTAATATGTTTAAATTGATTTAATATTAACAGTTAAAAGTTTTTTTAATTACTAACTTCTAAAAAATACATCTAAGATTAAAAAAAAATTCATAAATTTCTACTATATTTTTTTGCTTATTCTGCTATTAGGTTCTTTAAGATGAATTCAAGAAACCAAATATCGTTAAAATTATTATTTGTTTATTTTATTTTGTTTTTTTTTTTTAGAGTACAATTATGAAAAATACTTCCATTGTAGTTATGAACACTCACGAGTACAAATAACTCTTTCTAGTACACTACCTCGAGACGAACTGAAAAAAACGAACAACATTGCATTGACTGTGCGTGTATCCGACAAGCTTAGAGAAGGTGTTTATGGAGATGCTATACTAAACATTGCGCTTAAACGTAAGTACGAAATAATATATACTTACTTACTTGCTTACTTAATCAGTAGACCCATTTGTACCTTTCGGTGTTGAGCCGTTTATAATACAATTCATTAAATTACAATATTTTACAGTCTAATGAGTTGTCCGAGCTCTTAACGAACTTTCTCCTTTCCTTCTTATTGTATGCCATATGTGTTGCTTCCTGCCAAGTCTTACCCTTACTGTGCAGTATCTGCCAGATGTCACTGTTCCATTCTTTAATGAGTCTTCCTCTTCTGCTCTTCCCTATTGGTTTGGCGTCCTACACTCTTTTTACTTGCCTATTATTGTCCATTCAGGTTAGATGTCCAAATCATGCGAATTTTTCTCCTTGATTGAGTCGAGTATCCGTTTGATCTTAAGTCTTTCTCTTATTTCTTCATTTCTGATCCTATCAGTTCTTTTTACTCCCCTCGTTCTTCTGAGGTAGTTCATCTCTGTTGCCTGAATTCTCCTCTGATGTCTTTTGTTTAATATCCAATTTTCTGCTCCATATGTCACTATGGTTTTGTATATTGTCATCTGGGTCTTTGTTGATATATCTTTGTTATTAAGGAATCCTCTATTTAATGCTTGGAATAGTTTCCCTGTGTTTTCCATTTTGTTGTTAAGATGGTCCTCGATGTCTCCTTTGTTATTTTTATTATGATACATTTTCGTTATTTGAGTCTTCTCTTTGTTTACGTTTAAGTTGTTTTTACTTACGTCTAGGTTCCATTTCTCTAAGTTGTATTTCAGTTTTTCTGCTGTTTTCGCAATTAATACTATGTCGTCTAAAAATATACACATCTCAGCGTTTATCATTTACATTCTGAGTATTTCTTGAATGTTTTCCTACATTCTTTCACTATCTCATCTATTACATTTATGAGTAGCACTGGGCTGAGACTTCCCCCTTGTCTAACTCCTTGAGTTGTTTCAAATGGTTTTGACTGTATATTTAACATTCTTACTGTATTTGTTGTTTTCATGTATATACTCTTTGTTGATTCTATCAGTTCTTCACTTACTTGCTTCTTTTTTAGGATTTCCCATATATCTTTTCTTTTGACTGAGTCGAATGCTTTTTCCATGTCTATAAAGCTCAGATATATCTCTCTATTTTTCTTTAAGGTTTTTTCTATTACTTGTTGCATGGTGAATATATGGTCTTGTGTGTTGTGTCCTTTCCTGAATCCACTTTGTACGTCTTCTGCTTTATGTTCTATTTCTTTTCTGATTTTTCTCTCTATTATGGTTTCGTATACTGTTGCTTTCTATTATGGTTTCGTATACTTCATATACTCTTAAAAATAATGAAAATACGGAAAACCTCATATTTGGGACACATATACAAAAATGAGAAATACCAGCTACTGCAGCTTCTTATAGAGGGGAAGGTAGAAGGAAAACGTGGTCCTGGTAGTCGGCAGGCGTCCTGGTTGAAGAACATTCGTGAGTGGACTGGTTTGGATTCTCAATCTTTAATAAGAAAAGCCAGGGACAGAAATGATTTTGCTGAGGTTATCGCCAACCTTCATTGAAGACGGCACCCAAAGAAGAAGATACTGTTGCTGCTACACATAGTAGTGATATACCTCTATAGTTCTTACAGTCTCTTGTGTTTACTTTCTTGTATATAGGTATAATTACTGCATTTGTCCATTCTCTGGGTATAACTTATCTCTTCCATATTAGGTTATATATGTATAACAATTTTTCTTTGGCTTTTATTTCTATATATTTCATCATTTCTGGTGCTACTTCATCGCTTCCTGGTGCTTTTTCAATCTTTATCTTTCTTATTGCTTCTTCCAGTTCTTCTTTTTCTATAGTTTCTGGGTTTTCCGTGTTTCTTGTGGATACTCTCTTGATGTGGCTTTCCTTCTCCATTGTATTCGCTTGATTTCCATTCAGTATTAGCTGGAAATGTTCCCTTCATCTTTCCTTTAGTGTCTTATCGTTGTTTATTATTATTCCTTCCTTGTTCATTATTTGTTTCAGTTTCGTTTCTTCGTTGCTTCTAAAGTTTTTCAGTGTTCTATAAAATAATTTAATTTTCCGTGCTGATTTATTCCATTTTTTCTTCGAATTTTTCCCAATTTTTCTCTTTCTTTTTCTTAACTATCTCTTTAACTTTTGTTTTATATCTGATTTGGCTTGTATGTATTCTTTCTATAATTTCTTTTTTTCTTTTATATTTTTTTTCACTTCATCGTTCCACCAAGATGTTTGTTTCCCTCTGTTGTTATTTCTTGTATTTCCACATATTGATTTAGCTGTTTTTATCATCGCATTTTTAAATTTTCCCCATTTTTCTTCTATTGTTTCTGTTATTCTATGTTCATTGTCCATCTCTTTCTCTAGCCCTTCTGAGTATCTTATTTTTGTTGTTTCTTTCCTTAGATTATAAATTTTATTTCTTTGTGTTTTCTGTTTATGCTCTCATTTCATTTTATTTCTGTTCGTTTGCTTTTGAAATAATATATACAGTGGCTTATCCGGTCCAGATATTGGCGATCATCAAGGCTATCATGGTTTTAAAAATGTTTATTCCAACTCTGTTATAACGTGAACTTTTGTATGAACTATGTAAAGTTTCCTGATTGTTGATGTACGATCAGATGAGTTAGCAATTTATGTGATTGCATGAATGAACTTTTACATTTAATGATGGAAATAAAATAAACTGAGACTTCCTAAAGTAAAAATATCTGTTACTATTTTCCCTTGGCTACTTTAACATTTAAAAGCATGACCTCCAGCAACCTAACATTACCGATTAGGATCATTGCGCAATAGAACGTTAAGATTATTTTTTATTAACGTTTATTCAGGAAACTAACTAATTTTTTTTGAAGAAGGTCAAACAATTAGTCTATAGGATGATCAATTTTGCCGAGACTATCAGAAGAGTCTAGCAAAATCCTTCTTGTTTATATTATTTTTTCTATGAGATTATCCAAAATTCGTATTTTTCTTCTTCTTCTTAATGATATGATTCGCAACATATTTGCGTTATCTTTTTCTATTAGTGCTTTGATAAGTTCAGGGGTATCTTCCACTTGAAAAACTTACTGTATACTGTATGTTTGTTCACACTAATGTTTAGTCCAGTATATGTTTTCTCTAAAAAATTAACGACTGGTTTGAATTTTTTTTCAATTTTGCTTTTTCCAAGAAAAATTTAATTTGAGAACGTCATAATAAAACATTTAGTTATAATTTTGATTTATTACCACAGTAAATAGCAATTAATGTACAATAATCGTAAACGTTTTTATTTATTTTAGATACCGTGACAGAGAAAGAAATGAATGAGACTGGTTACATTGTGGCTATTTCAATTCTTTCAGTTTTGATGTTTATATTGCTAGCAGGAACAGCAGGTTTTTACTATTATAAATTCAGGTAAGTCAATTAGTTATAATTACCTGTTTCGCAATTATGTCTTCCGCTTAGATGTCAAGGAAAATTTTTGAAATTTTGAAAAAAAATGCCTTTTTTCAAAATAACTTTAAAAAAAATAATTGATACGCCAAATCTTAAAGATATAAAAATATAGGTTTTGTTTTTTGAACATTTTGGGTTTTTATGTTTTCTGTAAGACAACAAAAAAAATTGGTTAAAATTTGCATACACTCGTGAATAGTGACTCTTTCAAGCACTTTCAACTACAACCTTTATAAAAATAAGGTTAAAAAAAATGTATTTAAATGATCTTATCGCCCTTAAGAAAACCTACAAAATAGTTTTTAAGCACTTCATAACTCAAAGTCTTGAAGTTATGAATAAAAAATCAATCTACTACAACTATTCAAATTTCTTCGCATAAAATGGTTTTACAAGGGTAAAATTATGTGGTAAGAAATTAAAATAGTACAGAAACCTAAATTTATTGTCACTATATAATAAAATAATTTCAAATTGTTTAAATTTACAATTATACGATTGTTTTCTAATAGGGGTAGTTTTCGGCCTTTAAAATTAAAAAGCAACCAACGGCACAAGTCCAAAAGTAAAATGGAGGGTAAATAGAACCTAAATCTAAATTTTCATGCAATTAGATGGTGACAATGAAAATTATAGAGTGTCGCAATTCATTTACTGGAATATCAATTGTTCTCTGAGAGTTCATTCTCAGAAAAATTACGAAAAATATTTTTGTTTAAAGTTATCTCAGCTATAGTTCTTCTTTGAAACATTTTTCTACATTCTGACAAGCTTTTTTGCATATTTTTTTGGGTCCCAAATTAAAATTAAACTATAAATAGGTCTCTTAAAGCTTAATTAATGATACACCATGCTGCCCTAAGTGCATAAGAATTACAAATAATAACCATATAAGGGTCGTATGGGCTCTGTTACGTTATTGTCGTACAATTAATTTGTTAGTGTGAGTGGATTAAATTTCTCAATTTTGTAATAGTTTAGCTAAGATAGCTTTAACATCAGGATGAAAACCATGTATTTTATATTAATTTTGGAGACAGTATTATAAAAACATTTAAAATTACTAAACGAACATTTACAAAAAATATCGATTTACTATCAATTCCCATCCATCCCTAGTTAATAAAATAAATCGATTCTTTGTTAGCTATACTAAAAAAACAGATTTTATAAAGTTCAAATATTTATTTCTGCAGTTTTTCCCGTATGCTTACTAACAGTCATATTTGAAACCCATATAAAAAGTATTGTTTAAACTGTGTACTAAGCTGTTTATTTTTAATTTGTAGAAAATCGAGATATGAAAAGATGACCGAAGAAGAATATATGAACAGTAAAGTTCGATTCGACAAAAGCTCATTAAAGAGGCCATCAAACAGAGATTCGTAAGTTATTCTTGTGTATACTAATATTGTTTATATAATATAATAACAAATATATAACAAAAATGACAAAACAGAAAAATATAATGACAGAAAAAAACCGAATAATGACACAAAACGTAACAATCAATGAATACAACTTTGAAGTCGTCAAAGAATTCAAGTACCTGGGACCGATCATAACATCTGAAAATAAATATGAAAAGGACATGGCAGCCAGGATCATTGCAGGAAACATTGCATATTACTCATTAATAACCGTACTTAAAACAAAAATACTCACAATACCACAAAAATAAGAGTGTATAAGACAATAATTAGTTCCACAATAACGTATGGAAGCAAGACATAGACTCTGAACCAACGGGAAACGAAAAAAAAACGACGTACTGGAAAGAAAGAGACTGCGGACTATCTATGGGCCTTGTAAAGAAGAGAAAACAGGAAAATGGAGAAGAAAACATAATGATTAACTCCAGACAGTATATGGAGATGAAAAAATAGTACGCTACATTAGAGCAAACCGAATAAGATGGGCGGGCCAGTGCTAAGATCGAGTGACGAAAGACTCCTGAACGCCACATTCTGGGAAAGGCAGGTCAGTTGGTTGCCCAAGAAAGAAATGGAAAGACGCAGTAATTAGTGATCTACGCAAAATGAGAATACAGCAATGGGAAATAGCTGCTCGAGATCGACAAGAATGGAGGAAAATATTAAAGGTGGCAAAGATATAGATTTGTAGAGAAAAATGATGATGATGAATAACGAAAGGACATAACGCTGATAAGACAAGAAAACGACGTACCAAATTATACCAAATTCAGTTAACATACATTGATAGTACGGTAAAAGGGTAGGACTATAGAATGACAAAACAAAAGAATGATAGGAAAACGGTAGAACGATACAAAACATTGCAACAAAAGAGGTACGGATAGCCGTAATGATAGCCAACCTCCAATAGGGGAAGGAATTACAAGAAGAAGATGATGATAAACGGTAAGTTGACTTAACGTACATTGCCATTACGACAGAATATCTGAATCGTAGATACAGAAAATAGAACAAAGAATAAAGAAGTAATACCATCATAGGAAAACGCAGAACTATAATACGACATAAAGACTGAATGAGGGAAGAACAAAATCGCAAATGAATAAAACGACAAAAACTTACAAAGAGAAAGGTAGAGAGATGAATACTATACAAAATTAATGAAGGAATGACAACAATATAGAGATGCGTATCCACAGAATTACAAGACAGCAGGCCATCAGTACGTAAAAAAAAAACAAAACAGCAAAATGTATAAAAAAGAGAATGGAAAACGACAGAATATATCAGATAGATTTACAAAACTACAAAAAAGTAAAACGACAAATCAAAAGGACAGAACAGCTCAATAACTGAGATATAAAACAACATAACAACTGACTGATAGAAATTAAACTGATATAAAGTCAGGAAGATACAAAAAAGATACGAAGAAGGTTGTGTTTAGATTTAATTTGAGTCTCTAACACGTGTTTCTGCGTCTACCCGTCATCAGAAGAAGTTTGTAAGAACTCAAACTAAATCTTAGTTTAGTTTTAGTTTGTAGACTCAAACTAAATCAAAATGCACCGACTACTCTGGTAATTACAGGAAAATAACTACCAGAGTATGCTACTAGAGACCTCAAGTGAGGAAAGATGAAGTTAAATACGTCGATACAAAAAAGACACACAGAAAGACAAAACGAAATGTACAAAAAGGTAAAATAATTTCTGCCTAAAGAAAGAACAAGAATAATAAAACCCTATGAGGAGTAAATAGCTAGCACATAGCTAGAAGAACGGGCACCATGGAACTATTGGTAGTAGAAGGAAAGGTAGAAGGCCGAAGACCAAGAGGAAGATCTGCAATACGTTGGGTAGACCAAATGAAGAGTTTGGTGGTAAAATCCCTACATGAAGCCGTCTATATGGCACAAGATCGCAGTCAATGGAGACAGCAGACTAACAATATTTAGGGTGTCACTACGCCCTGACAAGGGCTAAAGGATTGAGGAGGAGGATGAGGAGTAAAACCGGTATACTAAATGCGATAGAATTACAGATCTTGAAATGAACAGTAAAGATGCATCAAAACTGATAACAGCAGTTAACAAAAAAAATAATCTTACTTTTTGTTAATTATCCATAACGTATCAAACACAATATTATTATAATTATTATTTATCTTTTAGAACACATCGATCAAGTGCAATCGAAGAGAGACGACCCACCGGTTTTATCTTCAATAGCGCCATAGCAGAAGAGGAACCGAGAGATTCTAGCACAGATCCGGATATGAAAGAAAGAAAAAAATCGGTAGCTTTCGATGAGAACGTGGAGAAGCTCCAGATAGATAGTGTGAACGACGATGACATCGATAAAGCTTTAGAAGAAGTTAGCAGCGAAGAAGCATCAGCAAAAGTTTAGTAAAAGCATGTTTTACTGACGTGTAAATGCAGATTGTAGGCAAAAATGTATTATAGATCTTCGGATGGATGTTCTTTTTTTGTATTAATATTATATACGAGATATGTGATAGAAAATAATCTATTTTAAGAATAAAGTTATTTTTTAATTTGGGTGTTTTTTATTTTTAAATGTTATACATTTTTTAAAATGTATGCCTTGTAGAGATAGTACCATTTTGTTTGGAGGTGATTTCAAACAACTAGTATTTACAAGGCAATCAACTCTCACTTGTGACTCCATGGGCCACAACCGATCGAACTGCAGACTAAAGTAAGTGAGTAAGTAGGCAAAAAGTAAGTAAGCAGTAAATAAGTAAGTAAGTAAGTAAAGTAAGTAAGCAATTTCTGACCACTAGCTTTCAATAGCCGATTTGGTAAGATTTAGGCAATCTTTTTTTCCTAGGATTGACGAATCTTCCCCAAAGAGTCAACGGGATCGTTAAACTCTAAACTCTAGAATAAATAGGAAGTTTTTTTTTTCTTTTTTTTTAGATTTATGATAGAATTATTTACAATAATCTTTTGGATCGTTTGTATTGATGATGCGAAAATTGGATCCGATGATGTCCTTGTACTTCTAAATAATGCTTTATGTTCTCGTATTTCTTGATCTTGTTCTAAAGCTATTTTCTTGTGGCATCTTGATGTAATTTTTATTACTCGGATTCTGATTTTGGCTGTGAACTAGCCAGGTCGTACCAGGATTATCCTGTTACGATCGACGCTTGATTTACTAGAGTACACGTGCCGATATAGTTGTATATGAGGCAATTTTTTTCCTTTAATTTTATACAAATCTATTATGGTTTCCTTAATTTCAGATTTATCTTTTGTTTACAAAGCGATAAAGCAGATCAAGCTGCCTGCTTTTGGTAATGTTGTTAAATCGGGGTCTGCAATTCATCATGCAATTGCAAATTTCATGCAAGTTTTACGTAGGAAGCAGTTCATTAAGCTATGCTGCAGATTCACTGTAAGTTGTTTATTTTATTTTTGGTATTTCTGCTGAAGAATATTACGAGAGCTGAAATTTTTCTAATGTGGTCTTTAAAAGTTTACAGTTGTCAGTGAAGTGTTTAAGGGATGTATATTAGTGTAAAAGAGGTATCTTTTTATTTTTTTATACACTTCTCTTTCAGTTAGTGTTCCGTAATAACAATATGTTTTAATTTTTTATTCAATTTTGTATCATATCATCATATCACACCTCAAATTTTAATTCGCTTTAGACTCTACAAATATACTGTCATCGCAGACATCGAAAAGATGTTTAGGCAAATAAAAATCAACCCGAAACAAACATTTCTATTAAACATTCTGTGGCCTAATTATCCACAAGAAGAATTAAAATGTCTAGAACTTCAGACCGTGACCTACGACACAAATTCAGCTAGTTTTTTTAAGTACTAGGTGCCTTAAAGAGTTCGTAATCAAGAAAAATACCCATTAGCAGCTGATGTTCTGGAAAATTCTTGTTATGTAGATGATATTTTACATGGTGCAAATGATATGGAGATTTTATACAAGAGTTATAAGCAAGTTTCTACGAGTTTAAATTCCGCTGGAATACCACTCCATAAATGGAGTTCTAATTCTTCTGAATTTCTCGACTCTATTTCCTCTAAATCCCAAAAATCTAATTACGTAGTAATACCCATTTTATTTCTTCAAATAAAGAACTTGGGATATGTTGGAATTCTCAGTCTAACATGTTCTCTATCTCTCTTCCGGACATTTCTAGTGAACCAGAATATACAAAAAGAGAAGCTCTATCAATAATCGCCTCTATTTTTGATCGTTTTGGTCTAATAAATCAGATTATTTAATCTGCAAAGTTGATAATTTCATCAATTTCATCAAAAATTTCATCAGAATGGTTCAATTTTCTAGCTCACATTCCTGATCTCGCAAGACTTTCAATCACTGGACCTCTGCTCAATCCGCACTTTATTTCTCGAATTGAAATCCATGGTTTCTGCGATGCAAACATGAATGCATATGATGCTTGTATTTATTTACAGGTTTTACATGAAAATGGAACCTTTTCATGTAACCTAATCACTTCAAAGAGCCGTGTAGCTTCACTATAAATCATGTCCCTACCCAGACTTGAATTGTTAAGGACTGTCTTGCTTTCTACCTTGATTTCAAATATCGCTCTTATTATTTCACCAAAGGTTTCTTTCATAACATCGGTTGGGCTGTGGAGAGACTCCCAAATTGTACTATAGCAACCTTTCTCGTTCGTCAATCTTCGTAGCAAACACCGGACCTACTGATAGACAATACATCATAGGGGCATGTGCCCCATTTTCCAATGAACACAACCACTAAATTTAATGAATTCGTTATAAATATTTATTTAACAGATATCCCTGAAATAAAAAGCACTCTACACGCTGTAAATAGAATAGAATCTGAGCAGAGAATAGTTAAAATCTTTCTGCCTACCTAACTAATAGAATCTGAGCAGAGAATAGTTAAAATCATTCAACTAACATTCTTTCAAACAGAATTAAAAGGCTTAAAGCATCAGAAAAGAGTCAAAAACAAGGCATTAAAATTGAATCTATTTATAGACGCATCTGATTTGTAAAGAGTTGGTGGACGACTTCGCAATGCAAATGTTTCGAATAATCAAAAATGTCCACTTCTTCCTACAAAATGCCAGATAGTTAGATCGTCGCTTGAAAGAGAAAACATTCGCCTACTGCACACAGGTCCTCAAAATACATTGTCAAACATTAGACTCATTTATTGGCCTCCTGATGGATGATAATAGCCCGATCTACCCAAAGAACTGTTTCAGGTCTCTCCACCATTCACAAATGTCGACATCGACTACGGGGGTCCATTTCAAATAAAATCTTCAAGACTGCGACGTGCGTCCATTTATAAGGCTCATATAGCAGGCTTTGTATGCATCGTTACTAAGGCAAGTATATTCTACCTACCATAAAAGAATTCGCAGCCTCAACATTAATTGAGTGGAAGTACATTGCATCTTGATCTTCACATCAAGGGAAAAACCAGCGACCTATGACTGGTGCGCGAAACAAAGGCATCAGGACAAGGTGTAAGGCAAACACACCTGCATCTTCGCACAGTTAGTATGATTCAATTTTTTTTTTATTTCTTCCCGACTTCAGTATCCCCCGTCTAGAGATCTATTCAATCGCTTCCAAAAGTTCGCCATTGTGTCTTTCAAAGCACCTGAGGGCCGGTTGCATTGTGAACATCTTGGGTTAATTTTTAGGTTACCCAAAATAACGCACCACTTCTAGGCCTCTTTTTACCCATCCAGATTTGATGTACTTTACAGTTTTTATATTTGATATCTTACTTCTAAACTGCATTACTTTTTATATAGGGTATCCATTAGTCCTGTTTTTTCCCAAATAATAGATAACTTGAAGAAAATAAAAATCCGACACCCTGATAGGGTAAAAGGAAGGGGGGAAAGAAAGAAAATAAAAAAAACAGAAATGCAAAAAAAAGGTAATTAAAATTCGCTAAGGAACTCACAGATATTAACATAGACCTGATATTTAATAAATATCTTAAATCTTTTTCAAATTTTTTCTTTTGAAAATTATCTCCTCTGAAGAAATAAGTACACAGATTCTCAGATAATAATCTTACAGAAAACAACGAAAAGCTAATCAGTTTTACGTATTATAAGAAGAAATAATATCTATAAATCTCTAGCTTTACACTAAAATCCGCACTTCAAGAAATATTTTAAAAACAATTCATCTAAATTTATGGCTGAAATCTTAAAATGTATTTAACAAGATTTGCCAGATGTTTCCTTAACTGCTCCATTTATTTACAGATAGTTTAAACTGTGAGGTTTCTGCAGTGTATAAGGATAGTTTAATAAATGTAAACGCTATGTAAATATTTATAAGATACTTTAAAGGGAATATACCATTACTGGTTAAAAAAAAATCAGGATAGGGGGTTAAAAGTCTTTCAGGCAGAGTATGGAGTTGGTAGTTATGCTTAAACGAAAAAGAATACATATTACTTGTATTTAAAAAATAAAGAGGAAAGGACAAAACAGTACAGGACAGTACAGTGTCGTCCGCGTATCGAATATTATTTACAATCTCTCCATTAATTACGATTCCTCCGTGTGCTTGTAAAAGGGCTTCCTTAAGATGCTTTCACTATATACGTTAAATAACAGAGGTGACAAAATGCAACCCTGTCGTACTCCTCTACGTATTTCTATTGCTTGTGATGTTTCAGTTTCTATTTTGATGTTAGCTTTCGGATTCCAATATAGATTGAGAATTATTCGCAGATCTTTATTATCTATGTCCTTCCTTTCAAGAATCTCTCTTAGTTTATCATGGCGTACTCTGTCAAACGCTTTTTCAAAATCGATAAAACACGTATGTACCTTCTGATTAACATCTAGGCATCTTTGTGTGAGAACATCAAACCGAAGAGAGCTTCTCGAGCACCAAGCCCTTTTCTGAACCCCATCTGTGTATTACTAATATCTGACTCCAACTTTTGATAAACTCGGTTGTGGATGATTTTTAGAAATATCTTTAGTAGGTGGCTCATTAAAGATATTGTTCGATGTTCTGAACATTCTTTAGCATTAGATTTCTTTGGCAGTGTAACGAATGTAGACAACAGCCACTCTTCAGGTATAATACCAGTATTGTATATTGTATTAAATAAGTGCAATATTATACCTATTGATTCATCATTCAAGAGCTTTAGCAATTCGGTAGGAACCTCATCCGGTCCATTTGCCTTCCCAGTTTTGGAATTTTTAAGTGCCATTTCTACTTCACATTTTAGAATTTCAGGTCCCGTTTCGCCATATATCAGAACAATGTTATTTCTGTTGTCCTCAAATAATTCTCTTATGTATTCACTCCATCTATTAATTTTCTCTGTTAAATCTATAATAATCTTTTCATCTTTGTTCTTAAACAAACTTATTTGACGTCTTCTTTGGGTTCCTGTAATTTCTCTTACTTTTTTATGTATATTGAACGTGTCATACTTTCTTTCATAGTTTTCTATTTCTACCTATTGTTCTGTAAAACATGATTCTTTGGCATTTCTTATTCTTTGCTTTATGTT